GAGAGAGAGAGAGCGACAGTTGCCACTCCCATGGAGCGACAAGTCTCCGGCTTAAGCTGGTTTGGACTCGCGATACTCACGAGTACTCGTTTTAAACACGTGATAACACAGTTACCCGCACAACACTTTGTCTCTCATGAGTAATTTCTCGAAATTCTCACGAGTACCAAACTTTTCCAGACAATTTTTTCAACCAACGCACTGGAAAAAAAATTTTAAGAACTGCTTAAGCATCGACTTTCTCGCTTACTTTCAATCTTTACAATTGTCAGAAAGAATCAAAGAAATAGTCTGCTTTTTCCCTTTGCAAAAGCTTAATTTGATTATCTCTATTCCACTTTTTTGAAGTCAAAACCATCTCGGGAAAAATGTCTGTTGAAACTGCTTTGTCTTACGCTGCCTTGATCTTGGCCGACTCCGACGTCGAAATCTCCTCTGAGAAGTTGTTGAGCTTGACTGGTGCTGCCAACGTTGCCGTTGAAGGCATCTGGGCCGACATCTTCGCCAAGGCCTTGGACGGTCAAGACTTGAAGAGCTTGATGGTCAACTTCTCTGCTGGTGGTGCTGTTGCTGCCCCAGTTGCCGGTGGTGCCGCTGCTGCTGCTGGTGGCGAGGAAGCCGCTGAAGAAAAGGAGGAAGAAGCCAAGGAGGAATCCGACGACGACATGGGATTCGGTTTGTTCGATTAGAGTGGTTTTAGATTTGCATTTTGTTAATATCTTGTATACGCTTTAATAAAGCTTGGACTCTAGAGAAACTATGTGCGTGGGGCCGATTGAGAAGGAGACGGCCCCAGTGAGAGAAGGTGAAAGCCATCTACAGCGCTTGGCCGATGTGACCTTAGCGCTAGGTGCTCAGCTCTGTTAATGAAAGGTCTCTCTGTACGTAATGCTATAGCATCCTCTGTTTAACAGCCTGTACAGGTCTCAGGTCGACCACACCGGCGATCTGGTAACGCTCACGACATGGCCGGACTTTCAAGCCCAGACGGTGCAAGCTCCCAGTTCAACAAGCTAGACTTGCCAGTTGTGTTTGTCTGTTGCACACGCGGTGGATACTATTGCAGCAGTGGCTTCCAACTATACAATTTACATAAGAGAATGATCTTTTAGACTCGGAAACACAGCTTATTTCTTCTTGTCAGCTTCGGCTTCGGCCTTTTCTTGAGCTCTCTTTTGTCTGATACCTAGGTGTCTCTTCTCGGATCTGGCTAGTCTCAAAGTTCTGAAGGCGGACTCACCGTTGTCTTCAACGGCTCTGGTGCCTTGCTCAACAACAGGCTGGGCAATTGGGAACGAGGCAGCGGTGGACAAGACCTGCTCGGCTTCTGGGGCCTTAGCGTTTCTTGGGAAGACGATTATCTTGGACTGGAACTCCTGCAATCTTTGCACGTTCAAGTCGAAAATCTCTTGGTTTCTGTTTTGACGTCTGTGGTCGACAGCGATACCAATGGTTCTGGCGTAAGCTGGGGTCAAACCGGCGGCTCTGACCTCACGCAAAGTGAAACCTCTACCGGCTCTGACTTTTCTGTTGTACTTGATGGTAGGAGGCTTGACAACGGGTCTCAACAAATCCAAAGGCTTTGGGGCGATCTTGGCGGCCTTGGCAGCTCTGGCAGAACGTCTGGCGACCTTCTTACCAGCCTGGTCGAAGTGCACCTTGACGCGCTCTTGCCAGTGCTTTCTGAAGTGGTTCTTCAAGATTGGTAGGTTCTTAGCGATAGCTGAGGAGAGAAAGAGAGAAGGTTAGTATATCCATGCAAACGTGGTCAAAATAGGCTTATTTTTGCGGCCGCAAACGACGAAAGAGAGAGATGGGCCACCAACGACGCGCTTGCTCAAGTCCCACCACACGTCCCACTACAGGTCCCATCAAACGTTTAAAACTGCTGCGTTTTCGCTCGTTCCTTCATTGTTCACATCTCCATCGTGTCGTAAACCGCATTTCTGCACTTATTACGCCCTTAAACATACCCATTGTTGCTTGATTCCTGATGTACCGTCCTGACTAGTCGAAGTTCCAAATCGTAACATGTATCTGAAATTTGATGATGTTCAGGATACCGCTATCGAGAGTAACGGGAGTGCGACCCGAGCTAGGCAGACCCGCTAGGCAGACTCCCACTGGAACAGAGACACGCTCTGCCCAGCGTCCCTGTCCAGAGTGGTGCGTCTCTGCCTGGAGCAAAGCGTCTCTGCCTACGCTTTTGGGCTCTGCCTAGAGCGTTGTCCAGCCGCGCAGCCCACGCAATTTCGGACCCACGCAGAAAAGTTTTGTGGTGTACGGGTTTTCACAAACAGTCACTTAACCCGTAATTTTCCGTTTTGGACATCCTCCAAAAACCCACACATTTTCAGAAAGTCCAACTTAAAACAAAAACCGAAGGAAACTAAAAAATAGTTTCTGCGTGGGTGTAATTATTCTTCGGTCTACCCACGCAGACTTGGTGGTGCCAAGCAGAACCCATACTCTGTCTAAGATCGAACGGTCTGCCTAGACTCCCGAGGCTCTAGGCAGGGACTGTCCCCAACGCTCTGCCTAGCTCCAGCTCGCTCTGCCTAGCTCTCTGCCTAGAAACGTTTCAGATGCCAGCTTGCCGGGTAATACGCTCACGAACTCAGGATGGTGAAAACTTTCAGACCAGTAACAGCGGGTGTGCAAGGAATACAGCTGGGCCTAGTAGAATTCAATTGATCTTTGAATAGAACCTGAGGGTATCATCGCCATATAGAGGAAAAACCAAGATGTCTACTGTCCCAAGTGTCCAAGTATGTGAACGAACGAGCGAAAACGGAGCCGGGAGCGAGAAGTAAGAGACGAGAGACGGGAGGGGAGCTGAGACGAGATACACGACGAGAGACGAGAGACGAAAACGAGTGGTGAATGAGTAGATGTGATGAAAGACTAGGTGGGAGACGAGACCAAGAAGGAATTGGGAAACAGCGCGAGAGTCTGGCTCTGAAAGCAGTTTCGTGCGTGTGAAATAAGCCCGGGATCGCTGTTATCAAGATGAGAAGAGCCTCACGATCTAGGACTGTACAAGCTACTTCAAACGGGGAGAACGTTTCTCGAAACTCCCAGCTTCACACCCGTCTACAGACCTGTCGTTTCCTCCCCCACGCCCACGCCCACGCCCATGGCTCTTGAAAAACCCACGCCTTTACTAACCCCCATCCCCCCAGACTTTCGGTAAGAAGAAATCCGCCACTGCTGTTGCCCACGTCAAGGCCGGTAAGGGTTTGATCAAGGTCAACGGTTCGCCAATCACCTTGGTGGAACCTGAGATCCTAAGATTTAAGGTCTACGAGCCTTTGGTCTTGGCTGGCTTGGACAAGTTCGCCAACATCGACATCAGAGTTAGAGTCACCGGTGGTGGTCACGTCTCTCAAGTGTACGCCATCAGACAAGCCATCGCCAAGGGTTTGGTTGCCTACCACCAGAAATTCGTCGACGAACAATCCAAGAACGAATTGAAGAAGATCTTCACTTCTTACGACAGAACTTTGTTGATCGCCGACTCCAGAAGACCAGAGCCAAAGAAATTCGGTGGTAAGGGTGCTCGTTCCAGATTCCAAAAATCCTACCGTTAAGATACCAGATTCCGGTGCTGCCAGACAAATCATATCTTCAACATTGTTGTCCTGGTATTTTACTGTTTCTACTGTCTTTCATACTGTATAACTTAATCAAGGGTAAACGTTATATACTGACGTCCATCGCCAGAGACAGGACGGCCTCGCGCGCCAGATTCGGGTCTCGATCGTTGGACGGCCGTGTGCTTTCGAGTGGTCGAAGCTGGACGACACAGTCGTCACATGTGAGCAACACAGCGTCACGAAAATAATATGGCGTCACAGTGATTTATAGTGACTATAAGTTAGTTAAGATTGAATGGGTATCATGGAGGGCAGCTTTAGTTTTGTGACGGCCACAACGAACGTCTGCACTGCTGTTTTCAAGTCCGCGATTACCTCTTAAAACTATTGTAAAAATGTAGTGTTTGGTCCTGGGTCATCTCTCGTCGAGCCAGCTTGCACGACGATTTAAGAACAACGGCCTCAAGCACAATTTTCGGGATATATATATATTACAAAGTAGCTAGGAATAGGCAACTCGGTGGGTACATTGCGTAGTGTATTTATTACAAGACAATCAAGAAATTTTCAAAGCTTCAATTTTCACTTCAGTAGGTCGCTGTGTGAAATACACTGCAAATTCACGACTCGAAAATAGTAGAGCTCGAGAGAAAAAGCCTGCGAAAGCCACTGGTTTCGATCTGATCGGTGGTCATTATATCAAGCCTCAACCCCCAAAAACTACCGACAAGACTCATTTACTTCGCGACAAGTTTCGGATTTCATCGATTTCAACGGTTTTGCAGATTACCAAACGTCCAATCTAAAATCACCATTAGCACGAAACCTTCGCGTTATGACTCTGGAAAGCGCACTACGAGATTAGCGTTGTTCCAGCACACTTAAATGAAGTTTTAGCGCATTTTCCGCGACTTTACCAATTTCTGCCTTTATTGACGCGTCGCGTCTGTTATTGTTTAAGACGCGAAAACCCATCGCGTCTACTAACGAATGGGAATTACAAGAAAATCCGACGCCTACGTTTGGACAGGGAGCACCGTGTAGGAAATATTAGTTTCTGTATAATTCTCACACTGTAGACTTGTACTTTCTGAAGTTTCAAGCCGTGTGTTTAAGTAGCTCTAAGCTGTCCCGAGAGGAAAACTACAAAGATCTGTTTACGTCAAGTTTTGAGCAGGGAAATGGGTGCCGAAACTCCCCAATCGTTACAGTCTCAGTCCAGTGGTGACCTAAAAGACAGTTTATCAGATACTTCTTACTCTTCTTCTGCATCTTCGCCACGCGTTCAGCACGTCATCGAAGAAGCTAGCTCATTAGTCGCCAAACTCAAGTCCTGCGACCGAGTGAGCCCTTCAAATAATAAAACTGACGATGATGACTCCATTGTATGCTCCAGGTCGGAACTAATACAGAGCTTAGAAAAGCTTAATCAAATGCTAACGAGCTCTCACGAAGAGGTCAAAGGATTCAAATTCAAGAATATGATGTTAACAGCAAGTCTGAAAGACTCCAATTCTCGGTTCGAAGTAGAATCACAGCTGCAAAAACAACAATCCGGCAGAATTAGGTGCCAACTCGTTATGCAAAACCAACAATTGCACGACAAACTCCGGCTCCAGGACTTGAAAGTAGTCAAGTACAAGAAGACCATCAAAGAGAAAAACATAGAGATCAACAGACTCACGCGTTTGTTGAACAATTCTGGCGCACCAAACGCAGCTTCTCTAAAGCACACTCCTCAGTCCATAACAAAACCACCGCGAATCCATCGTGGTTCAAAATTCCAACACAAAAATCCTAACATGTTGACCACGTTGGGCTTACTGGCGTCCCATGTACTCAGCGAACGCAAGGATAGTGTCGCCAACATAGACAATACCGAATCAGATATCTCACACGATAGCTTTTTGAACCATCACGCTTCGGCTGACGCGTTTCCCAGAAGTCCTCACGTTTTAAGCATTGCTACTCTACCGAGAAGCTCGGCTGCGTCATTGACACCAACTTCTGATAGTTCATCTAAACATATTTTACCCAGGTTCCAGAGCTTTACTGCTTTCAGTGATGATCAACAGTAGACCTGAAAGCAGAGCTACAAGTACATATATCCCAAGCCGTTAGCAGATCTACGGCTTGGAATGAGAGTACCTACGCTGCCCATTGGTCGAGAAATGCTTTTCAAAAAGGTGGCCTGGGCGGGAAATCGTGAGCACCGCAAACGCAGAGGAATCATCAAAAGCAGGAACAAGCATAAGCTCAGGACTTTTCGAAAAACGCGTCAAGGCGCGACAAAACGAAGCTGGCTTAACATCTAGAAGACTTGCCAAAAGATCAAAATATTTGAACATCTTATAGCAGGGAGCTTTTTGAAGACCACATACTGCTGGAAAAAAAGTCTCAGTTATGGTGAATTGAAAGCTCTCGTAAGATCATTTTTCAACCTCTGCAGTGCTCAGCGAATTTGCATTGGGAAATTGGGTATATTCCCAAACGGACCTGAACGCAGTGGGTATTGGCTTCGAACATTTCTTTATGGCTCATAACATAACGGATTAAGATGCATAACAGCTTCAACTGAAAAAAGACTACTAGGTTTTAAAACAAAGTATTTACTTAGAGCGGAGCATTCCGTGGTCTTCAAGTGGATTTTTATTCTGAGCTGGAAGCAAACCTCACGACTTTAAATTATGTACATTACGAGCGTTGTAGAGACCCAACGCAACAATAACGATTTTTCATGAAAGCGTTGATTTCTCCTAATTCTTACACAGTCCCTTCCAGTCAGGGACAATTAATCTACTCTAGACCACTAACTTTTTATCTTGATGTTCAAACTTTAATCCCAGCGATTGGAGAAGCACTTAAGTGTTCAAATAAGTGGATGGATCAACACCCTCTTCTGGGAATTCTGCCACCTTAACATCGAATCTGTCCTGAATCTTAGCCAAGATCTCTTCATCTTCCTTGGTGGCCACGAAAGAAATGGCCAAACCCTTGGTACCAAATCTACCTGCTCTGCCGACACGATGCAAGTATTGGTCGGCTTCGTTTGGCAAATCGTAATTAATAGCAAGGTTGATGCGCTCAATATCAATACCTCTTCCAAACACGTCAGTCGATACGCAAATACGTTTTTCAAAATCCTTGAAGGCTTTGTAACGCGCAATACGTTCTTCTTGCTTCATACCACCATGAACAGTGATGGCAGGGAAGTTGGAGGCGTTCAACAATTTGGTCAATTCGTTAGCTCTGTTAGTGGATTTCACGAAGATAATCACCTGGTTAAATTCTAGATCGTCCAATAGCTGAGCGAGTTTACGGTTCTTCTCACGCTCCTCTAACTTGATGTAGTATTGTTGTAGACCGTGCAAAGTCAATTTGGCCTCGTCGTCCACGAAAATCTCGAGTGGGTTTTGGAGGAAACGTCTGCAGATAGGCCTCATTTCCTGAGAAAGAGTGGCGGAGAACATCATCACCTGTTTGTCTCTTGGGGTGGCTCTGAAGATGTCCTGCACGTCCTTGCGCATTCCCAATTCTTCCAAGACCTTGTCACACTCGTCGATCACGAAGTTCTTGACCATGGAGAGGTCGATAAGCTTGTCTCTGACCAAGGCCTTCAAACGACCTGGGGTGGCCACCACGATGTGAGGGGCGGTTTCTTTGTTCTTCAGAAGATCAGCGTCTTTAGTAATTGGGGTACCACCGTAGAACACTGCGGTTTTCACGTCCGGCATGTATTTGGAGAATCTGAGGTACTCGTTACGAATCTGGTACGCCAATTCTCTGGCGTTGCAAATAACAACCACGGAGACCTCGCCTGGAACTGGATCTAGCTGTTGCAACGTCGAGAGCACAAAAACGGCGGTCTTACCTAGACCCGATTTGGCCTGGCACAGAACGTCGGTACCGTGAATACTTTGCGGGATGGTGTGTTGCTGGACTGTTGTTGGAAATGCAATGTTAGTAAGTTGGAACACACAGAGACCCCGTTCACAGGGGTTGGGTTTCTTGGTAGAACCAAAAATCAACCAAAGCAACGCCAAAAAAAAAGATAACCAATTGTTTACGTACCTTCCGAGGGATGTTCGAAACCACAGTCGATAATAGCTCTGGACAACTCAGGCTTCAGCAGAAAGTCTTTGAAACCAGTCGAATGGATTCCGACGTACGAGCCCTTCTTGTCAGCAGTCTCGGTGCCGTTTTCCCCAGCTTCTTTGGCATCTGCAGAGCCAGCTTCGGCTGCCTTGGAGGCCTCGACTTGGATTTCCTGCTCGTTGTCAGAGTATTCTAAGAGATCTTCTTCACCTTCGTTGGACATTTTTAGTAGAGCGAATTCTTACGAGTTCAATTGACCGGTCGTTCGAGTCTTTAGACGCAGTCTCAGGCTTAAACGCTAGCTTTGAACCTGGATAGAAGTAGGGCTGTTGTTGATACTTGTTAAGCTTGAAAATTTTCCATATTGGCCAGTTAATGTAAAATTATCGCCATATACGAATGGTCCAAAGGTGTCGATACGGCGGCTAAATCGCTGAGGTGATCCCAGGAAGTGATACTGTGAGCGTTAGGCGTGTTTGGAGGTGTTAAAAAGGCATTGGTGACTGTTGGAACTTCGGTATGGGTTCAGTAAGAACTGATGGGAAAAAAGCGCGAAAAAACGGGTCATTTTGGTGCTATTTGGGATATTTGGGTAGAATCTGAAGATTTTGAAGGATTTAGCTTTCAATGCAGTCTCTTGGTTTTAGGAAAATCACATTTAAACCTTTTCGCCATCTTGTTGGACGGAAACTTGCAAGTTTCGTTGATATTGCGGTCGTCTCGATCCCTTGAAGTAGCGCGATTAGGATTTTTGGAACAACCAAGTCAATCTGGTGTGGACGTCGATCTCTATATAAACCCCCACATATTGCATCGAGTTACTTCACGTAGCTTGGAGGGCTTTTAACGTCAGTTCCTTCTTATTTCATGTTTTTCCGTTAGCTCAAGTAAGGTTTAAGTGTTTGTCTTTTAGTTGTAGAAATTAATAAATGTTCAAGTTCAATTCTTGATTTTATGCCAAACGCGAGAGAGACTCGAGTCAGGGAGTATTACGGCCATGATTGGTATTTGTAGTGTGTTAATTGTAATTTCGTAGCTGTGTGCCTTCCCTTAGGTCTTGTTTCGAGTTCTAGGACCCCACGACTCTAAGAGTTCAGCTGAGCTCATCGAGGAATGGTGTTTGTTTAGAGCTTTATAAATACTGAAAATCGTCTGCTTGAAGTTCTGAAAGAGGGCGAGTGTGTCAGCCTTGGGTTGAAGCACTGTTGCGTTAATTCGTCGTCCAATTTTCAATAACAATTAGCTACGGTTGTTGTAAATCTTCTACGTCGACAACGTAGGCTATGCACACTTTCTGTGACGTCAGTGCTTCACAAGATATTCAGAATGGCCTATAAGAGATCTGCTCTCTCTCTCATCCCTCACTACAAATGTCGTATACTTGTGTCGTGTCGTTTTGAATATATAAAAGATGGAATTCCTCGTGCCGCTTCATCGCCTGCTGATTCCAATTAGAACAGACATTAACACTACAACAGGTGAATCAAATGAAGCGGCCAAAAATACATTCGTCATGCGGGCTTACAACCAAAATTCGGTTTTCATTCAAGACTCAAAAGGAGTTGGAAAGACCCTTCCCTCACAGATCTACACGGACGAGTCTCTGCCGAAGAACGAGACTTTGCACCAGTCCATAGCGACTAGCAGTCTGTTTCTGAACGACAAACACATGGCCAAGTAAGCGGACTTCCAGAACAAGAAGGTGAAAGAACCGGCAGATTGGTACATGGACTCACCAACGGCAAGATCGGCAATGGCCTTCTCGGAACCAATGTAGGCTAGCGCACCTTGGTGGCTGTACTTGAAAGCCTTGATGTTGGATTGCACTTTTTCAACCTTGGTTTGGTACTTGTTAGTCTCCGCAACGTTAGGGTTCTGCAACATGTGCCATTTGTATTGGTCGATCTTGTATTGCTTCTTCAACACGGAGGCCAAGTACTCACCTTCCTGGTGGGCAACTTGCGCGGTTGGGAATAGACCAGGGTAGAAAGTACAGTCACCGATGGCCCAGATAGAGTCTTCGGCACCTAGCAATTGCAACTTGTCGTTAATCAACAAACCACGTCTGGAGTTTTGAGTTTCCATTCTACTCATCAAGCTCTTGGACACCTCTCTTGGAGCGTTACCGGTGGCCCACACAAGAACACCGTATGGGATGTCTTCGGTGGTGTCGCCACACTTGGCAGTGATGGTGGTAGGGGTAACGTTTTTGACCATGGTGTTAGTTTTCAACTCGATTTTTTCCTGTCTGAACAAGTCCTCGGCGTATTCGATCAAAGACTTGTCGAACATGTTCAAAATGTTGGGCAAGGCTTCGACAAGAGTGACGTTCAATTCCTTAGACAAAGCTGGCATCCATTTGGACAAGTCTTGGTCAATGTAGTCTTGCAGCTCGGCAGCGAATTCCACACCGGTTGGACCACCGCCAACGACGACGAAGTTCAACAGTCTCTTTCTCTCAGGGTCGGATGGGGATAAAGTGGCAGCCTTTTCGATGTTGTTCATAACCTTAACTCTGATTTCTTGGGCGTCTGGAATCTCCTTCAGGAAAGAAGCGTTTTCAAACACACCGGGGATACCAAAAGTGGTGGGCTGGGCACCCACACCGACAACCAAGTAATCGTAGTTCAAGTTCAATACCGCATCTTCCTCCTTGGAGCTGAGGGATCTGATCTTGACGGTCTTTTCCACAGGGTCCACGTCGAGAGCCTCAGCCTCGTAGTAGGTGACTTCGCCAGGTGCTCTTCTGGCGATGCTTCTAACAGGTTCAACAATGGACTTCAACTCGATGGTTCCGACCGGAGTGGATGGCAGCAACGGAGTGAACAAAAAGTAGTTTCTTGGCGAGACAACCACAACGTTGTACAAGGTGGTGTCGAGGTTTTTCAAAAGCGAGATGGAGCCCCAGCCCGAGCCCAAAATGACAAGAGTCTTTCTTGGCGACCCGTTGTCGAATATGGGGCTCTGAGGTTGCTGAGGCGAAGGGTTCTTCTCCTTGTACAATTTGTAGGAGACGTAACCGGTTCCGGCCAAAACCGAACCCAATGCAGAGTAAAGAGTGTATTTACCGATTTTCTTGAGCATCGATGGTTTTGGACCGGCAGCGGCAGCGGCAGACGCGTTTTGCTGCGAAACTCTGGCAGAGCGGGAAAACGCTCTCGAGGAGCTGCCCATTCTGGATCCGAAACGGACCGTGGATGACCTGGCCAATTGGAACATCAGTTCTTGTGGGGGAAAGGAATATTATCAAAAAAAGACGAAGATCACGAAACTGCAGCGAAAAAAGCCGTTCAAAAGAGTCCCTTCAGTTTCAAAAGTTAACGAATTTCGTCGATACGCAGATACAAAGCACTCGCAAGAAAGCCCAGGCTTTTCCTTACTGGTTTGTGAGTTATGAGTTTTCTTTGTTTGAATGTTTTGAAGAACTTACTTGGTAGAGTTAACCGATACAATTAGCTGTGTGATTAAATCGGACAAATTTTTTCACTCCAACGGGTCGCTAGGTACGGCTGGCGATGACCATGGCGATGACAATTTTTTCGGTTGAAAACAGGTCACGTGGTAATACGTGGAAAGCACGTGAGAGAGAGTGGTCGAGGTTGAGGTTGAGGTGGGCTCCCCCAGCGACCTCTGAGTTGTTGAATGTAGTGTAGTGTTGTTAGTATGCGAACTTCATTGTTACATATCTTGTGCGTGTTCAACAAAAGCGGAACGGTGGTGTAAATAGTTCAGGTTGTTTTTTTATGCTTTTGTCACGGAAATCAACCTTCGGCGTTGGCATGTTTGTCGGAGACCTAAAAAAAATGGTGACGAACCTGGTCTGGTACGACTAAATATATGTAGATATCGCATACACTGCTGTTCTTAGAGCCCCCTTTCTATGGCCAGAGCTGACACTTTGTTTAACAGCTTGAAGCCCAACATCACTTCGAACGTCTCCGTCGCCGTCTCGAATCCCAGCCTGAACTACCATGGCACAACTTGATCCTCCCGCCTTGCAAATGTCACATCTTATAATAATTTACAGTTATCACTTCTATTTAGTACACCTAGGCGCTGGACTCCAAACCCTGCATATGCTTTTGAGCCTCCACGCTCTTTTCCACGTCATACTTGAAATCAAAATAGCTTTTGTCGAAGTGGTGCAGACGAACAAAACCGTCTTCACCGCCTGAAGCGTAAGAGGTACCCTGAGGGCTGACAGCCACGCAATTGAGCGGACCGAAGTGACCCTTGACTCTACCGATTTCGTCCTGGAAGATCTTGTGGTATAGACGGGCCTCGAACTTACCCTCGCGCGAGCTGGTTGTGGTGACATCTTTGGCGTCCTGACCACCACCTAGAATGACAAACTGCTTGAGAGGAGTGATGCATGCACTGTTGAGTGGACAGTCGGTTTCGTATGTCTTGAGCACCTCGAGCGTTTCGATGTCGACCAGCTTGGCGTCGCTGTCTCTCGACGAGGTGATGAAATAAGTTCCGTCAGGCGAGAACTGGACGTCACTGACGCTCTGGGTGTGAAGCTCGAGAGCGTCGATGAACTCGCCAGTGTCACCGTCGTATTTCGATACACGTCCGTCCTTGTGGCCCACGGCGATGTAGCGATCTAGGAAACTCCACGCGGCCACGGCGGCGATCTCGAATCCCTCATGCGTTAGAATGTTGTAAAGAGGCTCTTCCGAGGGCTCTTGCGACAGCTGCTGAGTCTGGTTGTCGCGAGGCACCTCGTACACAGTGACACTACCTGGATAGCCCATAACACCATCCAAGACGGCCAAAAACTTGTCACCAGAGGGACTGAATTCGACTCTTCTCACTGGAGTCTTTGTTTTCCAGGTGTAGACGTTCTGACCGGTCTGCACGTCCCACAATTTGATGCTGAAGTCGGCGGACCCAGTGACCGCGTATTGCGTGAATCTATCCACGTCAATCGACCAGATAGTACCTTGGTGACCTTCGAAAGTTCCAAGTCTTTCACCGTTGATTGCGTACCACACGGAAGCAACGCTGTCCTTGGCACACGAGAAAATCAAGTCTCCTTCGCGGTTGAACTTGACCTGCGTGAGCGAACGTTCGTGTCCTTTCAGTAGAATGGGTCTCATGTTGGTATTGTAGATCTAAAAGCCCTTTGAAAGTGGCAATTGCTAGCTTCAACGGCAGTGATCGGGTCTTTGAAGTTAAGCAGTTGGTGTAGAACCTTCATTTAGCAGTATTAAGTGAAAGTTGAGATTTTCGAAAAATTTTCAATCGTACAAAGTGCTTGGGTGAGAGGAAGAGATGAGCACGTGAAAATCGCGTGAAAAGCGACAGAACCATAGAAAGAGAGCCAAAGCACCCGAGACAAGGCTTTCAAAAGCAGTGCTTCATGTCAATTATGTTCTGTTAACTTGCGAGGCTTGCGCTTTTCTCTTTTTACAATCGAACGTCATCTGTTTGGTAGCTTTGTTTCCGGAGGAACGTGAGGGAAGAGCCAAGGTAACTGAAAGAAGACTTGCATACGTTGCATTTCAGAGTGTTCACCTGCTGAGACCCTTCAGAAAGCCCCTCTCTTCAACAGACACACGTCCTTGTATACCGTTTACTCGAAACCGTACCTGTCATCTGGTCACGTGCTCCACGAACGATTGACGTTTTCGTAGTTCCTGTCCGAACGTCAGTGTCGTGAGTAAAGTTCAACGTAGTAAGCTTTCTTGCATCGATTCTTTGAGCACAGTGAAGCGTATTTTCTGTGACTGCACTGCAAGTTTTGCAATAGAATTTTATCTCGAGAATTGCAGTTCCTAAATTTTTAATTCGTAGATGTACATTTAAGTGGTTTTGGGTTATTTCAACCACCAAGCTTGGACCGACCGTGCAACTAAACGTCATTTTGGAGTGAGGGAAACTCTTGTTCCCTGTACCACCATGTATTATCAACACTGCTTTCACTTATTCTCTCTACTTTTTACAGAAAAACATGAATCGCAGTACATTTTCATATGTAAGTAGTCTAACACTCCATTAAATGAGCATTTATTCAAGTTATGTTTCCGGTCCCTAGAGAATCTCAAAACCGTTGTTATACAAGCGTTTAGCACTCAAGAACAACAACCGGGGTTTCTTGCATCACCTCTGAACTCTAGATCGGCTCCCTGCAGCTCAGCAAACGTGTTCCACCTTTCCAGTACCACTTACAAACTCGCCCAAATCTAGAGAAAGCTTTCTGTTGAATTGCTCGAACAAAAACCCCAAACAACTCTCAGTAATGGCAGCATCATAGCGACCCTTACTCGATTCGTCTCTGATAAAGGCATGCTGCGCAGCGTGAATTTCCAAGAAAGAAAAGTTCACGCCGTGCTCCCTCAATTCTTTGCGGATCAGGTCTCTGCCCTCAGGCGGAACGTGAGTGTCGAGAGTCCCGAATATCAACACCAGCTCTTGATCTTTCGATGCTTCTTGCGAAATGCGTTGCAAAGAGTCGTCATTCTGGCCCTTGCCCAAAGTTTTGCAGTGAATGTCTGTTGGGAAGAAACAGGTAGCGCAGCTAACCCTCTTGTCCAGTAAACTACGGAACGCCAAGTGTCCTCCCAAACACATTCCAGTTGCTCCGATCTTCTTGCCGTCAAACTGAGGCAGGCTGTACAAGTAATCACAGCACAGTTTGGTGTCCTCGTCGTATGATTCCAAGGGCTTTTGAATCTTGAATTCGTTGCCCATGTCTGTTCCCTTGACGTCGTAGGCCAATGGCTCCGGCCCAACAAAATTGTGGTAAATGGCAGGCGCCACCACAACATAACCCCGTGCAGCAATTCTTTGCGCGAATCTCCTAACTGGGCCTGTAACTTGGTAAATTTCGCTAAAGCATAGCACTCCGGGAAATTTGGCGTTTGGGTAGCCTTGAAGTTTGGGCGAAAAGGTGTAAAGTCTTAGACTAGAGTTGAAGCTGGTCTTGACGTCGTGAAAGGTCTCTTCGATTAGCATTCTTAAATGATCAATTGCTCAGGATCTTCTTCTCTTATACTTCTATATAATGTTATAGAAGTAGTGGGTATTTTATTAAGTAGTAATTTCCAACATCTAAATCTACAAAATTGAGGCCAACTCGCAAACCGAACCGTTAACATGGTTCAGTGTCTTAGGCATCACCAGAAAGCGGCAGCGCTGTAAAATACAGATCAAAAATGGTGAACAATTTTGCCATTGGCACCGCTTTCAGTCCCAAGAACCACAGATCTCGACAGTGTTACCAAGTTCAAATTCCAAGCTGCCCGGCTTTATATACGTCTATACATACACACAAATGTTTGAGTCGATCGTAAGTGGCCGTGAAGGGAGGTTAAAGTGGCTGAACATGGATTACTCAATTGTGCGCAAGAACCAATCGCTCCCGCTTTCGCAATGGACTGGCCAGGACCAGATTCTGATGAAAGTCGGAATGACACGCAAAGCAACCGTCTTAGCCAGGCTCTTGGAATGGGAAAATAGCTGCAAACACCCTATAACAGGGCTTGACCTATCAAAAGTCGAGCAGCTCCATCGTTTGTCTGTCCGGAACCAATCCCGACCGAAACACAGCTCATCGCTGGTTCGCCTGTTCCGAAAACTGTCGATCTCAAAGACACAGAAAGCTCAAAAAGCTCAAAAAAACGCACCAAATCTTGATAAAATTCCAAGTTTCAGAGATGGCGGGTTCTACGTGACAGAAGGACGGTCTTTGGAGCTCATAGAGACCAAAATTCACCAGCTCTTGTGGAAAAAGTATGGACAAGGACTGATCTACTGTTACGGGTGCAAGAATGAGCAAGGTCAGCCTAAAAGACATAGAGAATGGTTTATGGTGCCACTAGACCAAGTCAAAGATATATTTTGGGCCATTAGTGCCATCTGTAGCGAAAGCTGACATCTCGATATCTCAGTGTCTAGCTTTCTATTCTTACTACCCCAGATTATATATATAACAGCTGAAACAAGTTGACTACCTTCTAAAACAAATACCACAGACGAAGCAAAAAACGAGTCCCGGACAATGTCAAAGGGCAATAAGAGCAGGCCAAAGAACCGGAAACGGTTACCGAACGCCAAAAGACCTGCCGAGAAATCGAAAAATCGGGTTTTGGAAACCAAATGCACAAACGAAAACGACAATAAGACAATCAAATCTGTAGCAAGTCCGACGACCCCAGTATGTCTGGTAGACGATCTACAGCTGAACTCAAACACCATTGAGAACTGGCCTACAACTTATCTTGAAAATGGTGATTTTTTCGTGGAGACGATACGATCCGCGGCTACTAGCGAATTGCAAAGGACAGGAACTGTTTCTGATACAGATCGAGGCTCTGAAGCCGTCAGTGATGAGTTTCGCCACTACGACGTGCTGGACGAGCTCCTGTGTGAGCAAGTGGATCCTACGTTCAGTTTAGTGCCAACCCCGAAATCCAGGGCGGCCAGTGTGATGGTCACCAAAAGTGCCAACAACAGTTTTGACTGGGAAGCGTCTGACAAAGAGAAAATACAAGCGTCTTGGTCGGAAGTTGTTTTAGAGACCCAGTCCAAACTTTATTCAGCATATGCAAAGATCTACGCCGGGTTTTGGACCGGTGTGGTTCAGTTCAGTCTACGAACCAGCCTTTGGACTAATAAACTACAGTATGTTCTGCGTTGGAACCACGAATCGAAAAACCCGATGTCCTTGTTTCTTTACTAACATATTGTGGACTGCGAAGTGTCAGATGAACCAGAAACACATGGGCTTGCCACCCTCAACTTTTTTTGAGTTTCTGTGACACTGACACTTCGATTTCGCACGCTGACAGAAATTTGTTTACAGAAGCCACCAGTGATCCAAGTTTTGACTTGAATGACCAACAATCTCTAACCTGGAAACAGCAGCTGGAGCTCATAGCGAGGAATACGCCGAGATACTCACGATCTCATCCTTACAACGCGTTATTCATCTTTTCCTTTACAGCGACATTTGCTCCCGTGGCCATTGTTTTCGTTTCAGTTATGTCGATCATCTCGATTTTCCTACTTTTATTCTACGTAGGCGTGTTTTTGTCAGTGAGTGCAGTGGCTGCAATGCTTGTTGTTCCTCTGATGGGGCTGTCATTGTCGTTTGCTGCTACTGTAATGATTTGCGGATTCTTCAGTAACGCCTTTTTCAGATTGGCGCAAGTGATCTACGGCTCATACTCGGCATACAGCAAAAGATCGTTGAGACTCGCTGCCGACCAGATTCCACCCTCTGTTGGAACTATGGAGACCACTGGCGAGTCTCGAAGTGAAGCCATGCTTTCGAAAATCCCCAAATTTCCCAGAAAGAAAGTATCAAGTCCTCTGAGACCAATTGTGATTTCTGGAGCGGAGGTTCCAAACAGAAACATAGATTTGCAAGTGGCCTAGTGAATCTCTTGATGAGTCTTCCTTAGGTCCAACAATTGCTAGTCTTTCCGTCTATTTTACTGACGCTGCTTCTTCACGTGAATATGATTTTATGAAAAATGTCCAAGTTTAATTCAGTAACGTAGCAGGGTGTTACAACGAGTTTATAGCACACCTCCAGTCAGCTACTGAACCTGCATCCAATGCTATTTGCTCAAATTGCAGTCACTGCTCTTTTGAGTGTCACAGGAGCCTTAGGGTTGACTTTGAAACAACCTCACGTTGCATTCCTCTCCTCTGAGAAGAGGCCAGTTGCATTAAGCCCGGTATCCCAAAATTACGAAAAGGCTGTGAGGCCATTGGTAATTGATCGCGCGAACGAAACCTTGGAATTCAGTTTCTCGCTTGAAACTGAGAATCGTCCCGAACAAGCGGTTTTTCTTCTGGGTTCCGTACCTCGTAGCGCAGAGATCAGTTTCGAGCCAATAATAAAAACGCAACAAAATGGGTTCACTTACAGGTTCAAGGTCCCCGTTGAAAAGCTTCCCGAGCCATTGCTGTATCTGGCTCTAGAGTCACAGGAGCTTTTGACGGCTACGCTGGTTTTGGCCAATACAAACGGTGGCTCCGACAACTTATTTGTGGAGCTATTCGACTTGAAGTTGGATTTCGAAGCTGGAAAGGAGTTGTCATGGCCAGCGAGACTGGAATCTCAGCCGGAAATTACGCATCTTTTCAAGGGCACTCCCAAAACTGCGCCAGCATGGATAACCAGTTCCACGAGTATGGTTGTGGGCGCGTGTTTTGCAGTGCTCCTTGTTGCGTGGATGTCAATGGGAATGTTTTCGGCCGTGAGCCTGCCTCTCTCTAGCTCTAAAACACTTTACGTGCTGGCATTCATTGCATGTATTGTAGGCATGGAGTATGTTTTCGTCCAGTATTACCTGGGAGCTAGCATTTTTGTCACGCTGGAGCACGCATTCTACGTTTGCTTGGGCGGTCTTTTTTCCGGGGCCAAGCTTTTGCAGTCCTTTTCTCAGTGAAATCGTTCAATTTAGTATACAGCAGTGTTCTAAACACGGTCGTCAAAATTCATCCGAATAGCTATTTTCAATACTTCTAAATCCAAAAAGTGCTCCATCGTGCCAGATAGGTTTGTTGAAGTCATTGGCTGCGATTATCTTGCCTTTGATGAGTCCCATCGGTAGAGAATTGTAAGTACGAGAGTCCAACGACTGCGACAAATTGTCGCCCGTAACCCACACATGGCCCATCGGTACTCTTATATACGAGTTGAATGCCTGTCCATCGATATCATCGCCCTCTTTGGCACTGGGATCTATCAGTATATAATCTCCAGGCATGCCTGTAATTCGTTTGCAAACCCTCTGGTACGGATCTGTGGGCTTGACTGCGACTATGCAATCACCGATCTGACAGTCTTTACCGTTTCTATATTTCTTTGATGCATGGACATAGTCGTTGATTGCAGCTAGTGTCGGAAGCATCGACTCACCTCGAGTCTCTGTAAATTCATAAAAGTGCGAGTTTATAACATGAACAAGACAGAAACTTCGCAGTGCCAACGACCCAGTCCTGAGCCATAGTCCTACTGTACCCTTCATCAACTCCAGAGCCAAAGAAAAGCGAAGAGGCAGTGAGCACTGGCGACCATTCTGACCAGGACGAGATGGCCATCGATCTCGATTTCTACGCGATATATATTTCATCACGCCACATGATCGCAGATCTGAAAAAACAAGCACTGAAATGTGGACCGTAATTCTCAGACTCAGACTTAACGAGCATAGACATTAAGACCTCTGCCAGCCGCTCCGTTTTTCAGCTCCAAAAGAGCATGCTCGTCATTTTGATACCAAATAAGACCCCAAAATTATTCAATTTCGAATCCAAAAGATATAGTTGATGAAACCGGTGTGTAAAACACGAAAAAAATTGACAGAGAGCTAAAGTTAAGTTTAAAGGACGGATTGAGCTGTTATCAGCTGTCAGATAGCTCGAATATAGTGTATTTTCCGTCGTCCGATCCTTTAATTTGAGAAATAAGGCTCATCACGTGATTTAAAGGCCTCTACAGATGAGAATAACCATAAAGTGGCATCGACATCATCAACTTTGAGCATCCAAACTTCAATCGATAGAAGTCGCAGTTGCTTCTAGAGCTTTATCTGTCGTTATTCAAGCCTGTTCACCACTTTCGAGGGCAAGTATCGCTGATTTCAAGAGTGCTTTTCCTTCTTAAATCTCTGACTTGACATAACGATGACCACTCCGGCAGCTGAACAGAAGAAAATCATCGAGCAGTTAATGGGCAAGGGCTCTTTGTCCTCGCATCGTAATTCGTTCCGAGGTGAAATGAGTCTGGAAGATCCCAGAATATGCAAATCGTTCCTTGTGGGTGAGTGTCTCTACGATCTCTTCAAAGGCACCAAGCAGAGTTTGGGCCAATGCCCAAAGATTCACCTAGCAAAGCATAAAATACAGTACGAACGAGAGTTAAAAAACGGCAAGGATTTTGTGGAGTTTGAACGCGAGTATTATTCGATTTTGTTGAAGTTTGTGAACGACTGCAACGGTCAAGTTGCCGTCGCTCTCAAGAAACTGGAACACACGCCTGAAGAGCGCGAAAAAATCCAAAGAGTAACAGGCGAACTAGAGGTTTCAGACTCTCAAATTGGTCTGATGTTGCAGGAAATCAAGGTTTTGCTGCAGAAAAATGAAGTCACCAAAGCCATGATGCAATCTGTGAAACTGCAGCAGCTCCAGAAGCATCGCCAAGAGGTGGCCAAAAGAGTACGAGAGATTGCTGAAAACGTGGGACAGAGCGCCCAGCAGAAATTACAGGTATGCGAAATCTGCGGTGCGTATCTGTCAAGACTGGACACGGATCGGAGACTCGCCGACCACTTCATTGGTAAAATTCACCTCGGCTATGTCGTGATACGGCAAGAACTAGAGCGTCTCAGACAACGTTTCAAGAACCGTGGCGAAGACGTGACAACGATATCAAGCCGCAGGCCGGCCCAATCATACCCTGCTCAGCCGCGAGCCGGGCATACCTACAGATCTTCCTATCAGTCTCGCTACAAGCCTAGGACTTATAGAAATCACTGAAGCGCAGACACACAGTTTTGAAAAGGTATATTTCGACACTTTGACCAAGACATTGCCTTCAAATTTCAATGCAAAGCTGCCGAATTGTGCTCGATGGAACAAATCTAAACGTGGCGATGGTTTCCAGTGTCAACTCTCCCGAATTATACGGCTAATCAGAAATTGCGTTCATCCTCGGACAACTCTGCGAAAAATGGATTTTTTGAGTTTTGGAAAAAGATTTAGACTCACCACAATGATTCCACTCTACTCACATGAACCATTCATTGATCAAACCCTACCAAGCTCTCTGGTTCAGCTATTGGACTCGTCGTCCCGTCATAACTAGCGTGCCATTTAACATATGTGCCTTTGAACGAAATGTGAAAATGTTTAATGTTCCTGATCAAGCAGACTTCGTAAACTGATCACTGGAATAGCCATCGTGAAGAACACAGTCATTGCTCGAGCAGCCCTGTTAACAGGCTCACAAGGATTTCCGTTTGGGTATTTTATCAATCGTTTAAATGTCTTCCATCTTTGGTTCTAGTTCGCGTCCCGATAATAGATTTTCGAATCTCATGGTGAACCTCCCGCAACAACAAATGCAGCAGCAACAGTCGACTTCAGCGTTTACGCATCAACAGCCAGTGCATTCTCAAGCGCTGGTGGGTCCAGGAAGTGCTGGCCAGGGCTACGAACAAAATACAGAATCGTCGAAAACCTCGTGGTTCAACAATCCCCGGAAACGCACGATTCCGCAAACCATTGTGAAAAGAGCTGCCAAGGCGGAGCCTTCAGACACTTCTAATGGGAATGGAAACTCTGCGACGATCCCATCCAACGGAAGTGGATTTGGGGCCATGACATTTGGCTCCAAGCAGCCAGCTAGTAGCTACAATCCTAACAAAAAGCACCACGAGCCCAGAGATCCCGTACCCAACGCAATTCTCATTGATTCCAACGAAGCGCCCCCAACAAAGTCTTTGTTCGATTGGCAGCGGGAAGACGAATTTGGATCCATGTTGCCGGCTCAACAATCCGACGCTCGCCTCAAGAGTCAGTCTTTGAGCTCGTCCAAAAGCTATGATGCATCGGCACTTCGTAATGTTTTCGATAGAGACGCCAAAGCTGACGCATCGAAACAACTGAATGGCTCACCAAAGATCGTTAACGCGACAGACGCCACGAAGCGCGGCGAAAGTGCAGTGATAGTATTCGGGTATCCAGAATCGATCTCCAACCAGATCATTATCCAATTTTCTAAGTTTGGTACGATCTTGGAAGATTTCGAGGTTCTGAGAAGTGCTTCAGGCATCAATGCCGCAACTTTAAGGCTCCGCAATCAAAACACACGCGACAGTGGCAATCGTCGTAAATATCCAATTTTCACCGGTGATGGCTGGATCAAACTTACCTACGACTCACCATCTTCCGCCTTGCGTGCATTGCAAGAAAATGGTGTAGTATACGGTGGGTGTCTAATTGGCTGTGTTCCTTACAACAAAAGTGCCGTTGAACAGTTGGCGTCCTGCACAATTGAAAATAGTGACGACATTGGGAGCTTTAGCCCACCAACTAACTCTATACCGAACGGTGGAGTAGGCAGCATACAAATGAGGAACGATTCACCGGGAGATTTTCATGGTATCCACGACAATAATGCGTCGTATTTGAATACCCAGCGTTTAGATATGAAAGATGGAAAAGCGCTTTTTGTCAATAATGGGTCAAATACAGCTTATGGCAAGAACTTTTTACAAACGATCGAGACGAAAATGCAAGATCAGGAAGATCAGACTAAGAAACCAACTGGGGTCATGGGCAAAGTCAACAACTGGCTTTTCGGCTGGAACGACCTGTAATCGAAGTAAAGTATATAAGCATGATCTTTTTAGATTGATTAGCAGTTGCATATTATACATATTTTCTCAAATGCGATCGCGTACTATGTCCCGAAACCTATAGCTTACCTGAATGGCGGTCTTGTGTCCGAGACATCACCTCTGAAAGAATGGTTACCGCCCTTTATAGGGCTTATACTGCTGTGGCGAGATGATGCAGCAGACGATCGGCCAACGGGAGCGTCCCTTGTGAAACGGCTATCGATGTGCGTACGACGACCTCGACGAACAACCTCTTCGAACGGAAGTTCTGTATGAGTGCCATCTATGCTAAATGAGATGGACGTGTCCCCTTCCATCACAGGCCTATGGATGTTACGCAGTCCTGCTGCGCTCATATATCCCACAGGTTTTATAGGGCTGGTTGAATTCCGCCGAATTCTCGAATTGTTGATACTCCGTGAAATGCACATATCATGATTTGTGCTGCCCGTCCTATTCATCATGCCAAATGTGTTATTCATCATGGAAACATCAGCCCCATTTAAGGGCTTCAAGTTCGGAGTTAGAGGAGCAGATGTAGGCGACGCCTTATTATGCAGAAATTTCGAGGGCGTACCGTTCTTGCTAGGGCTCGGTTGTCGACTCCAAAACATGGGGCGGACAGAGGCGCCATTGATTACTTTTTCTCGTGGCGTTCTGTCTTGTAAATGGATCGAATCACGGCTCACATAGTTGCGAGCGACATTGGTAGTTTCAACATCTTCGAAGACATCGGTGGCAGGATTATAACGCTCCGTTATCACATCACCCAATACAGTATGAGTCTGAAAGATGTGTGATCTTGTTGTCGTGAAAGAGGGAAAAAACACAGCCGATCTGCCTCCATACGGGGTCGCGTCCACCATCGCATCTTGCGTTTTTACTGCACTTTTGGGTTTGATTATCTTTTCGTAAATCTCCGCGTGATTGGCCTCAGATAGACAAGCTTCATCGTCCAATCTGTCCTCATAGCGCTCATAGATGAGCAAGAACGAGATGTATTGATGAGCCAAGACCGGCAAAGCAGCGAAGAATGATACGTCCATCACTGTGAGAAAAATCAAGCATATCGGCGAGAAAGTACTGAAGAGCGCTGCACAGAATTTACCAGGAGCCCATTTTCGCAGGTCGTAGTAACACTTCCCCAAAGGCTGCTCTGGGCCCTTGATTTTCTTATGCCAAAACATCGCTTTAACCATGTACCACAACGAGCCTCTAGAAATGTCATGAAGCGAGCGGTAACCCAAGTCGTTGAGAGATCTTTTGGTAACGTTTTTAGACCGAGGCCGCGATTGACAATAGAACAGAGAGTAGACTTGATATCTGGCATGCAAAAATTTATAGGAGATCAGCATATTAGCAAGCAGCAGAATACAGCACGAGAATTGCAACAAAATGTTCATAAAACCCAAGAGCTCCCAGTACCAGTCAAGATGACGGTCAGAGATTTCTGTTGTAGCGGTGTGTGACCAAAACTCAACGTCCTGAAGGATCTTAGACTTTGACAAATCAAACGAATCGTGCTTTTTACCGATATTATGAATGTTTGGCTGGATCAAATTGTCCTGGAGAAGCCGCGTAACGAAAAACAACATTGTCAAAAAGTTGCCAATGGGTTTGGCCAAGGTTTCGGCCTTTGAATCCCAATCTACACTTTCAATGTGCTCATTCAGCATCAAAAAAACGTCATAAGGAGAGCTAGTCAGTAAGGAAACAAGACTTTGCAAGCGAGATTCCTGAACCTCATCGCCTTCGTTTTCTGGAATGCACTCCATATTTTGCGCATTTTGGTCCTTTTCTGCCTCGATCGAGCGCCATTCGGACTTCGAAACACGAAATGACATCACAGAATCGTCACAACAGCCAAATCAGCGCTTCTAGTCCGAGATTTTGGGTACTTTGAGTCTTTCAACGGGTGACAAGTTTACCTGGATTTTTGACCAGTTTATGGAATATAGGTAAACATTGAAAAATTACACTCCGTCGATGGCGACAGTAAAGTCCGATCCCAATTCTAAGCGCATCACGGTGTCTTCAAAGGCATTGCTGGGCCCATCTTTCTCAACAAGCAATACTAGTGGTTCTCGAGAGAGCAAAGTAATGTCCTTCAAAATTATCCCGTATTTTGGCACTTTTGAGAACTCATTTGTCGTGAACACAGCAGTTTTCGTATTCTTCGTGAAAATGCTGACTCTGATTGACATGGTAGGGCACGGTTGTAGTGGCAGTATGCGCAACTGAGCCTTGGTTGTTAGCTCTGAGGACGCTTGGATTTTTTTACGATTGTTTGTATTCCAGCGAAAATCGTATTTGTCGTGATACCTGTACGGGCCGAACTGAGGAACAATGCGTTTCAATTTGAGGGAATCGCAGCCGGTAGAATCGACGACAATTAGCTTAAACTTGTCCTTTATATCGTGGCGAAAACAGGAACAAACCACATGGTAGCGCGTATTGGTGGCTAACGGAATTGCACGTCGGGCGTAGACTTTGGATTCATATGTGTTGTCCATGGTTAGTGGACGTGCAAACTCGGCGTCATCGCAATGGTAGACCTGGGCGTTGACCGCCGCAGATTCATCGCTTATCAGCTGCATGTCAATATAATGTGTAGTTTGGGCTCGAGTATTTATCAAAAGCTCAAAAGTAGGGTTCATGTAATAAAATGGACTGGAGAACGATCCGAAGTTCGTAGTCGCATCCCATTCGCCGTCCACTGATGCAGAGTTTTGATTTTTGTCGTACTTTTGCGCCTGTACGAGGCCAGAGACGTGGTAGAAATGAATGCTGTAGTTTGCAGACACGTTGGAATGACAGGCCACTAATTTGCGGTCTCCAGGACCCAATTCGAGTTTGAGCAGACTGAATCCGAGATTGGAGCTGTTAGAGCTCTGAACGGATGGCTGTAAGTCCGAGGACACCAGCCCCAGATGGCAAAAATCGTTTTCCGTGAACGTGTGCCCCAGATGACGCTCTAGCAACACCCAAATTGGTTCTGCTGTGTCTGAACGGTTGACCACCTCGTATATCGGTTTCTCTACCGGACTGGGCGAGAACCTGTTTTGAGAGATGTCGTATTTGAAGGAAAGCACGCTGTGTCTCGCAAAAAGCTTGGTGAAGTCCCAATTGAGATACGCCACTTGGAAATTCTCGGAAAACTGTTGTTGCGAGAGAGTGCAGGTGTTAAGTGCGTCCAATGGGTCTCTTATGACAGGCGAGGTGTCGTCTGCGATACCGATGACCGGGTAGTCGTGGCACGGGAGAAATTGCGGGTCTCGCGCGGTAGCGCCCGTGCCTAGGGTGATGAGACAGGCCGAGCTTTTGAAAATCGTGGCGATGCGCTGAAACGAGATTTTGTGGGTTGCAAGGGCCTCAGGGATAAACCCATTGAGCAAAAAAGTGTCGACGGCGCTGTTGGAGCCGTCGAAGCGGTAGCTCGAATTGTTTTTGACCTGCATGTATGCGTTTTCCAGCGCTCTATCGGCCAAGTCTGCTGAAAGAACGACGGGCTGTTTCGTAAGCCGCGGAGCGTGCACTTGCACGAGTCGATTGGCGGCACCGTTAAAATGCAGGTTCACGTTATACCACCCAGGCCCTGCGTGCGTCACGGCCAACGTGGGGGACGCCCGTTGACGAATATTGATGAGACTAGCCACGAACGAGCAATTGTTGATTGCAGGATTTTGCGAGATGCCCGAAATGTCATAATCCTTCGCTTTCACTTCCTTTGTCTCCTCCTCTGCTTCCTCCACCTCTTTCTTCTCGTCCTCGCCCTCGCTCCAGCGTGCTTCCCCGGCGTCCTGCACGCTGACGGGCACGAACCGTCGACCCCACACCACAGAAGTAAGCCAGCGATACCTGGTTTCCACACTACGTTTTACCACCTCCTTTTCCACGCGTTCCATAGCCCACACCACTCGTTCTTGTTTATTCAATGCCAACTTGTCTTTCAACTTGAACCATTCATTTTTGTCCTTTCCCAGCGCCAAAACTTGCCAAGTTTGGTGGCAAAATGCTCCCCAAAAACCGCTCTCTTCATCTAGACCATTCTCACAACCCATTGACTCATTATTCCCATACATCTATCTCATCATCCGATTTCAATGCTCGGCCGATCCTTTACCATTTAGCTCATCGCTTCTTAATTTCGCCTTATCTGCGCACGGCCTGAAAAAAATCGAGATATCCGGGTTATCGAAAAGTGACTAAATCCAGCTCCCCTGATGATCAGAAAAACGAGTATATAAGGAAGAGCGTTGATATGGGGGTGGCGATAAAACCCAAAATGACAGATATATGTTCAGAACGCGTAAAACAAGCGTAAAACGAGCGTGAAACGAGCGTAGAACGAGCTTGGAACGGGCGTAAAACGAGGCATAAGCACGTAGAACGCACGTAGAACGCACGTAGAAGGCTAGTTGACATTGCTCATACACAGCTCAGTCCAAAAAAATGGAGCGAAATACGAGTCTTCCAACGCGGTGTACACCTTGGGTCTACGACGACATCACAGCGTGCAATCGAGTATGGATTGTGGGCTACTACGTGCCGTTGGTGGCTCTGGCAGGTGCTGTCGGGTTCACAGGGTATAAAGTGGCTGTTCACGCGCTCAGAGAACACGAGAAGCCAAATTACGCAACCCAGCTGGCGCCAGACGCCAACGACGACGAACGGAAACCACTGCTGGCAGACCACGCAGGTGCAGTGTACCAGGCACGTGATGTAAGTGAAGTCGACGGTAGCGGTAGCACCCAGCCAGCACAGCTCTCGTCGAAACACGCCCTCAAGGAAGACCATTTCTCGATAGAAAAAATCCGGCTCACAGACGCCCAAGGCACCCCACACGGCGTGGTCGAGGTCGTAAGACGCGGGTTTGTCGAAAAAACGCGCGTGGTGCTCGAGTTTTTCGCGTGTGCCGCCCAGCTTGCCATCCACGCGTTTATATGGGCCCGTCTCGCCGGTGACTACACCGATTTCCCCGTGAAAGCAATCGCTGCACGCACCGCGCTATGGGCTTGGCTGTTGGTCGTGGTTGCTCTGCGTCTCGCCAACATCAACCAGCAGGTGCGTTGGATCTCCAAATACCCGGGCAATCTGTGGTCTGTCTCTTTCGTGTCTTACATGGTATTGTTTGCTGCGCAGATCATGCCTTTCCGCTCGCATCTGATCGGTCACATCAAGGAACGCGTCGTGCAGCAATACACCCTTTCGCAATTTTACTTGACCTTGATTTTGTTTTTGCTAATGTTCACCGCTAAAGTCGGGAACAACTACGCCTACCTCTACCGCACAAACCCAGAAATTAAGCCCTCCGTAGAGCCCGTCACCTCAATATTCTGTTTTGTTACTTGGTCCTGGATGGACCGCTTCCTTTTGGAAGCGAACAAACAATCAATTAAACTCAAGGACATCTGGGGACTCAAGTTAGATGATTACTCCATTTTCGTCCTCAAAAAATACAAAAACTCTATCAAAAACACACACCGGAAACTCTCTCACAATTTGTTTTGGTTCTTTTCGAAGTACCTCGGGCTACAAGGATTTTGGGCCTGCTTCGACAGTGTACTCAGTTTTATTCCTACTTTGCTCCTCAAACGGATCTTGGAATACGTGGACGACCAATCCACCGCTCCAAAGAACCTGGCTTGGTTCTATGTTTGCACAATGTTTGTCTGCAGAGTTGCGGTCGCAATTTGTCAATCTCAAGCCCTTTTCTTTGGCCGGAGAGTATGCATTAGAATGAAAGCCATTATCATTTCAGAAATTTACACCAAAGCACTGAGAAGAAAAATCTCTGCCAACTCCTCGAAGCCATCCACCGACGAAGTGGATCCACAAGATTTGAATGCCAAGGACGACGTGAACGGCGATGAGGAGTCCACAAGTGCCAACCTCGGCGCTATCATCAATTTGATGGCTGTAGACGCTTTCAAAGTGTCCGAAATTTGTGCTTACCTGCACGCCTTTGTTGAAGCGTCCATTATGACAGTTGTTGCACTAGTTCTTCTTTACAATCTGTTAGGATGGTCAGCTTTGGTGGGTGCAGGACTCATTGTTGCTCTACTTCCTACCAGTTTCAAGTTAACCACACTGTTGGGACAATACCAAAAGGAGTCTTTGTCCATCACTGATAAAAGAATTCAGAAGCTGAACGAAACTTTTCAAGCTATTCGCATCATCAAGTTCTTTTCGTGGGAGGAAAACTTCGAAAAAGAGATCCAGGACATCAGAGACCAAGAATTAAAACTAATACTAAAGCGTTCCATTGTATGGGCACTCGCTAGTTTTGTCTGGTTTATAACACCAGCATTGGTGACATCTGTGACGTTTGCCGTCTACATCTATGTGCAGGGACGAGTTTTGACTACTCCCATTGCCTTCACGGCTCTCTCATTATTCATGCAATTGAAAAATCCTCTCGATCAATTGTCGGACATGTTGAGCTTTGTGATCCAGTCTAAAGTTTCCCTTGATAGAGTCCAAGATTTCTTGGACGAAGAAGAGACTGAAAAGTACGAGCAAATTACTGTGGACTCCAAGAGAATTGGATTCGAAAATGCTACTTTTTCGTGGGATAGGAGTACCGCTGATTTTAAGCTCAAAAATTTGAGTTTGGACTTTAAGATGGGCAAATTAAACGTTGTTATCGGTCCTACCGGATCCGGTAAGACCTCTCTACTCATGGCTTTATTGGGAGAGATGGATCTTCTAAGCGGTAAAGTATACACTCCTTGCTTGGATGCCAGAGAAGATTTGATCGTGGAATCCGACGGTATGACGAATTCAGTGGCATACTGCTCCCAAGCTGCCTGGCTCCTTAACGATACGGTCAGAAACAACATTTTGTTCAGCAGCCCTTACAACGAAGCCAGGTATCAGGCAGTAGTGGAAGCTTGTGGCTTGAAACGTGATTTTGAAATTCTGAGCGCAGGAGACCAAACAGAGATTGGTGAGAAAGGTCTCACCTTATCTGGCGGCCAAAAACAGAGAGTTTCTTTGGCGCGGTCTCTTTATTCCTCGTCCAGACATATCTTACTCGATGACTGTCTAAGTGCTGTTGATTCCCACACAGCTTTGTGGATTTACGAAAACTGTATTTCAGGTCCTCTGATGGAGGGCAGAACTTGTATATTGGTCTCCCACAATGTTGCATTAACTTTGAGAAATGCCGACTGGGTAGTATACATGGAAAGCGGCAGAGTGAAGGACCAGGGTGAACCTCTCGAACTTTTGAAGAAAGGTATTTTGGGCCAAGATGAACTCGTCAAAACCAGTATCCTTTCTCGCGGAGGATCGTCAACGAGCTTAAGTCGCAAACTTGCGAAGAGTAGTACTGACTTGAACAAGGTGAACAAGAAAACCAAGGAAGAAAGCGCACCACAACAAAAGGACTCGCCAACGGAGGAGGACAAGATTAAGCTGGGCAAATTGATAAATGAAGAAACCAAGTCGGAGGGTGTCGTTAGTCTTGATGTTTACAAATGGTACGGGCAGTTATTTGGTGGCTGGAAAATGGTTTCATTCTTGGCGTTCGTGTTCGTCTTATCCCAAGCTGTTCACATTTCTGAATCAGTGTGGGTTCGTAACTGGGCGTCTCACAACACTTTGGATGCGATGAAAACCTTTGCTGTTGGGATCCTCTCTTCGAAGTCTGTCAGCTCGTTCATGCCCCTTGGGGTCCGAGAATTGCACGCCGACATGTTTTCTGAGGTATCTTCACCTGACGCCGCGTACTCCAAGGCAACTACTGGTCACTCCACAATTTATTACCTTTCGATTTACTTCTCCATTGGTGTTGCCGTTGCGGTCATTTCTGCCTCCAAGACTATAATCAACTTCATTGCAGGGCTTAACGCATCAAGAAAGATATTCAACCTTGTTTTGAAAAGGGTTCTATATGCGAAGCTGAGATTTTTCGACTCCACGCCAATTGGTAGAATCATGAATCGGTTCTCGAAAGACTTAGAAGCGGTTGACCAAGAGCTAACGCCATACGTTGAAGGTGCATTCGTTTCTTTGATTCAGTGTGTTACAACTGTTCTGTTGATCGCCTACATCACCCCTGGATTTTTCTTTGTTGCATTGCTCGTTGGTTTAATGTACTACTTTGTGGCCTACTTCTACATGGTGGGCTCGAGAGAATTGAAGCGGTTTGAGTCCATGAGCAGATCACCCATTCATCAACACTTTTCTGAGACATTGGTTGGTATATCGACGATTCGTGCATTTGGAGACGAACGTCGTTTTATGGAAGCAAACCTACAAAAAATCGATGAAAACAACAAGCCTTTCTTCTACTTGTGGGTTGCGAACCGTTGGTTAGCCTTCAGAGTTGATATGATTGGTGCGCTAGTCGTTTTTGCTGCTGGTGTTTTTGTGATGTTAAACATATCGTCTTTGGACTCTGGGTTGGCTGGTATCTCTTTGACCTATGCGATTTCCTTCACCGAAGGCGCGCTGTGGTTAGTGAGACTGTATTCCAACGTGGAAATGAACATGAACTCTGTGGAACGTTTGCAAGAATATATGGATATTGAGCAAGAACCTCATTATCAAAGTACCCATAACCCACCTCCAGAATGGCCAAACCAAGGTAAGATTGAAGTCAATGATTTATCTCTACGTTATGCGCCCCACTTGCCTCAGGTAATCAAGAATGTCTCTTTCACCGTTGAGTCTAACGCCAAAGTTGGTATTGTAGGGCGGACTGGTGCTGGAAAATCCACTATCATTACTGCCCTTTTCAGATTCTTGGATCCCGATAGTGGGTACATCAAAATTGATAATGTAGACATAACCTCTATTGAGTTGAAAAGACTTCGTCAATCTATCACGATCATTCCTCAAGATCCCACATTGTTTTCAGGTACAGTTAAGTCCAACTTAGACCCATACGACGAGTACACAGACAAGCAGATATTCGAAGCTTTGAAGCGCGTTAATCTCGTCACTCAAGAGGAGTTGGACAATGCCGGGACCGAAAGTTCTGATGCTTCATCCGTCCAATCCAATATTAACAAATTCTTGTCACTGGATAACGAAATCACTGAGGGAGGAAACAACCTCTCACAGGGCCAGCGTCAATTGGTTTGTTTGGCTAGATCTTTATTGCGGTCGCCGAAGGTAATACTGTTAGATGAAGCTACAGCTTCCATCGATTATACATCTGATGCGAGATTACAACAGACAATCCGGGAAGAGTTTTCTTCCAGTACCATTTTGACCATTGCCCACAGACTAAGATCCATTATCGATTACGACAAGATTTTGGTAATGGATGCAGGTGAAGTTAAAGAATACGACCACCCATATTCGTTGCTATTGAACAAAAACAGTATTTTTTACAGCATGTGCGAGGATAGTGGTGAACTAGAGTCATTGCTTCAACTTGCAAAGGAGTCTTTCGTGAAAAAACTAAACTCCAAATAATTGACGTTGTGTTTAAAAGATCATCACAGGTCATTTCAATTAGATCGTAAATAGAAATCTATAATAAAAAGTTAATGCGTAAAGGATCTACCTAGAAAGCATACTCTTTGTACCACTCTACCGACACTAAACTATCCTCCATCATATGCACTTTTCTCTTCAATTCATAACCTAGAAGCTTTGGGAATACAATGAACTTCATAAACCAGAAACCGAGACATGTTGTCATAATGAGAAGTGCTGCCACAGGGTATGGCGGTAAGTGACTGACGGTCGCCTCGTGCTGATCGCCAATGAAAGGGCCGATCAGAAGATAGGTCGACAGAACAATGAGAGCACCTACTCCAAGTGAATTTGCGCGAATCTCAGCTATTACATCTGGGTTGCGCTTCCTGTAGATAAAAAGACCGACCGCAACTAACAGAATAATAAGTTGATTGGAGTAGCCTTCTAAAGCCACGAGGTAACTGTAGGCAGCACCAGATGATGGGAGAAGAATCAACCAAAAACAAGTCAGTGCAGCACACAGTAGTGAAGAAGACAGCGGTGCACCCCAAGGTCGATTACTAGCCATAATTTTGCTAAAAGGCAGAAAACCCTCTCTGAAGCATTCTTGACTCATTCTCGAAGTTGAGTAAACGACAACAAACAGGTTAGATGCCGCAGATAGGGCAATTCCTAATGTGATCAATTTCCGACCAACATTTTCTCCTAATAGCCTTGTAAATAGAATGGATCCCGCTAGCGGACCAGCCGCTTTGAATTCCTCATACGTGAAAACCTTCAGGTAAGCCACGTTCACCGACAAGTAGCAAAGTAAGCATGCCCCTAGAGATAGAGGCCCAGCTATTTTGAGAGTTCTTACCGGGTTCTTGATTTCTGATGCAACTGTGTGAACGGTATCCCAACCTGCAAAACAGAAGAAGGCTTGAATGAAAGCTGTAGTGACGGAAGAAACTGTAACCACATCTTGGCTTTGCAGCAGTGATGGCAATTGTGTTGTTGCTATTTGAGAGCTGTATTCTGCCGGCTTATAGAAACACACGGCGTAAATTCCAGTGAGACTGATGATCAACGCGAACAGTAGCTTGAGAGCTCCAAGGAAATTTTGCACCAAAATTCCTCCCTTTACAGAGTACCCATGAATGAACGAGATGCAGATAACTAGGACGGCACCGACGTAATTGCAAGCGGCTGAGTTTTTGTTAACAAAATCTTCGTCAAAACCCAAACCGTAGAGGACGTATTTGCCAAAGACAATAGCATTAGAGACTGCCATTCCCATAAGCACAGTGTAAGTGGTGAAGGTGACACTCATCATTTTGGCGGGCTTAGTGTAGACGGCTTCCAAGAAATTTTTACGGCCCCCGGACCGGGGCAGTAGCGAACCGAACTCCAGAAACAGGTACAGACCTGCAAAGGCCATTGCAGCTGCAAAAAACCAAATGCCGAAAAACAGAATAGGATTACCACCACATCCTACAAATATGCTGCTTGGGGCCGCAAAAATGCCAGAACCGATGATTCGCGAAACGAAAAGCACAACTGTGGAAAAGACTCCTAAATGGCGACCCTGAGGAACCTCGTTGTGGAAGCCCAAATCCAAACTTAAAAATTCGAGATCATCACTTCGCAGTGAAGAGACCGATCCATACGTTAAAGAATCTTCAGCAAAAGTTTCTTCGCCACGCTCTGAATCTGGAAACTTCTTTAACAGAGTTGAGTTTTGATTTGCCAGCACCATTCCAAAAACCAAGGGCCGTTCAAATCTGCCAATTTCAAGGCGATTTATTTTCTCTCTTGAATTCTGAGTATTTTAGAATAGTCAGCTAACTACCGAATTCTTGAGAGGACGAAGATGGACCTTAACTGAACTTCTTAAATATGAGGTGTTGGTATTTTAAAAACTGTGGCTATTTATCAAATATCTTTTATCATCGTATATTACTTATGTAAATCAGAGCATTTATAACAAAATATATAATAAGAACAATGTATGATAACAAATACCAAAAATATAGAGATATATTTGTCATAGATCAGTATCCGAAAACGATGTTAGCGTTTAGGATCGCTAAATTCTTATTAAGACGTTGAACGCCGTCAATTTGAGACTTTTTAGAGATGAATTGGGCCCGAAACACAGTTTTCAGCAAGTTTAGATAATTTCGAGCTCAAGTCTATAGAATTTATGGTTTACCGGCAGTAAGGCTGATTTCATTGGTTGAAATTGAAGAAGAAACGACGATCAAGTAGTAGAGCTTTTAAGGGATGAGCTAGAGCCAACGCTGACTCTGGTTTTCCTGCTTTTGTTTATTAGAATTGTCGATTAAATGAGCGGCAAGCATCGAGCGAACCATGTATTTGTATATGTGTAGGAAATGGTCGGTTTCGTAAGAATCACGCACAAGACGGGGGAATTGAGTTGTGGGTCTAGAATGCTATCTGAGCTGCGTCTTCTGGGACGCTGACACCAAGACCCTATTGATCGACCCTTTGCTTCCTTTTAAAACTTGCACAGAAGATCAATTGTCAGATTAATTCTGTTGCCCATGCCAAACGTGAGTGCCTCGATAGCTCTTTACTACTCGTGGTACGAGGCATCAATCAGAAACGAATTTTAATTTTCCTCTCGAAACACCGCACAGCAAACAGAGGCTACGTTGCAGATTGCGACCAACCGTCTGATTTCCCTACTTCGGTTCATTGTTACCTCATTTCCTCAAATTGCAGGGATATCAATTTTTTGAAAAATCGCGAGTTTCCGATAGCGTTTTAACCATGTAGAAAAACTAGGAAAAGGCCACAACCATCGCGAATATAAATTACCGCTCACAAAATACCATTACAAGTGACAGAGAATCTCACAACGTTGTTCAACTTCAACCGTTCTGACACATCGAAGATTTGTTGAGATAAGTCACGTGACATACTGGGCTCCTTTAAACCTTTAATTTCAATTTCGACTGGAAAATTGCATAGTTCAAGAATCAGAACTGACGATGATGACCAATTGAAACGTCAATTGATCGTCTGATTCTCGCTTCAATGTCCAAGAATCAACTGCCTTATTGGACTTCGCAGTTGAGATTAGCTTATAGAAACTCTTCGCGGCAACGACGATTCACTTACAAGCAGAATGCGGCCAGGATTGATCGAGATCGAGCTGAGTATATATACAGGGCAGAAAATAAGCAATTGAAACAACATGAAGTGTTACTGCCTTCAAAAATAGAGTCTTTGTCCGTGGCAGAGCTGCAGGCGGTTTTGTGCAAAGATATTGCTGGGAATAAAGGTTCAGAGCTGCGATTTGTGCTGCTCAATACCAAAAAGTCCCGAGATCGTGAAATTAAAAACTTGACATCCCATCGAAATTTGTTCAAAAACCGCATTGCCTCCACGTACACGTTTCCAAATAGTCCGAACGAGAACGGCGTTTACCTGAACGACAGCCAGGAATGGAATATTACGTTAAGACTTCCAACTTCTGACAATACACATATACAAGTTTTATGGCCATCTATGGAGCTTTCTCTTGCATGCAGAGCGATCGGGGTTTGTGATCGCGATATATACAATGAGTTTCAAGATAAAACCGTTTGCCATCCGGTGACGGGTGACCCAATGCCAATCTGCTTCATTCCTACTGGAATCCCCACCAAGGCGCCCTTCACAGCATTGGCACCACAGCTGAATTCGTCTGTATGCGAGCCTGCTGTTCGTGAACTTCTCCCACTTGCAGTGATTCCATCACGACGCTGTACCACAAAGGAGGTCAAAAAAGTTAGGGAATTTTGCGTTGATAGAACATTTCTGGAAAATAGTGAAAGAACACATCCCATGATTTTAAGCTCCGCCAAAGGCTTTAAAAGTGACTTGAAACGCACGTCACAGTTACTGAAAGCTCTCGAATCAGGTTCATTTTTTTCCACAGGAAGTTTGAAAAAACGCATGTGCACTACAGACATTTTGCGAGCAACCGTACTGTCTAACAATATAACAGAAGAGCAGTTGAAAGCAGAGTACTGTAAAATTTCAATTCTTTACAGCATCTTCGAGAATTTGCGGAGAATCAAGATCCGTGTCGAGAACATCGAAGCTGGTACTGGACAGCAGTCACTTACTTCATGGGACATACAAATTCTTAAAGATTTGCGCGAACTCAATCAGTGTCGGATAGATTCTAACGTAGACGATTTGATAAAAAGTAAAGATCGGTTTGACGAGTTCCTATCTCGTCTTAACACTTTTAATGTGATTATCAATGCGGAATTACGAAGCGCGGCCAAACGGTCACAAAAACCTGATTTCGACCGTCAAAATTCCATGGTTCAAGTGCTGAGCGCACTTATTTCGAGTTGTCGGATATTACCGGCCTTATATCCCAATATGTCTTTCGAGATGGAGCGCTTTACACAAGGCATCAAACCAATAACGTTTAACAGTCAAGAAAACGAGAAGGCAGAAGAAGGATCACGTATTATAAATACTGTAAAGGCTATTTTGGATTTTGAAAGCGATGTGGTGGGAAACGAAAACACGCCGCGTGATCACAAACTGGTGCTGCTGGTCGCCCAGCCCCTGCCGGCGGAAGTTGCACGTTTGTTTCAATTCAGTACAAAATTGGAGCTTCAGATTACAACTTCTTTGGATGCTGTGCGTAAGGTGAGCAATTCTGAATGCATTATGAAAAGGAATATTGACCACGACACTAACATCTACCTGTACGAGGCGAAGCGATTGAAACTGAATGTTGCCGAGTTTCTGGAGAAGTCGGCCGCTAATTAGAAATGCAGAGCTGCAAGACTGGTGCAAGACTGATGCAAGACTGGTTTTTCACGAACAGCATAGCAAGAATTATAATCTTACGTAAACAAACTCGTTACATCTCATATTGACGCGGAGAGTGCTGAAGATTGATGCTAATGTCGCTGAGCTTGATTTCGTCCGCGTTTTTTCCTTCCAAATTGCACTCGTCGAGAAGTGAACACTTTTCTAGGAACTGCCTGCAGATAACCTTATGAATTCGAGAAGTTTCAAAATCCCCTGCCCCTCACAAATTCTCAGACATGCAAAATTTCATTTCACACAGTTCTTGACTCTTCTAGGGCCTGCCATTCTCGCTCCAGGGACCTCACTCGCTTCTGAGTGTTATTCCAAAAATCGTTGCTTCTCGCGTTAAATTCCACAAATCGATGCATTAGCGCCATAGTCCCTACTACCAGCCGCGAAACCTGTGAGAACTGCTGCGGCAATTGCGAGACTTGCACGCGGCCAGCGCCTGCCTTGCCCGTGAGACTGCTGTCCAGGATTCCACACGAGATCACGTGATCCAGGCTCTCGTCTCGATACCACAATTCCAGCTCTTGCAACTGTCGCAGAATCTCCCTGAATGAGTCCAAACACGTCAGTAGCACCGTTTTTTCATCACAAGACAAATTTACACTGCTGCTTTCACCGTGTGTTTCTAAAAGTCGCCAAAAAGTCTTTGAGCACGCCGTTCCATCCCTAAGCATCCGTTTGACTTCGTTCGAAATAGCCTGTAATTTATACAAAATTGTCTGTGTCTCGTTATCATCCACGTCACCAAAACGTCGTTCTATTTGAACGACGCGCTCCTTCAAAGCTTCCAAGTTCTCCCTCATCGCCTTCACTATTTGTCTATCTAGTTTACATATATATATATAGATCTCATAAAATGCTAATTTAAAGGAGCCGCCCAAAATCTGAAGAAAATTAAAGATTCCGGGTAATCCCAGGGGTTCCTATATATACACGAATAATTCCCCTTAGAAATAAATAGTGGCAATAAGGCCCCTTTTCGACCACTTGTTACAACTTGGTTAAAAGTTCAACAAAACAGCATAAAGACTTGCCAATCAGCGTAAAATGTCGAGATCCGGGTATGTGTAAAGATGGTGAATAGGAGGAGCGCGAAAAAACGGGGAAAAACGGTCGAATTTGGTCGATTTTTGAGCGAAAAACGAGTTGAAAATCAGGTGAAAATTGAAACAACTGTGGGAGGGGAAATTGGGTGGGTTTGAGTGGACCAGAGTAGTGGGAATTTGTTTGATGAAATTGTCCATTGATGGTGCTTCAATTTGGCTATTAAGGGAGCATTGAGTTTCGCGGAAATACCGACTCTTGATTTTTTGGGATTCAAAGAGACCAAGTTTGATCATGAACTATGCCCTAGGGAGAAGGAAAGTGGCATCGTCTCGAAGCGGTGTCGCTCGGTGATCAGAAACTGCACTTTGATTGAGCAGTCTACGGCCGAATGTGATAGTCGTCCTGGTTTTTGATACGCACTGCTGATTTTTCCATTCGCGCTAAACCGGGCTTTTTAGGCGTACTATTCAGCAATGGAGGTGTGTTCCACATCTCTCGCTCGCGCACTTTTCACCAATGGCTCATCTAGTTCACTCTACTCAATTCTTCCTTGCTTGAAGATATGCGTATTCTTCAGCAATCGCACTTCCAGTACTACTTGCTCTTTACTAACTCATTCCAGTGTTGCCGTCGCAGATGAATCCATGAAAGCCTTCAATGACCTAAAATTGGGCAAGAAATACAAATTCGTTTTGTTTGGTCTAAATGACAGCAAAACCGAAATCATCGTCAAAGAGACTTCGGACGCGCAAGACTACGACGCTTTTCTAGAAAAGTTGCCAGAGGACGACTGCCTTTACGCCGTTTACGACTTTGAGTACGAAATTGGCGGCAACGAAGGCAAAAGATCCAAAATTATCTTCTACACCTGGTCTCCAGACACTGCCCCAGTCAGAGCGAAGATGGTGTACGCTTCCTCAAAGGACGCTCTAAGAAGAGCTTTGAACGGTGTATCTACTGACATTCAGGGCACTGACTTCTCTGAAGTCGCTTATGAATCTGTTTTGGAGAGAGTCAGCAGAGGTGCCGGCTCTCACTAATTGCGCTAACGTTCAAACTGGTCACACATGGCTATATAGAAGCTTCACGTAACAAAAACCATTAAGACATCTCATAGTCTAGCATGCCTAATACGAGCGGACCTCGCCTCGAGTCCGGTTCAGTGATTAGCGTATATGAAACTATTTTAGCGCCGAAAATGGCACTTTCTCGAAGAAAAATGCTTCTTGCGATACAGGCGACGTCCACACTAATCTGTCAATTACAGTTCCTGCAACAATAAACCTCTTGATTCCCCAATCTCCCTTGCCGTAAACTTCAGGAATTTTAGTCGTAATCTGTGGGAAAAGGCTCTTGTAAAAGGGCAAATACTCTTGAACATCGTCCTTATCCACAACGATGGTGTTGGTCACGTCTTGGAACGTGGTCACAATAAATTCAGGAACGGTGTTACTTGTCCCCCCGTTAGAGCTCCTTACAATCCATATGAGAAGAGCTTGTTGCAAAAGTCCTTTGTAAACCAGATCCTCGTATTTGGTAACTCCAAACGTTAACGTTAAGCTGTTGACAAAAACCGTGTCGGTTTTGAAAAGTGTCTTGAATGAGATCGGCTTTGCCTCTTTGACTAGTTTCTTTTGGTATTTTCTTATGCAATCTGAAGCTTCTTGATAAATCCGCTTCTGTCCTGCAATGTAAACCTTTGCGGCTTTGGACCTTTGTGCATTGCCCATGGAGACTTTGAGTTTGAATGCACCTTTGAAGAAAGCCAGTTTTTGATCCATAATACCACTCAGTTGCGTGATCCCCTCTAGCGTGCTTCTGATGGTGGGGACCTCTTCGGAAGTCAGTTTGTTCAGTATACCGAAAAGTTTAATGAGTTCAACGGGGAGTGGTGTCTGACATGACAACGGGAAATTCACCGAGCTATCAGTGGCGCTAATGTCACTCAATCTGAGGCCCATTACTTCCAAACTCGAAAGCTGATTTTGAGGAAGTCTCAAAGTTAAAGTAGCCGAATCAAACTGATTTTCAGTGATCGCGAAACCGTAACCAATCAGCAATTCTTCATTCGACTTGTCACCATAGTTATTGAATAATTCGTCACCTGCAGCAAGCTTCTCACCAGTACTGAAGTTCACCGCATTATTATCAGGATCTTCTCTCCAGCTTACGATCTTTCCATTGGCATGATTCAGCAGATCGACTATGGGAAACAAGAATGCCTGGTTGATATTTTCAACGTTTGCATTACTGAAAATCATTTCAGGGAAAGCACGAGAAGAGAAGATGTACGTAGCCCATAAGTACGCCTCAAAACTGTGCCAATTTGGATTTTCGTTACGGGAGAAAAGATCTGTAGGATCCACACTTGAGGACGAGTGAAGATAGAATTGAGTATCCTGGTCATCTACGGCTTTCAAGCTTGTCACCACATCAAACCACTCACCGATCAATTTCTTCAAGTTACGTCTCGTTTTGATCAGCAATTCGGTGCCTTTCAAAGCACCGAGTTCCTGAGCAGTCCAAAAATAGGGCGAGTTAATGTCCTGAGGGTTAGGAAGTAAATCCAGATATGGTTTGAAAAATGTGGATTCCTGGCAGCTACCATCAAATTTCAATTTAGCAACGTACAGTTGCAAAAGAGCATTAGGATTAACATCTGCATTGAATTTCTTTCCGAAATGGTCCTCCGCCAACTGACGACGGAGAAGTAACTTGTTTGGTATTTTCAGCAAAGCATCGCTGCTAGTTATTGGTGCTTGGGCAGTAGCATGAACACCGGTGAGTTGATCGTACTTGAACTCCAATCTTTCGTCAATGTAAGCGCCATTATTTTGAGCCCATTTAATGCACTGCTGCAAGGCGTTAGAGCTCATCTTGGTTGATTCTTTGACAACTTTTATACTTTTTGAGCATAATCAAGTTTTCTTAAATCTCGTAGTAGATCGTGTGCGATTATTGCAGGGTACTGTGAATGAGAACGTTCCTACAAGACAACCGCCTCTAAGTTTGGATGAATGACTAGAGTAGTGTGTAAGAATGCCAAGAACTTTCAAGAACCATCGAACATCCCGGGTGGTTTGTTGGTGGTGTTTGGCTGAAGGGCCACCAAAGATAAAGTCTTAGATATTTAGTGCTTGCTACCATCGAGTAGACTTTCTCACATATCTCGTTAAACAGTGGGTAATTGTATGAGCAGATCAATCTGCTGCTCGAAGCGAATAGTTTCTGGAGTGAGCTAACAGCGTTAATGAGTGTTGGTGGAAGTTTGACGACATGGTGACAGCATGGTACGAAGTGACAGGATTTGAGTATAGCGTTAAATTGTAGTAGTGTATGCGATGGGCAGAAGGGTTTGAAGGACTGTGATCGCCAAGCATTCATCGATGGTAGTGAGTCGAGCATTAAATGAGCTCTAATTTACTCCTTTCCAAAATTAATCAATTCTGTAAAATATTCAAGACGCTATTCATTTGCCCATCACAATATTACAGTCAATTTGTGGAGACATGCAGGTTTATTTGTAGAACGCTTGAATCCATTCTCGATCATCAGTTCAATTATCATATTCATTACTAGCTCATCACAATAAATTCTGACAGACTATCATACAAGGCACTGGGTTAAATAGCATCATCACGCAGGATTCTAAGTGGAATAAATATATAAGAGTCTATAAAGTCAAATAAAGTCAAATCTTTTGAACGTTGGAGCTTCCTGAGCTTCAAGCTTGGGGTGCACTCTTTTTAAGCAAAAATAGAAGCGATCAATAGCGTCAACATGGAGGTCCAGTTCAAGCCAACGACACCGGATCCGCCGTGCGAAACACTGGAAGACACATTTGCGTGAGACGTAGCCCTGCTAGACATCGAACCGCTGGTGCTACTGGCAGCAGCAGATCTTTCGACGTTCGAAGACACTAGAGTAGCCACATCGGTCAACGAGGCGACAGATTGGGTAGTGGTGGTGGAGGTGAAATAACTGGCAGAAGCCTGGGAAGAGTAGTCAGAGCTCCACACAGAGACAATCTTTTGAAGCACACCCTTACCGTTTTTGTTAGTAGCTGTGACATTTGGAGCAGGCAAAGCAATCTTGTCGTCCAACAAGTAGCCGACGTAGGTTGCGTTATTGACCTTGTAAGTGGTGTCCACAACCTGGTTAGTGATGTTGGTAGCGTTAGCGATTAGCTGGAAAACGTTGGCGTCCACGTCGTGACGTCCCAAACTTGGTAAGTTCCAGTTGGCCTCAACAGACGAAAGTAGCGAGTAATGGTCGTAATAAGTAGAATCAGTAGTTCCGTGCAAGCTTTCAGGAATAGAACCACCCAATAAAATGGTGAAAACCTTGTTCTTAACGGCGTAGGTTTCGTTTTCGTCAAAGGTCAAGATCACCAAAGTGTTTTCCATAAAGTATTCGTTGGACAGTAGTGGTTCCAAGAAACCACGGGCCCAGGCACCGGCAAACTTGATAGTTGTGTCATGGCCGTCGTTGGTCATGTTGGGGGTGATGAAACTCCACTGTGGCAAAGACGAGCCGTTCAAATCGTGGTAAAACTCGGTAAAGTTTTTGATGTTGGCCAGACGGTCTGCGTCGTTGGTGATTGAGTCGAACAACATCAATGGGTTATGTTTTCTAACGTAGTCGTTGGCAAAGGTTTCCTGGTTGGAGTAGTTGAAACCCTGGAACCCGGTGTAGGGCTGGTGCTCCTGGTACTCGGCCCAGGAAATGTTCTTGGTGTCCAGAAGGTCGACCACAGTGGAGACGTTGGCTGGGAGCGCGATGAAACGGTCGTCGTTGAGAGCGAAGTAGTCGCCTGCGACGGACGCCAAGTAGTTGGGCTCCGAAGGGTGGGTGAGCGCCCAGTAGTTGTCGAGGGTGATACCCTTGGTGGCGAGCCACGCCAGACTTTCGTCGCCCGCAGCCTTGTCGTAGTCGGTGTTTTCGAGCCAGATCTGCACGACACGGTTGGTGGCCGCTCCGGAAACGTTGGAGGTGCGATGGTTCGTGGTGGCATTGGACGCGTGCTGGGCGATTTCCGACGCCTTGGGGCTGTACATGGAGTAGGTTCTAGGAGTGTAAGGGCTGCTAGAGGAAGAAGAGGCTGCGGCGTTGGCGGTAGCCAATGCCACAGCCATCAGACTGGCTTGGTTGGAAAGTTTCATGGGTGTCCTTTGACGAGGGAGGAAGAAAGACCAAGAATTAAGTTACAGGAAAAGGGGAGTCGAATGGCGGAGGATCCGCTCCATTTTATACACCATTTAGACGCCAAGGAATCCACACTCTTGGGGCGCTTTCAGGGCTCCACGTGGACTGGAGTTGCTGAGAGTGGTGGTATTGATGCTATTGTCAATAAATTGTAATTTCTAGTGCAGCGTGCTGAGAAGGCTCTAATTTAAAAAATGGGCCATAATAAAAACAAGAACGTGGACATGAATAGAACACGTGAACCGGAATGAACAGTGGTGCGCGTTACTCGATATACCCAAATGCCCATTCATGCAATCAATACGCGAATTGAACACTACGGAAGAAGATCCTGGTCGCGGACTTGAGCTAATATTTGATCACTTCGTACGAATGTGTCGTTGAGACCAAAGCACAGGGCTCCAAGCTACAATGCTAGAATATCACAATACCACCATGCTACAATGCCTAAGTACAGCTGCACAACTGCACAACAGTACTACAATGCTACCACTCCCTCGCGTCGTTCCCTTCCCCACATCACTTTGTACCAAACTGACACTTTTTGAAAAACGGCCCAACCCGGTCTCTCTCACCATTCTTTCTCTACCCGAACAGACTCCCACTATAATCTCGAATGGCTGTCCATACGTCTTGCGTGCCACAACTATCGCGACCATCGCCAAATGAGATCCACATGGCCCTCTTGATTAATTTATTACGCACATGGGCCAAGCATCTTTTTTCGATTGTCACACACGGCGTTAAAACGGCAACTGGGCAAGCACAGCACAGCACCACGCATTTTGGCTATATGTAGAGAAAGCCAAGCCAAGCGCACCAAACGGCGATGGACTGGGCAAGAAGCGACGGAGTCAGAAAGAAGAGAGTAGTTGCGAGACCGCACGAGTCAGCTAGCCATTTTGGTCGAAGATGTCAGGAAAAAGACACAATTTGGGGGAAGAAGGGCGGAAGAGTCCAGTATACCAACAAGACCTGATAAAATTATCAGGCGAATTCAGTCAACAACGGAAATCTAATGACAGCGTCAGTTTTGAGTACTGGGACCAACAAGATTTGGAGAACAGAAATGAAATGGGAAATGAAATGGGAAGTGAAATTGGGAATGAAAATGTAAATTCAAAACAGTTGTCGAAAAAAAATCGCAAAAGCAGATATAGACCAATTTGGCTGTTCCTGCTTCAGGTGTTTTTCTGCGTAGTTGTTCCCGCCTTGGTGGTCGCTGTGTGTTTGTTTTACGTTAATGTGCCACACCGTCACAGCAGCGACAGCGACAGCGAAAGCGTTTTGGGAAAAACCGAGTCTTGGCGTCTCGACACTCAGAAAAACTACACCATCGACCTGGATTACTGGAAAACGCAAACCCCGGGCGTGGACCGTCACTACTACCTAAACGTGTCGACGATGTCGCAGGTCGCTCCCGACGGCATCGAGCGCAACGTCACTGTCATCAACGGCCAGTATCCAGGCCCGCTGGTCGAGGCCAATGCTGGCGACACCCTGTTTCTACACGTTCAGGCCCAAGGTGTGCCCACCACCATCCACTGCCACGGGCTTTTCTTTAACAAAAACGAAAGTTTCAACGACGGCGCCGCTTTCATCAACCAGTGTCCCATCGACGCCAACGGCGGGACTTACGACTACGAAATCCATCTCGACGAGAACCAGAGCGGCACTTACTGGTACCATTCGCACTATGGCGCGCAGCAGGCAGATGGCGTGTTTGGGCCGCTGGTCATCCATTCAGCGCGCGAAAGAGAATTGATCAACGACAGTTACGACGCAGAAGTGGTCGTGATGGTCAACGACTACTACCACGCGATGGCCAATTCCTACCTGCCCGAATATTTGGGCCCGGACAACGAAAACACCGAGCCCACGCCGGACGACGGTCTCATCCAGGGTACTAACGACTTCAAATACGATTCTGCAACTTACGTCACGCCCAATGGCGACACCGATCTGGTTCCCGCTAACTTCACACAAATGCCACCTGCAGTTTTCAATTTCGACCCTCACAAAAGATACCGTATTCGCGTCATCAATGCCGGGTTCTTCGCGCCTTTCAATTTCGCCATTGACCGCCATAAAATGAAGGTCGTAGAAGCCGATGGGACTGTCACCGAGCCTCTAGAACTAGAATCCATCGATATGTCTGTCGCTCAGCGTTATTCTTTCATTTTGGAACCCCAGGACACCCGATTGTCGGAATACTGGATGCGCGTCAGATTCAACAGCTTCTGTTTTGCCCAAGATAACGCCAACTTCAACACCTCGGTGAGCGGCGTTATACGCTACGACCATAAAGGCACGTCTCTTCCTTCCAGCGAAAGCTGGGAATATTTCGGCGACGATGTGCGTTGTCGGGACTTCAATCAAACGTTGCTCAGAACTTTAGAGGGTCAAGTTCCCAGGGTTCAAAATGGGTCGACCAGGCCCGACGTCATTGTTGAATTGGACGTGTCTTTCATGATTAAAGGTAATCAACTGGATCGTGGGTATTTCAATGACATGACTTATACCGCTCTGGCGAACTCGTCGACCATGAACGTGCTAGCCAAATCTCATCTTCAGAACTCTATTAAAGAACTACAAACGACACAGGTTGAGACCAAAAATGACGGCCAATATTTGATAAATTTGGATAAACGTGGCGCTGTTGTAGATCTCATCATCAACAATTATGATGATGGTGCTCACCCTTTCCACCTTCACGGACACAAATTTTGGGTTCTTTCCAGCGCTGACCGGGGCTATTTCAAAAAGTCATTTTACGACAGTGACAACGGTGAGATGGATTTTACGAATCCAATCTCCAGAGACGTATTAGGTGTTTCTGGCTTTGGCTACGCGGTTATAAGATTTGTTGTGGACAATCCCGGAGTTTGGCCTTTTCATTGTCATATAGGATGGCATATGGAAAGTGGTTTACTGCTGCAAATCAATGAACTACAGTCAGAATATTCGTCGTGGACGCACATTCCGTCTGCTTGGGACGAATTATGCCAGACGTCTGCATAAAATAATTGGAGGGTATTTATTCTAGCATAACTTTTTAAGTAACAGATCGACTGTCTGCCTGTCATTTGGTTAAAGCATTTGCTGTTCTTGGATCTTTTTGGTCATAAGATATTCAAAACGTATGTATATAATATATGTATTCTAAATTGCATAGACTCAACAGGCCTCATATCACAGAAATGTATTGAGGTCGAAATCGGTATCGCCATCTGTTGAAATTTCTTTTGATGCGGAAGACAAAAGTGGTCCTTTCTGGTTGAACTGCTCCTGTAGTGTCGGTAGAGAGTCGGTTAAGAATGATTCAAACGATTCTAGCGATAGTGTCGGAGAAAGTTCTTCGAGCCCGTTGTTGGAACTCGTGGCAGATTGTGGTATCTGAAAATCTGGAGATGTGAAGTTAAAAGGGTCCTCTAATATGTCAGATACATCCAGAACGCTTCCTCCACATTCGCCGTTCAAAAAGTTGCAGATCCGATCGCACCAGCCTGAGTTCGGTAGCCATAATTGGACTGCTTCTTGTAGCTTGCATTTTAGCTTCGAGATCTCACTAATCTTGTTTTCAGACACTAGCCTGGATGAAATGCTCAAAACATAAGACGATAACGATTTGAGACAAAAGATTGTCTGGGCGCGAAGGAGATGTTTATCGCTTGTTACAATGTTTGAAAGATCCCTCAAAGAGACAAGAGTTTCATCGAACGAATTTTGCATCTGTATTCTTGAGGATTCCGTTCCCATGCCATCATGTTCTTCTTGCAAGAATTGCATGATGAGCAAGTTGAATTTGGTGCTTTGCGCGGTCAAATTGCAACCAGCGATCAAAGAGGCGTCAAGATTAGCTTGTGCTTGGATTTCGCCGTAACTAGACAGGGAGAGTAAAGCTTCTTCCAACTCGTCCGACGTAGTCATCACGCATTTCCAAACCTTTGACAATTTAGAGCTGAAACGATAGCGTGCAAGCAGCGGCGTAACAGTACATGAAACGTTGGTATCAAACATATCAAGAAAGTGCTCATCGAAAGAAGTGGGTTCGACGAGAATCACGCAACCCATCCACAGGTTTCGTCGCAGTTCACTGTTGAGTAAACAAGACGTAGGGGTGAAGAGTCCAAGCTCAAAAGCCATTCGACAAATGTCGTCAGTGAGTCTCGGTTTAGACGTCAGAGACAATTTCACAGGGCTGGAGTAAAGTTTCAAGTATAGCAAACAAGCGGGATTCTCTTCGCTGGTTTGAGATGCAATTTGTGCCTGCTGAATCCACTCGTTGATCAGGTCTGGATTGATAGCGAGGTTCTCCGTGAGACATAGCATCAATAGTAATAAAATAAAAAAATGAATAGGTTGAGTGCATCCGTTGTGCACTGAGGGCCTGTAAAGCACATCTTCATAAAACTTATGAAAAGCTTCCAAATTGTAAAAGGGATAACTGGGGTAAATTGTGCTTTCAAATGCGAACTTGGCTTCGCGTAAAATGTGCTGCTGAGGTAGCAGTCTTCTTATACTGATCAATAGATCGTCATTTCGGTTCGGTAGTTTCGTGAGCGCAATTTGTTGCTCAAATAAGTCTGTTACTCGAGCCTTCAGACGCGGATCGCGTGCAAACAAAGCCAAATCACTGAATGGAGCGTAGTACGTTTTCCAAATGCCATGGACGTTTATTGGAGATACGAGACTATTCCAATTGATTGGGCGTTTTCTTTGCGGATTTTGCACTACTACAGAGGCTCTAGTATCGCCCCGAGCTTTGGAACAAGAAGCCAATTTGGCCTTCAGCTCTTTGAGCTCTAATTCTAGCGCCTCGACTGATGTAGTGGAATCGCGATTGTTTTGTCGGTATGGAGTGTAGACGCATTGCAAGCCTAGTTTGGCGCAGCGGGTACAAGTAGGCTTGTCCTTACTGCACTTGAGTTTTCGGAGACGGCAATGGTCGCAGACGTGGGAAATTCTGTTAGGTTTTGAAGGTTTGTTAGAGGGCTTCATTGGGTTCTGCTGGTTCTTTATTGGTGCGCTTATAGTTGTAGTTCTGATGTTGTTATTGGATAAATTATTAAAAAGGGAAGGGGGGGATTGTTTCACATAGTAGTAAGCGTGCAAATACCTGCTTTCACCTAAGCTCCATTGTAACAATCACAACGGCCTGTCGTACAGACCAACCACTATATTTTGCCAGGAGGATGCTTCAGAAAAATTAAGCATTGCGAAAGGTGCCCGGTAGCCAAAGTCAGAGGTGTATATCTAGCATTTCATGCTGAGTGTCAGGAAATATCTGGTCATTCTGGTACCATACATGGCCCATTGATGTCACGGACATTTCTGTAAAATTGTACATTTTCTTCTGATTGATTTTAATGCTAGAACACATTTTAAAAAGGGTATTAAAATGTGATAATATTAGACAAAGTTTGGTCTTGGAAAAACTGTCTGAAAACGTTTGAATACGCTCTACTTGGAATGTCAGTTTAAAGATCAAAATGAACAGATATGGTCAAGATTGGGTCAATTTATGTAATTTTTGATTCGGTCGGTAATTCTGTACGGATATCGTCAAAACCTCGGCCGAAGCGCTAAATGTCGATAAGGCAGAAGAGTTTACAGTCATCTTAGCTAGGGCTTGACGATCGAATTGAGGATTTCCAGGAATTAGCTACGGAATTCTTGAGAGATCGAGAATGACCACTGTTTCGTAATGCTCCTGCTCGGTGTTTTTTTGTTATTATTTTCGATAAAAAACTAACTCTTTAATAACTGCCAAGCGAACGGCAAACCTTTATCAGGCTGTAGTAAGGTGAGAAAAAGAGAGTTTGACTTGACCTCCTTGTGGTCTTCGAAAAAATGAGAATTCGAAGCCTAGAGGCGGTGTCTATACAAAACTGCCAGAAGTGTGGTTAATATAGTTGAATTTTCGACTTCGGCAGAGACTGTCTTGGTTCTGAGCTCCAGGGGGAAAAGAAAGGGGGGTGGGGGCGTTAAATGTTTGTGACTAGGTTATTAACACTCTTCGATACTGGTGGCTCTCTTGGTGATGGATAGAGAGTGCTGGAAAAAGTGGTCTTGATTAGAAACTGCTTTTACCCGTCTGTTGCCTCAGAGTGGTGGTTTTTGTTTATCGCTGCGATTTATGGGAGACATGTAGTAAGAGTGAAATTAAAGTCAATGAGAAATGGCCAAATAGGAAGGTAGGAATGGTTTGGGTTCACTGCTTCATTTGTATCGTTTTCCTGTATTAAAGTTCTCATCTGTCGCCAGTAGTATGGAGAAAAACAGTTTTCGAAAGCTGTTCAAGGACCACAAGTGAAAGACAAATGGAAGTCAAAGTCGAGAAACAGGAACTGGTGAAATTCTTGTGTCACATCGTAGTCAAAACATTTTTTGTGGCTGTGTAATTCGTGACTGCTAGATGTTAATTCTCTAGTATAATGTGTCACTGCTGCCACTTTACAAGAATTGCATTGAAAGAACAATTTCAAAGAAAGTAGCGTCTGTTAATGTCATGAAACTTGACAATGCAGTTCCACTGTGGTATTAGAAATTCATGTCGATCTTGGCAAAAGATTTAAGCACGATTGACAACGAGGAGTTTTCAATCCATACTAAACGTCAGGTCCAAGTGGCCTATTGATTGAGCCCCCACGTCTGTCGTACTATGTCACAATGCCAGGCTCGCCCTATAGAGTGGCTTGTATGAAAACGCTCTAAACGCGCTAAGATATACTGCTTTCCGTAGTCATCAGTAATCGAGCCGCGTTTCTATAAGAGCAAATTGGCAGTGTGTGTTTAGAAGATACTTCTAGTTTGCTACAGCTCAAGATAAAATAGGCCGTTCATCAATCTCGCTTTTACAGGCTCGAGCTCTAGATTTTAAGTGTGAAAGGTAACGCTCCTAAAATTGTACAAATTTGGCTCGTATTGGCTTTGCACGTCACGCAAAAATGTGCGATATAATTATCATCAACTCATCAGCAATTAAAGAGCGTATTGTGGCTATTGATAGTTCTCTACCATCAGATACTGGTGTCGCTGACGATTAGTATTGTGTCCGAAATGGTGAAAGGTTGCATTGAAATCAGAATGAAGCTTAAGCTTGGGATACGCTGCTCTCAAGTCTATGAAGATCCTGGACTAGGGGCTTAAAGTGCTACCAAGCTGGTACGGACCATGCCGGGGCTGTCGCAGTCGATTATTGTTCTACAGCGCCAGTGACAAAATAGTACAAAGTGACATTATCGAGTCATTTCCTAACTGTGGGAAAGGCGATCCACAGGATGAAATTAATACGCTACTGGCCTCAAATTTATAAATGGATAAAGAAAATGTTTGGAAAACGGCAGCAGTCGCGAGACGAGATGCTTGAGTGACCATTTACTTAGAGAGATGTCTTGAATATATTAATAAAGTGAAAAAGCGATCCTTTATTTAACAAAGAATGCACGAATAGATAATTGTGACTAGCAAAGAGACGCGAAGCAACAGCTTATATGGGTATTTTGCGATGACTATATCAGTAGATACCTTAATCCGATTGGCTATGGTTTGCTAGGATCACAGCTGTCGTCAAGTGTATATTCGTTAATAGTGATAATCATCTTTCTCAATCGGATTTCCTTGAATAAAGAAGCAGTACCCAAGTCCAGCGTCGTACCAGTTCTGTCGGCCCCAAATCAAGACCACACTTTTGCATCCTTTTTTTTCTTTACCCGTATCCCGCGTGCTCGTTACTTTGCATGTACGCACTCTTGCTTAGTTACACGATATGGTTTTCTTTTAGATATCCGCCTTCACCATTTGTGGCGTCAATGCCGTTCAGGAGAGCCTCGTCAGAGCAATTCCAACGAGCCCAGCAGGTTGCATGGCTCTCTTACTTTCTCAACGAGCAGATCGCTTTGTACTATTATGTCGTTGAGGGATGAACTACTACAAGTTCATCTGTCTTCGATCACTACCGTCTCACAAACGGCCCACTCCTGCTATATTGTATGGCCAACCACTTGTTTTCGCAATCATTGTGAATATCAAGCAGCCCCCACAGATTACTTCAGCCATGCTTCTGTCCTTATCGTTCACAGACAGCAGACACACAACCCTATATACGACACGCTGTGTGCGATGAATTCCATTACATAGCCCGGATTGGCTTTTTGGCCTTGGAGCTTCGAAGTTACAAACCCCATAGCACATCGTGAGCTATTTTGACCGTGCAAGAGGTTTTCTCTCCTAATGATTTCATTTATATCACGACTAGCGTGTCATCATACTTAGCTATACATGATGTGGACTGACAACTTATGCGCAATCTAGCAACAAATTGTCAGCGAGTCCTCTATCCATCACTCAAACTGTGTATATGGCGTGTTCTCTGGCTGATTTTTCATAAACGGCCACTTGTTGATCTACATGCACCATGCATCCGAATCTTGGTGTTCAACTACTATCTTCCACCCACTTTGAACGACACTCGTTGAGCTTCAAGATTTCCCTCAAACACGCTTCTCTCGAGATAATAAAGAAGCGATCTCGGAAAACATCTTGATGCATTTTCGATGATCCCCTGGTAGCAGGAAACAACTCATATCACTTTAACCCATGGATACTCGAAACTCAGTACTGCGAACTCTTATTTTCTTATCTTGAGGTCATCACCCTAAAACTGATTTTAAGTTTTTCTTATCACCAGGTAACAATTATCAACGATTTTAGCTCATCAGCAACGCTACAACGACAATGAGAGTATACAGTAGATTGTGATCCCGTAATCAGTGGACAACGATATTCTTTGACAATTCGAAGATTATCCTTAACACTTTCCGAATTCTGCTCGACTAAGCTAGATCTTGTTCGGCGGAAGTGTCCTGGCGGATCTTGATGGGCATTGTAAGCTGATAAGAAACAATCAGAGAGAACAATAAGAAATTAAAGGGTGTGATAGGAAAGTTATCGTTCAGAAACTGAAGGTTTAAAAACAACACGAACAACGGATGGTAATTCACTGGGATAGAGTCATAATCATCATTTTATATTGTATTAGTTGAAGTCTGTAAAACCACATATACATATCATATTCCACAACGATGGAGAAAACACAGGGAACTGCAGATATCACTCAGGTGAGCTCCCGGAGCGAGGTTGGCGAGGTGCGTGTCTTGCGTTCGCTCAGAACAGTTACCTCCAAACAAGCTGGTGAAGTAAACTACATTAACGCCAAAGAAGCCCACGATGACAGAGAGCTGCTGGCCGAAATTGGTTACAAACAGGAACTGCAGAGACATTTCAGCACAGTGCAAGTCTTCGGTGTGGCGTTCTCTATCATGGGTCTGTTGCCGAGTATTGCATCAGTTTTAGCCATTGCCTACGGCGGAGGAACCGTTTCTCTGGTTTGGGGTTGGTTGATCTGCGGATTTTTCATTTTGCTGGAAGGATTAGCGATGTCCGAGCTGGCTTCGGCCATTCCAACCTCTGGAGGATTGTATTATTACACTTACCACTATGCCCCTGAGAAATATAAATCGTTGCTCAGTTTCATCATCGGTAACTCCAACAGTCTGGCCCTCGCGTCTGGTCTGTGTTCCATCTTGTACGGTTTCGCAGAGGAAATTCTATCCATCGTGTCCATCTCCAAAAACGGGAACTTTGAGATTACAAATGGGAAAACTTACGGTGTCTACGCCGCTGGTGTTTTCTCCTGTCTGGCAGTGACATCTGTCGCAACCGTTGGTGTGTCAAAGCTGCAGACTTTTAGTATCGTCTCTAATTTGCTGCTCATCGCGTTTTTCTTAATTGTGCTGCCCATCGGAGTGGCTCAATCGGACTTTGACTTCAACGACGGTTCTTTTATCTTCGGGGAATGGGTGAACTCAACCTCCTGGTCGGATGGCTGGCAATTCATGCTGACTGGGCTCCAACCTGCAGCATGGACTATCGCCGCTTTCGATGCTTGTATTCACATGTCTGAGGAAGCCAAAAATGCTACAAAGGCTGTCCCAGTAGGTATAATTGGTTCCATCACTACTTGCTGGATTATAGGTTTTTTTATTTGCATTGCTATCGCAGCGTGCATGGGTTCAAGTGTTGACGCCATTGCCAACTCCGAAACGGGTGCACCAATGGCTCAGATTATCTTTAATGCTTTGGGAAAAAAATGGACAATCGCTATCATGACTTTAATTGCATTCTGTCAGTTCATCATGGGCTGTTCTATTCTGACTGCAATCTCCAGACAAATTTGGGCTTTTGCCAGAGATGATGGTCTACCTTTCTCCAAATTTTTCAAGGTGGTCAACAGTAAACTTTCGTCTCCTCTTAGAGCAACTTGGTTTGGAGCTGGTGTCGCTTTGGTTATTGGCCTGCTATGTTTGATTGGTGGTGAGGCTTCCAATGCTTTGTTTTCTCTCGGTATTGCCGGTAATTACTTGGCATGGATGGTACCAAATATTCTAAGATTGACGACAGGAAAAGACTTGTTCAGACGGGGTGCTTTCTACATGGGAGATTTTTGGTCTCCAATTGTTAACTGGACTTCTATTGCCTTTCAAGCATTCATTATCATAGTGATCATGTTCCCAGTGGATCCTTCCGCCTTGACTGCTGAAACTATGAATTATACGTGTGTCATCTGCGGTGGCGTGTGGTTTGGCAGCTTAATTTACTACATTGTTTACAAGCACAAGCAATACCACGGTCCAAAATCAAATCTTGATGATGCTGAGTTCGAAGAAGCGGTGGGACAAGATGTTATTGACCAGATTCTTTCGCACCAGAAAAGCGGCTAAACGGTTGAAAGCGGGCTTTCGATGGTTTGTACCAGTTTTTGGTCATCTACGTGTTGGAACACAATGGTTATTTGTAAAAGGAGAGCTGCTGATATCGACGGGTGTGGAAGCAAGATGCCCGTGAGGAGTAGATCATGTTTATATGAATTTCTAAAAAATGTTGCCCACTTTGTGTTGTTGCTGGAAAGTCGAGCGATGTCTGCTAGAATCAAGAAACTACCGGCGCAACTTTATGTTATTTTGATAAACGCTATTGTGGGCTTCTTGAATCCTGCGCTCAAAACTCGGAAGTTATTTGGGCAGTGTCAAATTCGGCAATCTTGGGAATCACTCGAACAGTAGCTATAGGCTAGAAAAACGGCAAAAAAACGTCCAAATATCCATTACTGGTTGGTAGTGGCGAACAGACAAGAATCCTCTCAAAAGTTATTTTGTATTATCTTTTCAAGATACTAGTTATTCACCGCTCCAGATGCAAGACGCTTTTTCCTGAGCAAGAGAGCCCTTGAAAAGAGAGTCATGTTGCCTTACGTCAGTCCTGAGAGATTATTCGCTCATGGAAGATAAGGATAAACGATCTCAGACTTCTTGAAAATATCGATAGAACTTCTCGATTGGCGAGAGTGGATACTTTGAAGAGAGACAGATAGTAGCAAAAAGAAGACAACGACCGTTACATGAATTTTAATAATGGGGGTGTGTATTTTTGTTCACTTATTGACAGCCTTCAAAGGACAGTTGTAACAGCTGTTCTCTAGCACTTAAGTCAGAGAGAGGGAGACCAACGCCCGAAGCTTTCAATAGGTGCATTTGCTAGTTTTAGATTCGTAGCACGATATTTTGACATATAGATTCCCAACGACGAGGTTTCATCAGCCACTGCGGTCGATCTTGTCGTCCAAAAAGTAGTTCAAATTGTTCAAAAATAAGATTTTAAACTGAAGCAGCTTTCACCAAGAACAAGCGTTCACTATTACAGTGTCAATAACACATGCAGTGATAGAAGTCCCCACACATTAAATTCAAAAGGGAGACGTTCGCATGGAAGTGGTATTTAGTTTTCAGCCTTTATAGTCAGTGTTGAGAGCTTCATATCCAAAGATAGGTTGAATGGTATTAGGTAGATTGTGTGAGATACAATTTCTCTGAAACAGGTACTTGAGAGCGGCATCGGCAATTCCCAACGTGCTATGTCAATGACGCTTTTGGCTGAATCTGTCATTTGTCGCCCTGTCACATGACCTTTGGCTACGTTTCCAATTATGCAAAGATTGCTCAATAATAGCTTAGCAGTAGAATGTTTATCGTCGTGCGAATTGTTCAAATTGAAAAAGAGCGGCAAGTTTGTAGAGGAAGTCATTACTACAATATCGTTCTTGGCCGGGGCCCATTAGCAAGTTTGTTTATGAACGAATAAAAACCAGCAAGGGAGCTGTAGACAATGAGCCAAGTAAATCAAATTTTTTGGAAAACATTGTGAGTTGGCGCCCGAAAAAGGCTTCGTCCTCCGGTTACAGTTTAAGATGGCATGCAATCACGTGACCTCGTGCCAGCTCCGCGTCAGTAAATTGATAGACCTCCGTGGTTCAATGTCAGACGTCTTTCGTACGTCTCAAGAAGCATTTCTTGAGCGTGGATTTATATTGAGGTATTTGAAGCAAGATGACTCAATTCTTTATATATTTCAATAACACCTCCCACATGGACCATATCATCGTGAGTGTTACAAACAAACTCTACCTTTTCATCTTGTACCCAGGCTGTCTCGTGAATCAAAAATTAGCATTTTGAGGCCTTCGGGGAATTCAAAAAATTGCACCTCATTTCCCCTGACCTGTCTCGTACTTGAGATAAATGTGCTGTAGAAAAAAAGTCGATCTCGGTCTTTCAGGGCTGATCTTTCATGATTACTCGTTACGCAGAGTAGTATAATGTGTGAAACGTCCAATGACGCTGTCGATTGTTCAGTGGCTACTAAGACCGCTTTGCTTTTTACAATTGGTCGCTCAAACTTTCAATTGCTATCTATGCTTCCCTTAATTGATAGCTGATTTCTCCATGGCTCAGTAATTCTAAGAATGCTGACGCTTTCGATTGCATGGCTAGCAGTCGTTTAGTAATACCAAGACATCCTCAGCTGACAGGACATTCATAGCTGATACTCCCAGGGTCAATCACCGTAAAGCTCATAAACCGAGGTTTTCCCTCTTGTCCAATAAAAAACCTTGAGTTTAGTGGTCGGGCGGTCACCTTGCCGGTTAAGCAGTGCTAAACGCCTTTTGCTTACTTTTTCTTGGGGTTTTTGTGTACGTGCATGAACGCATGCACGTCGTGCATATTTTTGTTGTATACTTTTTTCCTTTTTCATTTCTTTTCACGCACCTGACCGATCACGTGTAGGTCTTCACAGTTAATTTTTCGCAGCGCCTCTACCTACCACGCGGGCATCTCATCGCATTGCATCGCATCCCCCTGCTTGGCCCTGCTTTGCCCTGCTTTGTCCTCCACAAGGCACGTCCACAATGCAACCACTACAGCGTCCAGTTCTCTCCCGTCGCATACTGGTCTCTCTTTGCCAGATCCCCTCGCTACCTTGGAGGTTAATTGTACGGCATCTCGCAAACAAATTTTTTAGCAGGCTAGTACACACACGCGCGTATAAGAGGATCGCGACTGGCATGTTCAGGTCTGACGAGTTCTTGGCGAGTTTCCATCCACTCAGTTTCTGCAAAACTGCGTTGTAGTGGTCAAAGGCTTGGCATTTAAAGTTTTCAGAGCGTTCTCTATCACAAAAATTAACATGAGCAGTGAAGTATCAAGCTCAGGAGCCTGGTGGGCGCAATGGAACCCAGACGATATCAGCGTGGGCAGCGAGGAAGTGTCAGACGCTTGGAAAGTGTGTGTCATCGACGGAGTGTACTTCGGCGGAAACGCGTACAGTGGGTCTCTAGGAGCGCGTATCTCGTCGATTTTCGTGATCTTGGTCGTTTCCACCCTGTGCACTCTGTTCCCCGTGGTGGCCAGCCGTGTCAAATGGCTCAAAGTGCCTCGCTACGTGTACTTGTTTGCGCGTTACTTCGGTACCGGTGTAATCGTGGCTACAGCTTTCATCCATTTGTTGGACCCTGCATACGGCGAAATCGGCCCATCCTCGTGTGTGGGTCGTAGTGGCCATTGGGAAGACTACGCCTGGTGTCCTGCCATCGTGCTTGTCACCGTGTTCATTGTGTTTTTGGTCGACTTGGCCAGTGATGTCTTTGTCCAGCGCCGTTACGGTGTCAAGCACAACCATGGCGGCGACAACATCGAAACTGCCATCGTGAAAAACAACGTCAACACCGCTCCTCACACCACAGACCTAGAAATCGACGGCCACGCTCATGCCATGAACGTTGCTGACTCTGACGAGAAAAGCAAGAAGTCGTACGACCTGGTTTCCAACGCCAGCACTGAAGTCATTATGCAATCGTTCGAAAGCCAGATCGCCGCGTTTTTGGTGCTGGAATTTGGTGTCATTTTTCACTCTGTTATGATAGGTTTGAATCTCGGAACCACCGACGACGAGTTCAGCACCTTGTACCCCGTTCTAGTGTTCCACCAGTCGTTCGAAGGTTTGGGTATTGGTGCCCGACTCTCTAACATTGAATTCCCTAAGGGCAAGGAATGGTGGCCTTACGCTTTGTGTGTCGCATACGGTTTGGCTACTCCTATCTGTGTAGCCATCGGTTTGGGTGTCAAAAACACCTACGACGGCAACTCTTACTCCGTCAATGTGGTTTCTGGTGTCTTAGACGCTATTTCTGCCGGTATCTTGATTTACACAGGTTTAGTCGAGCTTTTGGCCCGTGATTTCATTTTCGACGAAAACAGAACAAATGATGTCCCAAGACTCTTGTTCATGGTCATTTGCACGCTATTTGGTGCGGGTTTGATGGCATTGCTCGGTAAATGGGCTTAAGGCGCTCATTTTTTAATTTGGGTTTTTTGGAATTTCTGGTTTTGCGTCGTCTTGCATGCCTCCACACCATGCCATACCGTAGTTCAGTTTGGTACGAGCGCAAATGTTGTTTGTGTTGAAGGCCCTGTGCTTGCAAGACCTCAAGGTCGCATTCGTCGCCCCAACTGGCAGCAACACGCAAGTCGATAGTGATAAATAAGAAATCAACACTACTAATAATAAGTATAATACCTTACACATCACGGATAAGAGTTTGGCTTTTGAAATTTGAAGTGATGGGTCTCATTCAAACCGGTGAGTGGGATATTCAAACCACAACGGAAAATACCCAATGGTCCTTTAACCAGCTTCTAAGTAAATATTTTATTTCACTGACTTGTCATAGGCTATGTCTGATTTCGAGACTCTGCAACTTTTGTAAATTACAATGGTCGGTATACATGCTATTTCAGCAAAGCAGCTCAAGTAAAAAATGATTCCAGTGCCTTTGTGCAAGTGCTTTATGCCTTTCTTCGCCCCTCTTTTCCTCTAACGTTTTTCCGACGTTTCCTCATTATCCTACCTTCTAAGCAAGTTACCGCGCATCTTCGAAGAATCTTCCATAAGTTTTCGCGTAAGATTCCAAGGATATTGAATAGAGGTCAATATGGCAAAGCGCAGCTATTATTAACTTACGCAGCACTTATCAAACCCTTATTCACGTCACACTAGTTTCTTGTAGTTCGAAAGAATCCAAACAATGCTGTACATTAATACAGCACCGGATCAAAAACCAAATGCCCAACTGCGATGTCCCAAGACATAATCATCGCTCTCCTGTAGCGTGTCAAGCTACATTCCAAATCTCGCGGGTTTCGCAATGACGCCGATGTTCTGATAGTGTTGCCAAAATTACCCGGCAATTGCTCATCCATCACAAGATTTAAGAACCTGGTTTTAGCTGCCCATCGCTTCTACCTATATCATCTGTCAACCTCACCGAGATACCTAGATTTACGTCAATGGCTTGCAACGCTCTAGTACTCGGTGCAACTGGTCTCTGTGGCTCTGCCCTCTTGAAATATGCTGCCGCTAACGCTGCTTTCGATTCTGTCGCAACTATCACCAGAAAGGAACTACAGGGCTCTCAAGCTGAAAAGGTAAGAAGCACTGTTGAAAAGGACTCTACAAAATGGGCAGATTTGATCCCTGATGATATCAGTGTCATTTTCTCTGCTCTTGCTACTACTAAAGCCGATGCCGGTGGCAAGGAGGCCTTTTATAAATTCGACCACGATTTCAATCTGGAGTTGGCTAAGAGTGCCAAAAACAAAGGTTGTAAGACATTTGTGTTGGTCAGTTCGATTGGAGCAGATGTGAACTCGAGCTTTTTCTATTTGAAAACGAAAGGTGATCTCGAACGGGACATTCTGGCCTTGAACTTCGACAAAACCATCTTTTTGAGACCTGGTGCTCTGCTTGGAGAACGTGTCAAGGGTAAGGGTCTTTTCAACTCTATGTTTGCCAAGGTGGGTGGGCTTTTCTACAACACCAGATTCCAAGCCTTCGGTGGTCATCCCGTCTACGGGGATGAGGTCGGAAAGGCAGGTGTTATTTTGGCACTCGACTCCTCTATCACTGAAAAATCTCATATTGCAAAAGCAAATGAGATTGTGGCGCTAGCCTCGAAGGCCTAATGAGAGTGGTCTCTTTTATTATGCAGAAACGTGCGCAGGCCGTATCTTGATGGAGTACAACAGAACGTTGTGGGTGGCGTAGCTTTTCTTGACTTTGAATCCATAATTCGCATGAGAAAGCAGTCTTGCTTGCTTAACGCATGGATTTTTAGTATAGGTATATGGTACTCTCAATCAATCAATGCGATATCGAGAAGTCCTCGTCACGAAGCTCGTCAATGGTCACAGTGGGTTAGTAATTCAGTTGCTGCGTCTATTTCTAGCAGTCTTAAGTGCTCGCAGCTGGTTAGAGCGCATGTAGCCTTGAGATCAGAACAGAAGGAGTCGCTAATTATTCAACTTGATTGTTTGGTCATGAAAGCGGCTGAAGTCATTGCCGTCGTAGCTATATGTATCGGATCGCTTGTATATCGACACAGGATTGAGTTTAATCGTAATTTGGCAACGTGGTAGCTTTTATCTCTAATTTTTATGCCGGAATATGTGTTGGATTAATACTGGCAAAACTTTAGGAGGCTTGATCATAAAGTCACCGCACGACTACTTTTTGACTGTGTTATTTGCCCGATTCCCACAGCTGGGTATAATGAGTGTGTGGTATCCATTTCTAGTCTCCTTTTCTTTCATAACGGTCGGAGACGGATATATCCCATGAAGAGAACACGGGTATTTACGTATTACAAAACTTTTGTCTCGATAAGTTAGCCAACGAATGATTTACAGATTTCTCACAATGCTCTGGGTACGTTCAAGACACCATCAGCCATCTTTCCACCCCTAGGGTTTCGCGATGATCGAACAACTATCTATGTAACGGTTACGTTAATGTCACTATGAACTATTACGTCATCAATTACTCCATCACGTAGCTTCCAGTACTCTTTCATGCTCAATGAGCAATGCCTATAAGATCATAGCTTCGACAGTTTACAACGTATGGCAGGCGCTCTTGATTAATCGTGTCTATGATCAATTGTGAAGCTAAAATGAAGAGTGTATACCGAGGACGATTCTGCCAAAATGAGAGTCATTATATGTCCTCTAAGCACTCTTGACATAATCGAGCATGCTTCCACAGCTCTTCAAAGGCCACAGTCACTGCGATCTAAGGTGATCGACAAATTTTCATTTTTAATTGCAAAGCTGTAAGCCACCGATGTTGGCAAGAGCATCCAGTTCGTCAAGCTACTCACTGATATGGTTGATGGCAGGAAAATTAAAAACGGTCGCCATGCAGCAAGTTATTAGCGGCCATCCGCTATGCTTCTCGAAAAAACGTACCAACTACCAAGTAAGCTACTCAAAGGTCTATCGGCATTTTTTCTCACTTCACGCCTTTAACGCATGATGGTTATTTTTCTTTAAGGACCCTTACATCATGCAGGTGGCCTTCTCGAAGAAAAACTTTCATTACCGAAAATTAGAAAATTAGGATACCTGATAATGAGTTAGAAACCAGTTTGGTTCGAGAGAAAGACAAGGTCGACTTATAGTTTAGATATGACTGCATCAGTGGTAATTCGATTGCTTTGATCAGCTCATTCGAGGTCTTCTTTCGTGGCGTACTTTTGCCATTTTGTCTGGCGTTTCCAGCGCCTTTAATTTTTTTTCAAAAAATAGCTATGTATTCACCCATTTTTAACAGTCTGCAGGGACTCTCAGGGTCTCTCAGGGTCCTAGAAAGGCGATGCCGCTGACATTACCTTAGTGGTTATTTATTGTAGAGACATCTTGGACTGTATATAATATGGGAGATGCTGTATCGAATTCAACATTGCCGTCAGGTTTATCTTCGAATTGTTGTAGAATATTAGGATAGCCAGAGCTATTATGAAAGATCTTACGACTTCCAATCATCGCGTGCGCCACGGAGCTGCCAGCATCATTGCCCTTGTTGTTATCGTTGTAACGGTATTGTCTATGGTGTTTGGTATTTTGGCCGACCGCGAAGCCAACCGTCCTAACAACTCGATAATCAAACAGCGCAATGTTGCAGCTATGGAGTGGGAGCACCCGGAATTCCCCACATTCTACAAGACCTGTAACGGGTCGCATTTGGAAACGTTGAAGGAAGCCTTCGACGAAACTATGAACGTCACAGCCGTCGCCAGAGGTCGTCTGATGGCTTACGGAAGCAACGACCGCATATACAAGAGATGGTTTGGAACCGGAAATCTCTACACCGTCATCGGTGTCTTGGAGGCGATCGCCGAGATTCCAAAAGAAGACGTTTTATTCCGTTGCGACGACATCGACGGTCTATGCGCTGCCAACCCTAACTATTATGCTGGCCACCACAGATTGAACGCGACCCAGGAAACTGTCATCTGCGACTTTTTCTACGAAACTAAACTACCGGTCAACAAAATGTGCTCCAACGGCTCGATGACCTCTGTGTCGCCCTCCAAGTTCATGGGTATCGATATGATTCATCGTCTATTCCACGTTCCCACGATGAGCTTGGACGAATACATTGGCGAGTACACAGAAGAGATGGACGAGGTTCTCGAGATGGCATCCAATAACGCGACTTTTGCCGTTAAAAACGTCGACAGCTACCTATACTACCTTTACGAGGTTTACAGCAATATTGTGAAGCCTGGTGGATGTCTTGGAAAGTGAGTACATTCCCTTGGCGTAAAAAACCCAAAAACCTCCATTGAGCCTCTGTGGTTGTAATGGCAGCTGTACATGGGCAAGAAGAACTTTAAAATAAACCCAGTCATATTCCGTGCCTCTGTTGCGCCATAGCCGCTGCCGTAAAGGTCTTGCAGGTGGGCAAGTCAAATATTGATCACTCTGTACTATTGTGTCGCCTGACTTTAATTTTTCATATCTGTCTGTCATCCATCTATAGAGTATCTTATTCTCGAGAAACATCACTTTGGGTAAATCTGGCGCGGCCCATTACTGCAGCTCTCTAAGAACTCAGCTATGCTAAAGAAGGAACTCCATGCATTTGACTTTGTCATTCCCAAGGCCTATGTGATTAGATATTTGCTCAGGTTAGTATATTTTTCTTTGTACGTTTGAAAAATCTGAAATCACGGACTAAACGTCCGTGCCCAGGCAAGATTTAAGATAACCCATGTCGTAGTGAATTCAGATCGCTTCTAATCTATTAGCATTGTTTTTTATACACTCCAAAGCCTGTGAGCGTACGCACATACCATGGCACACCTCCATCAGAGCTATTTTTCTTCCTTCATCAGACAAAGTAGTGCGACGCTTCCTGTCTTTCTCGACCATAACCTTTAACAGAACACCACACGTCAAGCAGGCATTGTCCCGCAGGCCACAGTCGCATCAAGCAGGAGGCAAGTCTAAGAAAGCTTCGTGTTTTGTGAGTCTTATATTACTAATGCTAAGTCTCTGGGCAGGCGACAATCCTACTGTGATTATTTGTCAACATGGTCAAGAGCCCACCATTATGAAAATTTGAACGTTTTCCACAATCCGCCAATCTTGACCGGTGTTTGTTCGCCAAGAAATGAGCAAGTATTAGGCTGCACAGTTGCCTGGGGCTGCGTTATACAGGCGTGTTGTCTATCATAACCATCTGCATAAGATTATTTGCCAACAACATATGTCAGCAGTAGGCTTAGGATCCAAGAATTTGTCAAGACGCCAAGGATTTGCTATACAAGAACTAGAAACGTGCTCGCGAAGGTATTGATACGATTGAAGAAATTACTAATGAATTGGGATTCTGAGCTAGAACAACTGCTGTCGGAGAGGCCACTGTGGTGAAAGATTGGATTCTGCAATGTATAAATTAACATCATTCTGTGCACTTATCAGGATCTTCGAGAATGTAATTACAACATTAAATCCACACTCCAACAATTCAGGAATACAACAATGCTTGGAAACTTAAAAATCTGTCTGACTTTGGGATTGGGCTTAATTCAAACTGCGAAGGCCATGCCAGCCTTTGCTCCACCACCATCGGTCTCTGGATGGGTGAGGAATGGTGAAGCCCTCTATTTTCAGACCAACGATAAAGACAATGCCGTCGTCTCGGTCAAAATTATGGAAAATGGAACTCTGGGGCAGGCACACTCGTTCTACACTAATGGTACCGGTGCCAGCATGATAAGTGCCGCTACCAACATGACCACAAGTCCAGATGGACTCAGCAGTCAAGGTGCTATCGCTGTTGTTGGCCACAACATTTTTGTTGTCAATGCTGGAGACAACACAGTCTCCATGTTCAGCATTGATGAGGAAGATCCTGCCAACATTACTCTCTTGGGTGCCCCAGCAGCGGTTCCCGGCGATTTTCCAGTGACCGTCGCAGCCTCGGCATTGAACAATTTAGTGTGTGTCGGAACCAGCGGTACCAGATCTGGTGTTGCGTGCGCACCATACTCGCCTTTTGTGGGCATAGGCAAGATGGACTTTTTAAGACCTTTCGATCTTGACCAGTCCGAGACCCCAGTTGGCCCACTAGATACTGTGTCGCAAGTTTTGTTCTCCGACGACGAAACGAAGCTTCTCGTCACCGTCAAGGGCGCACCTGCTATGGGCAAAACCGGGTTTCTAGCTGTCTTCCCGGTAACTGGCCAATGTTTAACTGGTGAAGCTAAAGTTGCTGCCTCTCGCATCGAGTCTACTCTTAACGGCACTGTTGCCTTGTTCGGGTTCGAACAAATCGCCAACTCGAACAGATATTTCGTGGCTGACGCAGGTTATGGGGCTGCTATTATTTCTGTGGATGAGAACACCGATTCGTCTCAATTGCTTCACAAGCAGGTTATTTCTGATCAAAAAGCTACATGTTGGGCCGCCATTTCTCCTGCTACGAATTCAGTGTTTGTCACCGATCCTCTCGTCAACCATATCGTGGAAATGAGTTTGATTGACGCTTCAATCACCTCTGTTATTAACACGACCACGACAAACGATGCCACCGGTTATATTGATTTGACTGCAGCTGGTAACTTCGTGTATTTCTTGTCTCCTGGTACTACACAAGGTAGCGGTGCTGAAATCGCCGTGTTGTCGGTGGGTGAAGGACAATCGAAAAAAATTATTCAATCTTTCAATCTCGGATCATTGGCGGGTTCCAGCGCTCAAGGTCTGGCTGTTTATCCCTAGAGTGTGAGTTGAGTAGATGCGACGTAAATCTACATTCAAGAGTTCGCTGAACACCTACGATCATTATTAAATAGCCTACCCGATCACTGGACTATAAATGCAAAACATACACATATGATACTACTAATATTCTTCAAATTCATGTAGGCGCCACTCCGGAACTTTAATATGGTCTGGGCAACAATAGCAAGATGTTGAGCTTACAAGCAATCTCGAATTTTTCTTACTACGCAATCCTTGCCATGAACAATTATCTGATAGTTGGTTATTATAGAAAACGCATGTGTCGTCAGTTGCCTATAATGGCTCTAGATTAGAGATTTACGTGTCAATTCTCAACCCTCTGGGTATACGTCGTCTTTACTTGGTGGAAAGCATTATCGTACTTTGTATTGTCATAATTCAATAACATAAAATACGGTGGTCTAAATCCTCGAGAGTGATTTCAATGAAACTAACTAATGACACTGGCATTCCATTGAGCTTGCCGGTGTCATTCTACGATAGCTATAACCCTAATTCGTCGTCGACTTATCATCCTCTATTTTCCTGTCACAACTTGTCATTTTATGACTAACTCAAGCAGTTACGATCCGGCGGAATCTTGGAAAAATATCTCCGCGCCCAATAATGCTCGAGCATCTCGGAATGTCGAGTCATATGTCGAATAAGAGATGAGCATCTGTCATTTCATCGAGCATTGAACAAAATTAAAGCTTTGTTCACAACATCTAAAGTCATCTTTCTCTGTTTTTATCGTCTCAGTAGAGGTCTCTTTCTGCTATCTATCCGGTATATACGATGTCGAAAACAGCATTGATCGAAGACACACAGACTCTCAAGGCTGGAAAGGAGAAGAAAAGCGATGCCATTGAGTGCACGCGAGCTTTTGAAAAGGAAGACGGACTTTACGCTGCTGATGAATTCTTGGACCCTCCTCCGGATGGTGGTTACGGTTGGGTATGCTGTACTAGCGTCGCGCTCATGAATTTCGCAACTTGGGGCCCTAACACTTGTTATGGTATCTTCTTGTCGTACTTTTTATCGTCAGATTATTTTCCGGGAGCCACTCCCACGGATTTCGCTATCATCGGCAGTATCGTGATAGGGCTCACTCTGCTTCTGCTACCGTGGGCAGCGGCGTGTATGAGTCTTTTCGGGTACAAGCCAACACTGACATTTGCAGTCGTGCTGGAAGCTGTTGCGTTCATTTCCAGCTCTTTTGCGCAATCCATAGGTGCTCTTTATGTCACTTACGGTGTGCTGTTAGGAATATCGTTTGGCTTCATCTTCGGCTCCAATACCATTGTTATCCCCAGTTGGTTTTTGAAAAAAAGAGCACTCGCCAACGGTTTCGGCCAGCTTGGTATTGGTCTCGGTGGTCTAGTCTTTTCTTTCGCGGTACATGCAATGATCGATCACACTGGCGACCACAGGTGGGCAATGCGTATGTTGGCAATTGTCACCTTCTCTATCAATATTATATCGCTGTGCTTTGTGCAAGTGCGCAAACCCCTCAATGGTGAAGAGGAAAAGAAAGGCCCTGTGGAGATTTTAAAAAAGTCCTTCGATAAATCCGTTCTCAAGGACGTCTCGCTTCACTATTGTGCAAGTTGGTCGTCATTTACCACCATAGGATACGTCATTTTATTGTTTTCCATCTCAAACTATGCTCTATCGATGGGAATGACCGCTCAACAAGCAACCGTTGCTCTCGCAATATTCAACGGTTCTCAAGCAATAGGAAGACCTTTTATGGGATGGTTTTCAGAAAGTGTTGGAAGGTGCAATGCAACGATTATTCTTATGGTCTATGATTTGATTTTAATTTTACCATTTTGGTTCAATATCACCAAGTTTAATGAGCTCGTTCCGTTCTGTATTTTGCTTGGATTTGGCGCAGGCGTGGGATCGGTAAATGTCGTACCATTGGTTTCTGATGTAGTCGGAATACAGAGATTTGCAGCCGGAATAGGGTACGTGTTTTTTGGAAACGGTGCAGTATCGATCTTTGCCGAAATCGCTGGACTGAAACTAAGAAACTTCTCTTCTCGAAAACCTTATCTGCGATGTCAGATTTTTGTCGCCTGCATGTATTTTTGCGGTCTCATATCTCTGTTTCCGTACCGCGAGTGGAAGATGCGGCGTGTTCTCAATGCTCGCATCAACAACGTCGATGATAACGATGAACTGCAAGGAATTTATCAGAAGCTATTGCACCCGACGTGGTACAATTATTTCAAGCGTATGTTCTACAGCTCCAAGATTTGACTTTTAGGACTATGATAAATCAATACGTGCGCGAGATGTTCGCATTCTGATCAGGACGACTTGTGCTTGAAATCAACATGAATGAATTTCTTTACATTACACTGAGAGGCACTGTAATGTCACCAATTGGTGGTCAACGCGCCATCAATTGATTTGAGGGGGATGGGCATTTGATCTTTTTTTAATATAACATATTTATCCAGAGCAAGTAGTGATGCTTCTCAACAAAACTAACAGCCATTGTTCCAAGCTCATCTGTACACCTTAAAAAAGATTGACGCTGTTAACTTTTGCGTACACGAAACAAATAAAACGATTTGATGGACAATGATACTCAAGGGCAAGGGGACAAATTAATGAGCGATACCATGGCGTGCAATGTCAATAGAATTATTGGCTTCATTGTCAGCGAGGGATGCTTGCCTTAGTATTTTTAGAATATGCTCTACTTCAATAAAATCACTTACAACTGTCATAACTACAGCACTTCTCTGTTTACAATTTGAAAGGGAATGCTCCCAACATCGATTTCTAGTGCTCAAAATCAAATGTCATTGTAAACTCCGTTTTTCTACTACCGACGCGCATCAAGACTTTTTCATTTCGAATTGTATCTCCGGCTTTCAAATAGAACATGTTAGAGATAGACCAAATCTAGCCTGACCCATTGACATCTCTCTTTAGGGTTGGTTTTGGACAATGAAGAATGTAAAATGATGAAAGAGGCAGATTTTTCAGGTGCGCGGAAGTATCAGGTAAATTTATATTAAAGGCCTTTTATCTCCGCATTGAATGTAGAAGAAGCGCCTTTTGGAGTAATCTTAATTCAGTACGTTGAGATGCTTCTTTGGAGTAAGGTACACCTGGGGGCCATGATTCTTGTAGTAAACTGTAGTCGGAGGTTTTTGCCAGCATTTACTCACTGATACCAAAAGACGTCAACAAAGCACAGGCCACCACGTATTCTAAGCATCAGCAACAATCGTAGTTGTAATAAACCTTGGAAAAGTCCCGTTTGGCAAGATCTTCCTCCGTTATAAAAAAATTACCCACACCAGCATCTCCCCATTCACAGCCAATTGCGTCATCGCTGTCAATCTGGAGAAGCAGCTTAGTGTATGAAGCTAGCTCTTCATATTCGCCCCTAGGATCACATTGCGTAAAACCAGGATATCCACCTATTTTGTGCTTCATAGCCATTTCGGAACTCTGCGTGTAAAAGTCCTCAAGTTCAGGAATCCAATCTGACTTCATTCCAGTCTCCTTTTCAACACGGAAGTCAAGAAGGTTCATGTACTCCTCATCTGGAGTGAAGGTGAGTTTTGCTTCGCTCCCCGTATATAGCGGAAACTCATCTTCATCGGTCAGTTTTACAAAGTCAAAGTCACGTAACAACTGGTCTTCACCTTTCAGCTCGCCATCGAAGAATAGAATACGATAGTTTTTATGTTCCACTTTTCCACCGTAGTCGAATCCAAAACACCCATCTTTAGTACTCAAATAAAATTGAAGAATTCCAGAGGTAGGATAGCCATCCAAATGTGGTATCTGCTCAAAATTGAGCTGTGCAAGTAATTTCATTGGAAACCCATCTGCATCGCGCGGATACTCGCTATCAATGGGGAAGTACGGGTTTCCGCCGAATTTACTATCAAAAATGCCAGTAGCGCCTTCCTCCGCCTTGACACGGACAATGGGGGTCAAAGTCTTCTCAACTCTAGGTCTCAGCACTTCGTAGCACTCAGGTAATTCTAGCTTCTTAGACATGATCAGATAGGTCTTCAACTGGAATCTGAGGACTACGTGCGCACTAGTTTACAAAAACTTTTGGTACTTATTCTGGGAGAGATCTACGTTAAATATAATGAACGGTTAGTCGGTGGCATATGAAATTATCATCGTGTGAAAGGCAATGTAGTGAATGCCCTTGGAATATGCACCACCATGCTACTTGTAGAATGTGAAAATCTTGTCGTTTAGGGACAATGCTATTTTTTTCTACATTCCTACCTGGCTATATTTTTTGTTCCAATATAGGCCCTGATCGCCGGGAAGAAACATTTCAATCTGGTAAGAATATCTCCATATATAAATTTCTATCCGAAAGCAATTCTGTAGGGCTAGACTAGAAGCTCGAAAATTTACACTGGGGAAGGTCCACCAGGTTGATTGACGTTGTAAAGTTACGATAAAGATGGCATGTCGAAAAAGAATCTGTACAGCGGCACTGTGTGATATGTTATCGGAAACCAGGGAATATGTATAATTGTTTGGGCTTACAGAAAGGGCAGCATTTGGTAAGATACAGCATTGCTCAAGTTTCTCAACGAAATTGTGGACCACTGGACAGCAGCGCCAGCCAAAATTTGAATCTTGTTGCAGGTTTCGAGAAAAGAAGAAATTACAGAGCGATCTTGCGACTGTGATATGCAACCTAATACTCAGGACGAGTCACTGCTTTCTTGATAACTGGACGAATGAAACACGAAGTGATTTTCTGCAACTGTGAGGAGATAATTGCTCACAAGCAATGCGACCAGGACCCTTCTTTCGGTGCCAGATTTAAGAAATAATCAGGTTTGTCTACACCTCACTCATATCGAATGTGGGTGATTCTCCTTTGTCAGTTTTGCAAGCTCTTGTGTTTTGCACCCTCCAATCTCCTTTTCGTAGCCCTCCAAAACTCCTTTCACATTGACTGCGGCTTCATTCTGGTGAAGCTTGAATTTTGACTGAATATCAGTGACATCGATCTCCAGACCCACGATCCCATTTAAAAGGGTATCGACATATTTTTCTGGCGCATCGGAAACTTTCCACTTTTCTTCAAATTCGTCGCCATCAGGTCTCTTGTTCTCTTCTTGGTCTGTAAGCTGACCGAGCATGTTCAACAGCCAAGTTTTGTCACGAATTATCTTAGCGGCACCATAGACATGAACGGTTGCAAAATCCCACGTCGGGACATATTTGTGGGTTTTCTTCTTCAGAGGGTACCAAGAAGGACTGACGTAGGAATCAACACTTTGAAAGACGACCATACATTTGGAGTATTTTTCAAGCATTTGAATGTGTTGGTTCTTGGCTGCCAAATGTGCAACTAGTTTTGTTTTGCCGTTTTTTTCCTTTACTAGAACGAAAGGTACATGCGTAGCACACATTTCACTATCAACTGCCGATGTTTCATTGCCTTTGATGAATCCCATAAATCCGTTTTGGGGCATTGCATAGCTGAAGATTATACCAAGTGGATTGGATCTGATGATATCAGCCTGCTTGGAAAAATCATTTACCTCCATAAGCTTTGGAATATACATGCTGCGTCTCGAGAAGTATTGAACTGAAGGTTGTATTCTTTACCCTTTGGCCATCGATTTTCTTGAATGGTGCCCTTCTTATTAGTGAACAAGTCAAGAGGCTTTACATAATGACCTTTTAAATCAGTGCTCGACCTCGAGTCACGATGAGTCAAGTTCCCCTCAAAATCAAGCAAAAGTAAGCGATTCTCCTGATTTTCTCTGCCCCTGTTTGAGGCGGGTAGAAACCCCCTCGCATCTCATTTATCTTCATTTTCACGGAGGCAAATTACCGATTTGTAGGTTGATAGATACCGTTGCAAGAGGGCAGATATCGGTATTTCCCTAATTTTGCATTTATTAGCATTTATGTGATTAAAGAGACTCGAGGTTGATCGTTGGTGAGTGACTAAAAGAGGGCCAAGACGCGTTTTAGATATTACAAGTTTAACGGCTCGAATCGAATAGCTTGTGAGAAACTTAGCATTTGAATATCTCTGGAAAGAATTCGTTATCGTAGGCGTCAAGGAACAATGAGCTCAACAAAAGAGAAGAGACAGAGAAATTGACTTAGCAAAAAATTATCCTCAAAGCGGAACAATTTGCATCGAGTAATCTGAACACTTCATTTGTCTTTCATAATTGTTTTGAAAATCCGAGACCATCACCGTGTTTACTTGGACTGTAACCTTGGGTAAAAATCGAGGCTGGTCGACGACATTGGTCTCGATATTCACGCTATCTGAGAGCAATATTTGCTGTTTCGCGAGGTTGTTTAACCATCGTTATTGATGGGCTGCGCCGAAAGATCGGAGAACATGGTATGTTTGGATTTGGGTACGTTTGATGAAAAAAGAGGATGATAATAGCAGCTATTAAACATTGGAATTGTACTCGCCGTAATTTTGGCTCATAATGACGCGTGAAGTTAGGGCTCTCTGCCCTTCAACTGTGACGTAAACAATGGGAAAGAATAGTAGGCCATTGTGCTAACAATTCAATGTTCATTTAATAAGTTGACAACAAGCGGATTTCTAAGAACAAACCTATTACTTGGCGACATCCAGCAGAACAAGCTACTGGGAGTCCTCATACAGAATATGCTACTCAACTTGCAGATGGTTGTCGCATTTTGCAAAAGCACAGACTCGGTACGTTGTGCATATTTGAATAACTAGACAGTTTCTATTCCTATCGCAAAGGTGCTCTGCAAGGCCATGAGATCCCAAAAAACCAGTCTGGTCCCAATTTTTCATGCTCAAATGGAGTGGCGGATCTCCGTCTCAGCGATAAACGACTCATTTTGGGAGCAGTTTTAGCATCACAAAAAAGCCACCAAAGGTAACAGACTTTAGTTCGGCACGACGCGCTTTATTTTGTGGCAATGATACTCTCCGGGTGCTGAGACACACGCCTTGTACAGAATGATGTCAAAGGGAAAGGCCGACGAGAAATTGATAGATCCTCGCCAATTCACTCGAAACTACTTAAAAGAATACGATAATTCTGATAATTTGCGTTCCTCAACTCCTGTCGAGAGGCACGTCCCACATGAAACCGAAGATTTCATATTTGACAGAAACGAATTTCAGGGCACAACTGGCGGCTCACAGGCTTTGAACAATGCTGACACGCTAGTCTCAGATGATGAGGACCTTATGGAGGAGTTTTACGCTTATCAGCGAGAGCCACTTTTGAAAAGTAGGAGTTAGGAAACCGCGATTGTTTGGTGGTGTCAGCACCTAATTAAATTTCCAAGGCTTTTTACGCTTGCCATATCGTTGTTCTACACTAAGCTCAGCACATGCGAAGTGAAAAGAGTGTTTTCTTTGGCCTCGGGAATCATGGGGAAGGACAGGACCCGACTGTCATCAAGAAATTTCAAATCCGCGATGTTGCTAAGAGACAGATTTGACAGGTTTGGCTTTTACAATCGCGTCTTGCACCCTCCCCCCCCCCCCCTCCTTCCCCGACGGACTTCGTGATGTTAGCAACAAGACGTGTGATATATACGAGGACGACGATGGTTTGTTAGACTCATTCGAACTTTACGCTGCCTCGAATGACACTCTGTGCGACAGCGACCTAGAATAAATTGACGAGTAAGCGCAACTGGCGGCCGATAAGACAGAGGAAGGAACTATGAGTGCAGCTGAGCCAACCAGAATACCTAGTGCTACTTACAATTATGGCGCTGGCCGCCAAATAAATTACAACATACATAAATCATCAATGAGTTACTTGTGACATACACAATTACATACTCGTCAGTTACTCATTCCTCTGCGAGTAAGTAAGTGGCGATATTTATTACCCCGATTACCCATCATCGTTCTCGCAAATAGGGATTTCCCGGCCTGAGTTAGTACCCGAATTACAACTCTGGTGTGCCTGCCGTACACCATTGCATTTAATATTTTATCTTGGGGGATAAGTTGTAAACCAACAGGTAACATTATACTAGTTATCCAAGTTAGTAAATCTACGAAGAGATGTGGAGTCCTTCTATTGAGTTTCTTCTAGCGTGGCGATTGGCAAGTCAAAATTGCGGCCCCACTCATCCCAGCTGCCATCATACACTTTCCAATCATTGTGACCGATGTTGTTGAGACCCAGAGCAAGAATACAGGCAGTGACTCCCGAACCACAAGACGCAATGACCGGTGCCTTCAAGTCTAGACCAGCTTCTTCGAACTTCTCCTTCAATTCCTTAGACTGCAACAAACGGTGTGTATCATTTTCTAGGAGATCAGACCAACAAAGATTGAGGCTGTTTGGAATGTGACCTTGACGTGTTCCAGGATAGCGATCAACCTGAGTACCAGCCCAACGTTCGAAAGGTCTTGCATCAAGAATCTGACCCCCAGACTGCGAGGCATGAAGCACGTCATTCCATAAAGCTAGATGGTTACGTTTCACACCAGTAGAAAAAGTCGCCGGCGTCGCATGGACGGTCCCATTTTCCACTGGACCGTTGATAGCTAGCCATGCGGGAAGGCCACCATCCAGAATTTTCACTTCGTCGTGACCATATTGTCTGAAAAGCCACCAGACACGCGCGGCACTGTAGAGACCACGCGTATCATAAACAACCACTAATTTCCTTTCGGTGATTCCCAGTTCACCAACTTTCTCGGCAAACAGTGTGTATGGAGGAATTTTTCGAGGGCGCGGATTGTTACGGTCGGCGATGTCATCCAAATCAAAAAACAGGGCATTGGGAATGTGTTGAGCGGTGTATTCCTCGCGCGCATTCCGCCCAGTATCCGGCAAATGTAGGGTGGCATCAACCACAACTAAATTTTCGTCATTCAAGTGCTCTTTGAGCCAATCGGCGGAGACCAGAGTGTCTGTAGTCATCTCAAAGGTTTTTCTGTTGGAGCGGTACCCGAAAGAGAAGTGAGTTGCTTACCAAATATCAGGGCCAGGCCACTTCTGTTCTTTAGTTATGACGGAAAGGCCAAGGTGAGAAAGTTTGATGAGAAAGTTCGATGAGAACCTTTTATATCCTTTCAGAGCTGTTGTTCGGGCACCATCTCAGGCTGGGTAACACCAACTTACGAGACCCACATAGTCTTCGCTTGCGCCGTCACGATGACTCGTCTATTACTCGCGTGAGAAAAGATGCTACCCACCAATAACCCGCGTCTTCGACGACGGAAACCTATTTTATACTCGATGAGGATGATTATTACAGCGGGTGCTACTCTCTCAATGGGGTGACGACGGTTTGAGGTTTTAGTAGTCAAAACTAGCGTATCAATCGAATTAAGCACTACCCGCTTCTGGACATCTGGGTAGCAGTTTTGTAATCCGGATCGATCAACCATCAATACAGCTCTGTACCAGCCTGATAAATCACACCGTATGTTAATTGTCATTGGGTTACTCGTGCCGTGAAAGCCATTTACATATTGCGCATGTCTGGTTTAAAGTAGTAAAATCAGTAGATTAAGACTCGACAATGAGAGCCGAGAGCAAGCCTTGGGGAGAAGAGAGTTCAATTCCATACTACGTGCTCAAGATCAGAGGCCTCGTAACACCTTTGGGTTCAGGAACAAAATTGGCAGGGTGTCACGTGTAAGCGGCAAAATCAAGTTTAAGGTAATTTGCGACCATTCTTCTCGGCCCATTTAAGGCTTTTCATCACTGGGGCGAGACGCCAATACTGGTCAGGGATCTGCTCTCATGCAATTAGATACGTTGTGGGATTTATGCAATTGAGAAGCGCGTAAATTTCAAGCCGCTCGTGTGGCCCTTCACGATCCCCTGTAAATTTGTCACGGAGGAGAAATCGACGCTGCCGACGATGGCGATCATTCGATAGAACCGATTGTCAATGAGGAAATGGATTTAAATTCTCGAATAATCGAAGCGGACAGCGCTGAGTCCTCAGAGGTAGAACAATCGACGGCTTTTTTAGAGCAGTCAAAAAATACAAAAAGTCATAAGAGTAGAGAACTTAGCTAATAATGTGAGCACGATTTTCGTTTTCGCATAATCCCCGAAGGGTTGTCGGTCGACCTTGAGATTTCCAAAACACGCCATTGACAAAGTGACCAAAGCCATACAGGGCGAGATAAGAAAAAACGGCTACAAAACCTCAGACGATGGAAAAGAGTTTGGGTCTAGATGGGATAATACTTCAAAGTACTATTTGGCGAAGTACTGTTGCGAGATTGGTCCTTTTCTGGGGTTCGAATATATGAAGCCTAAGCCGCCGACGAAGCTAGAGACCAGCTCTCTCAATTCCCTCGAGTGGTCCCGTGTTCTGCACAATCTGTTTCTGTCGGTGAACTTTAGTAGGAAAGCTGGTTCCAACGGAGACACGATTGAAAACTAGGGTCGAATACTTGGTGGATAGCGCTAACGAAAAATCATCGCAGTCCCCACTGGAGATGAGAGGAACCCTTGCATCATTGCGGGTGACGGAAAAACTGACGAGCTTGTGGAAGATCTAACAAGAATCAAAAATTCTGCAGATAATTGTCGAAAAGAGATCGAAAACGTTGAAGTACAGCGCCAGTCCAGTTACGGGACGTGAGGTGGGCACCCTGTAAGGATGCTCTTCCTCGAATTTTACAGAACACGACAATATCAGAATCCGAAATCTCTCTACCAGCTTTTGATGATGTCAACGCACCGAACGTGCAAACCATGGCTCAAAGACGCAGGGCGAACCCTGCTGCTGCCCCGCTTCTAGAATTGGAAAATACAAGTTCTGAGCATCGTACAGATGTGCAGCAAGATCAATATTCTCTGTTCAAATCAATCCAAACAATAATGGGTCATGAGAAGCAAGATGGAAAGGAAAAGACCGCATTGGAAAAAGAAAGGATTGCACTAGAGAGGGAAAGGATGGCGTATAAGTAGGCCCCAATAAAGTCTACCCTAGTTGCTTGTATCATGAACGCCTTTTTGCATCATTATGAAAAGCTGGAAAGCATTTGCTGAGACCTGGTAGAAGTGATATTTAATTACTAGGGTGCTCTGCAACAAAAGAAAATGGGATACCGCAGTGAGGATTGGGGTCACAGATAATTTACGAACGCGCCATGGGCTCACCTATATTATCCTGATTCATGCAGCTCTGTTCTTTTGAGTAGAAATTTCCGCTTTCAGCAGGATCAATCGAAACATAATCAAAAAGTTGCGGAATCTTGATTCCATTCTTCTTCCATTGTCGGAGGATCGACCTGGAAATACATCGGAGCCTGTGATCCCTCCAAACAGTGCTTGGTATTTGTCAAAAACACTGCTGTAGGAGATTAGGCCCCACATCCCTTTTCACCTCCGACTTTGAAAATATCGTTACTGTTGAAGATCCGACAATTGTCTTTTACAGCTCCAAAGAACCACTCAATCGAAACTCGAGATGTTGACATTACCTTGTTCTGCCTTTTTTCGTCTGAAGTCAGTATTTGGCCCTTGAAGCCAACTATCAAAACGTCAGAACTTCTATGTACCGGATCTCCGTTCACCCTATACTGTTGATTATCACCATGCAAAGCAGTTTTGTGCCTATCATGAAAGCCACTGTACATGTAAATGAATGAGTCGTGCTGAATTCCCGCGGAAGGGCCTGTAAGATCAACGCATATTCTATCAGGTGTGGTAACTGCTTGATATCCCGAATTATGAGTATTCTTATGGCCACTGTAAACAGCATTTTGTGTAACTCCATGTCCTTGCTGGGCGTGGTTGTGGGGCCGTGCCATTTTCACATGAGTGCCGTCAATGAAAGCGACAACTTTTAAGCCTTCGATTGATATCAAGTGCGTGAGAGCCAATATTGGAAGGTATTTTCAGTGTCTTGACGATACGATCAAAACCGGGCTTGCTAAATCCAGTTGATTTTCGGAAGGATGCGTCGGTCAATCTTAATCGAAACATACAACCGCATTCACACCAGGCATTATACCGAACATTTTTGCCCCGACTTCTGAGCTCCTTTTTAAGTTCAAATTCGATCTCATCGGCAAGCCACTTTCTAAGATGCTCTTCCGTTGCTTCGTGCTCTCCGTTGCGAATCTGCTCGATTTTCTAGGTCTCCAGAATCATTTGCGGTGCTCGCCGTGCGGTCTTGCTCGTCCTCTCGCGAATAAAAGCATTGCAATACTTGAATCTTAGAAGATACTGGTCTGAACGATAGTTTTGGAGGAAGTCACGAGGTCCGTCAGTGCCTGAATGACGATTCAAACATATTAAATATCCTATGTCACCGTGAGCCTCCCAAACTTCTTTATGTAGAAGTGAACAGTAGTCTACATTAGTGCTTGCTATGCTGAATGGTCGTCAGCCATAGAAGTTACTCGAAAAGTTGTGGAGTAGGGTTACTTTCGGATGATCGATTTCATTACGCACACTAGGTTTACCTACTGACGCGTGAGTTAAGTCTTCGCGTTAAATGTCATGTGCTGACGCAGGTTTCCTTTACCCACTTCCCAATGTAAACCCCAACCTGCTTACAAGGTGTGCCGCCAAAGTTGTGGTTTTGTCCTTTCGAGAGTCGTTCCAGCAAATCCAAAGTCGTTTACAAGTTTTCTAGTGTGGCATTTTCGTGGGCAGTCCCACCGTTTTCAAAAACCTTTTCCCGTTTCTTTTTTTTTTTTATGATAGTTAACACTAATAGCAGTCGATGTCTTTGAGGGTTTTGATTAGAATTAATCCAGGTGCTGTGGAAAGTCATCAAGTCTTGAAAGTTCCACAATTGTTCAAGTATTTGAGTCCCAGCTAAAGAGAACTTTGACATCTCGTTTGACAGATGACTATTTATGAGGAATACGTAAAGGCATTTGGAAGAAGAAGCGACTCGAAAGTTGAACCAAAACGTCGAGTATTTCGAAATTTTGGGATCGCTTGATTCAATACAATTCAAATCTTTTTGTTTGACGTTTGCTGGTTGAGTTTTCACTTTGCCTCGAGTTTGAAACAAAAATAGGACATGAGTAGCGAGACATCATCGGTGGAGAGATCAAACTCTACTCTTCCTGTTAAAGGAACCGCACAAGAGTCGGTACAATCTAGCGGTACTATCGATGCTATCGGAAAGGTCATTAATTCGAGGGATGCAGATGTCACACTTCAGTTTTTGAGAGAACATGACTCTCAGGTCCCCCCCATAACGCCAGAGCAGGAGCGCAAACTTTCCAGAAAAGTGATCTGGATTATTTTACCTATGGTAATGTTCATCAACACGATCATTTATGCTGACAAGATTGCGATGTCTTTTGCGGCAATCTTCACGTTTTTTGACGACACTGGCCTTACCAAAAACAAGTATAACAACGCTAACACCCTTTTCTACGTGGGATTCGTCCTTGGTCAGGGAAATCTGTATTTTCTTCAAAAGCGCCCTGTGGGACAGGTAATGACGATCATAACATTTTTATGGTGTCTCATAATGTTTCTACATTGCGCAATTTACAATCCTAGCGGCGTCTATGCAATCAGATTTTTTCTGGGATTCTGTGAGGCGATAGGAGTCCCTGCACTGAATATTACCATGAATCAGTTTTTGACCGCCGAGGAAAAAGCAGCAACTGCTCCGATTTTCTTTGCAAGTTGTATGGGGGTGACAGTGCCAGTAGGTTTTATTGCATATGGTACTTTGCAGATAACAACTTCTTCTATACCAACTTGGAAGATTTTTTCAATACTGATTGGTTCATTAAGCTTTCTGGTAAGTCTAATGGTGCTTATACTATATCCTAATAACCCCACTGATGCAAAATTCTTAAACACGGAAGAAAAAGTGTGGGTCATCAGAAGAGTTCAGAACTCTACTCAATCATCAATTGAGCAAAAACGATTCAAGAAGTCTCAATTCAGAGAAGCCATAAGAGATCCGATTACCTGGCTTTTTGCATTTTTCTTCTTATTACAACAATTGACTAATAATCTCCCCTACCAACAAAATATGCTTTTCCACAGTATGGGAGGTATCTCAAACCTTGACACCACTCTAGTTTCTGTCGCGAGTGGCTGTTATGATGTCCTCTGTGCTATTTTAGCCAGTGGGTGGTTGCATTATCACAAAAATACAACTGCCTTCTCCGTTGTTTTTTGGACTTTGCCTTCATTTGTTGGAAGCATTGGTAGTCTCACTCTCTCCTGGGACAAAAAAATCGCCCTTCTTGCCATGATCTGTCTTGCAACGCCTTTTGGTATACCTTGGATCATGATGTTCAGTTGGAATATCACGAGCTGCTCCGGCTATACCAAAAAACTAACCAGAAGTGCGATCGTGATGCTATTCCACAGTATCGGTAACATCATTTCTCCTCAAATGTGGCAGCAGAAGGATGCACCTAGATACCGCCCTGCATGGCTCGTACAAACAATATGCTCTTTCTTTATTGCTCCGATCCTTGCGCTTGTTATTCGCCACATCCTGAAAAAACGCAACGACGAAAGAATTGCAGCATCGAAATCTGAAGAACTTGGTTTTGTGGAACAAGACGGAGAAAAGCTAAAGGTCAATATGGCCATGTTGGATCTGACTGACCTCGAAAACAAGTACTTTATATATCCGCTATAAAATAATGAGAGGCAGACATTTATTATGGGTACCCACTCAGGCTAAGTAGTCCCTACTTAAGAAATCCACAAAAGATCCGATCGCGCTGTCATATTGATTCGTTGTGAATGCGACCCGCGCGTCCTTAACAATGGTAGTTATCCAACACTCGAAAATCATAATAATCAGTGTATAGAATGCAAATCTCAATTGGGTGGCAACGGACTCGGATTCCAATAGTCGAAGCTAGCGTATCGATCCGTATCAACCCGAAATTCAGCTCTGTTTTGAGACTCCAGGACTTTTTCGTTTATGGCGCAAGTCTGGTGATAGACGAACAAACGTGACATCACGATCTGATAACATGTGGTTTTCTTGAATTGGGATTTTCCAGCTTGAGTGAGTACTCGTGATCAACCTCTAACGTGATCCCTCGGATCACTTCAGCATGTTATTTTTCTATAAGTAGGTTGACTGCTGCGCTCACGGCACAGTCCAAGACGGGTCAACAAACGAACAGTGTGAAGCATGATCGTCGCGTTCGTCGGTCTTGGAAACATGGGCGGCAATATGGCCGCCAATTTGGTTACAGCAGGCTATCACGTCGTTGGTTTTGATCCAGCCCCCGCCGCTGTATCAATGGCCCGATCAAGTGGTGTAGAACTCGCCTCATCCGGTCCAGCCTGTGTGCGGGAAGCAAACGTTATTTTCACTATGCTACCAAGTGCTGAGTACGTTGATAGTGTGTGGGCTGAGATTATACCCGAAGCCCAAAAAGGAGCTATCATTGTTGATTGCTCCACAATCGATGTGACGTCTTCGCGAGCTTTGCACAAAATGGCACAATCTGCTGGTCTAGAAAGCGTTGATGCGCCCGTTTCAGGTGGCATGAGTGGAGCAAGAGCTGGTAAACTGACCTTCATGGTAGGTGGGAATGAAGCCGCTATTGAGGAAATTCGCCCATTGCTCGAGGCTATGGGTCAAAAGGTCGTACATTGTGGTGGTGCCGGTGCCGGTCAGGCTGCGAAAATATGTAACAACATGATCCTGGGAGCAAACATTGTTGCGGTTTCAGAAGCTTTTGCTTTAGCTGAGAAACTAAACTTAGCCCCGCAGTCAATGTTCGACGTTGCCTCAACTTCCACAGGCCAATGTTGGGCTTTGAACAACTACTGCCCTATTCCTGGTCTCGTACCCACTGCTCCATCTAATAACGATTATAAACCCGGTGCTGCTGCAACTATGCTTCTCAAAGATTTGAAGCTTGCGCAGGACGCTGCAGCTGACGTGAGTGCAAAGATACCACTCGCTTCTCATGTGACCCAAATCTATGCTGATTTTGTAGCAGATGGTCATGGGGATAAAGACTTTTCCGCAATTATCCGAGCCCTACGCTAAAGGTTCCTCTTGAAAGTGGGCGATTCTTTAATTCTATCCACTAGTTGCAGGGTCACGATTCTAAAGAAAATGTCAATGGTATATACAGCTTGTAGACGAAACGGAGCGCTTGAGACTTTGACTCTTGGTTAAAAACGCTCACACTTGAACTACTCATTATGTCAAGTGCTTTTTTAGGAATCTAAATTTGTTTATCTGATTGCATACAATCTTTTCGCAGTATACTCTCTGTGACGCTTCCGAAAAGACCGTGACCAAAAAGTTTCATTTGAAATTACCAAGCGTCCACCGGGAGCCTGGTCCCGTTGAATTGTGTACCTTTATTAGACCGATCGTGCATCTCTTGACCCTAAGTGTCATCCTTCAGTACAGCATTGTCATCTGTCATCTCATCACATGACATCACATGACAGGGCAGTAAATGAAGGATTCAGCATTTCGAGTATGCCAAGAGATGGACAATGTCGATAAAACATAGTGATATACACGAAAGACCGATGCTTTCACTTCGCAAATTATTGTGTACAGTCAATGAAGATGTGTTATACTTCATTGAGTGGGTTGAGGCAGAATGCGCGCACTTTCATTAAAAAATAGCGCTATCTATCATTTTCGTGGCAATCGACCAAAGTAATTTACCAAATTATTAGAGAAAACACTTTTGTACATACTGCTATATTATTACCGCCAAATTGTCGCGATTGTGGCTACCCTGTCAAATTTATTGGCAGGCAGCCCTTCCTTTAACAGCTTCAGAAAAAGAGTGAAAACTGTCTTAAACCAAATTTCTTGACCTGTCACTTCGAGAATTTCGAGATGTCCGAAATCTCGACTAACTAAGGCCCATTCTAAAGGCGAAATAAGTACCAACAAGACACATTTTAGAGATTTCTTGAACTTTAACTACCACTTTTATCATGTGACTGTTGATAGCACTTAAAATGGACAGCTTCAGGTTATGATCATATTTATCAATTAACCGATCAATCACTGAATCTACCGATGACTAACAAGATCTAAAAATTTTGTCAGGAGTATTTATATAAAATAAACTCAGCTATCGGTTAAAGCGGGCTCAATCGTTTATCTCATGTATCGGTATGGTAGAAAATATAGAATTAGCCACTCCCCCAGGCCCCAGTAATTTGTCTTACGAAAAGTCACAGAATGCTGGTCGTAATACACATTTATCATCAGGCTACCAAGCCAATCCAGAGAGCACTCCAGCTGGCGATCGAAGAAGGCTGCAAGACCTCAAGTCTGAAGTAGAAGGCCAGCAGGAGATCGAAGTTCTGGAGCTTCCAGAGGGCGGGCGTCAGGCATGGCTGGTTGTATTTGGATCTTTCATGGGACTAATTCCTGTTTTTGGATTCATTAACTCACTTGGTGCTATCGAGTCTTACATTTCCAAACACCAGTTGGTAAATGAATCGTCATCGGTAGTATCGTGGATCTTTTCTATCTACCTTTCTGTTGCCTTTCTGAGCTGCATTTTTTCTGGTGGTTATTTCGATAGAAATGGTGGACGGGATCCCCTATCTTTGGGCACAGTTATGTTTACTGCTGCAATTCTTGCGACTGCTAACTGTGAAACAATTTGGCAGTTCGTTTTAGCGTTCTCCATTCTTGGAGGGCTTTCCTCGGGTATTTTAATGACTCCATTGGTAAGTTGTGTGGCGACATGGTTCGTGAAGAAGAGAGCTATTGCCACCAGTGTTGCAACAATTGGTGGATCAATCGGGGGCGTTGTATTTCCTTTGATGCTTAGAGCATTGTACACTAAAGTGGGGTTTAAATGGGCCTTGCGGATACTGGCATTACTGTGTTTTTGCTGTCTTCTCTTTTCAATCGCATTTGCCAGAGAAAGGGAGCAACCTTTTAACGAACCATTCAAGTCTAAAACGGAGGCTTTGCGGTGGTACTTGGCGTCAGCTTTGAATTGGCGTTACTTCCTGGATTGGAAGTTCCTCTTTGCGGCCTTAGGCATGGGTTTCTCGGAGAACTCTTTGACGGCATCTTCGACATACCTCGCATCCTATTCGCTGGCACAAAAAAACTCAGAGCAAGTCTCATACGCTTTGATTGCCACTACAAATGCTATAGGAATTTTGGGACGTTATATTCCTGGATACTTGGCAGACAAGTACACTGGGAGATTCAACATGGCGATCATTACGGTATTCATGGCTGCCATCTTCAACCTTTCAATGTGGCTTCCGTTTGGTGGCAGTGTGAAAGTAATGTGGGCATATTCTATTCTCTATGGTTTTATGACTGGCTCAATTCTTTCTCTCACACCTGTATGCATCGGCCAAATTTCAAGAACCACAGATTTTGGCAAGCGGTACGCCTCTGCTTACATGCTGGAAGCCGTGATGACGATTCCGGTCATACCCGTAGGGGGTGCAATCATCGGCTCGGGCTCCATAACAGAATACAACTATTTCATCATTTACACATCTATTATGATGATTGCAGGAGCAGTTTGCTTCTTTATTTCTCGTAATATTTGCATAGGATTCAGAATCTCTAGGTTTTAAGACTTACGTTCAGTCATTATGGTAGTGATGCTTTTAAATGGAAAGATCTGAGCCCGCAGAATCCTCCTTTTGATTATAAGCCGCGACTTTATTCTTCTTCACATAATATCTTCGAGCGTTATTTTGTTTCTGAATACTGAATGTTCTCGTCCGAGCAGCCAAAAAGATTGCATTATTGTTTGAGCAGTCATTCGCCTGTCTAAGACTGTTATTCAGGCTGGCGTACTAGTCACCTCTTGTTCACTGTCTTCCTCATTCATATTAAGAGTTATACATATTTTTGAGTTATTTGTGTTCTGCTGTCAATGTTACCAATCATTACCTGTCACAGAGAGTCAATATTAAATTATTTGCTGTGATTGAAGCTGTACTTTCGATTGCACAAGACATGCATTTGAGACGCGCGGCTAAGGCTTGATATTTCTACTTGCCAAGATACTGCAAATTGAAAGGAGCAAGTACACAGTAGAATTCCAGTGCGTTTGAATTTCGTTGGCCAATAAAGGGTACTGAAGATACTTATCGTTCTATCTGATCGGCCCCTACGCGTCGTTTTTATGTTGTGAAACCTAGTTACTCGCGATTTGAGCTTGCAAAGCGTCTTCCTTCACATCCTCAGGCGAGAAAATAATTTGAAAACTGAAGCAATGAGCGATGTATATCCCAAGTCTCTAGAGACTTCCTCTTCACAAAGTAGCGAAGTATTCTATAATGATCCATAGCGTTCAAAAGCTGTACTTAAGCATGGTAGCCATGTCCTATGATCGATCGTCACGACGACCGGACTTTTGAGTTCACAATCACTGCGAGCCATTCACTTACGCCCTAAGCATGTTGCGCATGCCTCTTTCAAGTCAAATAACGCCTCGCTCATGAGTTCTTTATAGGTTAAAAGCCATGCAAAGCCAAACAAATTTGACTGTACTTTGAGTAAAATATTATACAACTGATTTCTGTCACCAGGATTGACAAAGTTCGCTTCGTGAGCGTCTAGGAAAATTTGGATGTTCATGGCTGTAAATCGTTGGAATTGAAATTCGACTGCGCTTTCATTTTGATAGCTTCTTCATTGATATCGTGTCTTTCTGTTGCTCTGTTCTAAGCATATTAACCATCTTTTTGCTCCCAGTACGGGTATATGGGTCTCTTCGGCGATTCAATGAGGACAGCCGCTGTTTCCTTTTAACGAATGGGATACGAGTATCTCATATCTAATAGCAAACCAACAAACGGCTCATGTGTGATTTATCTGTGTTTGAAGAAGCAAATTTCCTTGATCTCCACGAGAGACCACGCGCCATCGTTTGACTTCGGCTGAATTTCTCGATAATTTGATGATCAGCGGTGCTAGTGTCAGGGCATAGTTCTGAGATTGATCTATCATCTGTCATCGGGTCATGTGACTTACCGAGCAGTAGCACGATTGTAGCCAGTGTTTGATCTCTCAATCTTGATCTGTGGGGTGGGGATATTTTGTATTTCTAAGTAGAATTCAAGTGTGTCTTTAGTTATTAGCGCTTGCCGGGCGTCGTAGAATGCTTAAAATCTCTTAGACATGTTGGCCTCTATTTTTCTATTTTTTCGGTGACATTTATTTGTGCTAGACCATCATTGTCGCGCCTCTGCGTGGTTTAATTGCGTGAACATGCTACTGGAGTCATATACAGGAGGCGTTAGCTGTGAAAAATGTCAAAGCACCCAATGACAGCACTTGCCGTGTAATTTCTGACCTAACCCATTTTCGATGACAGCGAGTGACTGCAATTATCAGAGCGCCCAGGTATTAAAAGAGGAATGTTATGCCGGTTATGCCGGAGAATGGAACTTCATATTTTCTTGTTTTTCGAGCTTTCATACATGTTGAACGCTGGCCATTTATTAATTCAAATGTCACGAAATCAAAGCCAAACATTAAAAATCGGAAAATCTTGGGGGTTCATGGCATTACTTTGATAATATTGTGACACACTCATGTTCATGATTTCAAGACGAGTAGGTGTAGAAATTCAGTCCTTTCGAAGGATGCTCCGGACAAAAAAGCAAATATAACAATGCATCTTTTTCTCTACAACAATGTGCTCACAAAGACACGCGTAAGTTACCTGTCTATTAGAAGCAACCGCTCAGACTTATAGAATTTATTTGAAAAGGACGTGTTTTCATGAGAGTCATCGTGTAAAGCCCAGAACTAGAAGAGTTAAATTACTTTATCCAATTTCGTTTTGCGATGGCAGAATTGTAAATAGAGCTGTCTTTGCAATTCGTCAAAAAATCTTTCAACTAAGTGAACACACGTCTTGAATACCCATGTAAGCAACACCAAAGGAGCTCCGTTTTTTCCTAGACTTTTCGGCGTGTTTAAACGTCAGTGACAAAAACCTTGTGTGCTACGGGAAGGGACGAACTTGTTCTGAGTTAGACTGCATCAAGAAAGAAATTCATACACATTTTGCGACCGGATAATTGAAGACGCCAAGTGCGTTTCCTGACTCTAGTACTTTCTAGGTTCAAGTCGCCTTTTTCACTTGAAGTGACATAGGGAAATACAAATAAACATAGAGCTTAATACAATACAATGAAAAATAGAGAGTACTTTGTCGTCCACATACAATGCAGACACTCTAGGTTCTGCAATCCATGAAAGTTTCTGCTAGTATCTCTCACAATAAATCAATCCATTTTCGCACATGAAGCAAAGAGTTGTCGCAAGCATTAGACAACTTTCTCCTTAATTCTGCCATCGACGGGCGTTGTGAGATAGTTAGTATATTTATAAACAACCCGAGCTGAGACCCTCGCCCTCGTTGTCGAATAAATCAGAAAACTGATTGAACGGAATCCAAGACGTAATAGGGGTGAAACGGTCAGATCTACACTTTTTTGTGATGAACTTTTCCATTCTCGCCTGTGATCATTTGCTGAAATAAATTGTGGTTTGTGAGACTCATATGGTAAATGGTGTGGATTTGTGCAGAGACTGTCATCAATACAGCAAGAATTTGTGTCTTTCTACGTACATTTCATCTCAATTTGACCTTTGTCTCCAGCACACAGTGCCACCTGTATGTTTGTGAACTGGATTTTAGACTTTTGTTTGAGCATGACGTGGCCAAAAATGGAATCTACAATGAGTGCATCAGGGGGTCTCTATTTCTATGGCGCTTTCAATATCGTTCTCTGGATTTTAACGTTCCTATGTATTCCAGAGACAATGCGATTTACATTGGAACAACTTGACGAAATATTCAAAGTTGGTATTTCGAATCATATTAAGAAAGTTTTACGCAGGCCGGTTTGCAATTAGAGGGATCGCGTTGAGCCTTCTTTTTTATTCAAGAAATGAGTTCTCTAGTTGATCAGTTAGGAACTCCGAGCCTTACAATTAATTACCTTGACTTTTTCTTATTTTTCCTCAACTGTCACAATTATAATAGATGGATTCACACCCAATGCTAAAATTTTTACATATTATCGCCAAATTTTACTTGCTTCGACTCAACAAGACTAAAGTTGTCGAATGCATCTGCATCCAAAACGTTGCATCGTATCTCGTGTATACGTAAGGCACCAATTTTCAGCCCATTTGTAACAATCACTTGATTCTAAAACTATCTGGTATAGCAACGAATTAGCCGATTCGATGGACGACAACACTTCTGGGCGACGTTATGATGCTCATTTGAAGCCATACTGTCATATAATTACATAATTTATTGTATTAAAGTCAGAGCGACGTCAGTGCACACCACATTTGAGTTCCAGTCAGAAGTCAAAAGATCTTGAAGCTAGCGGTTGGCAAGGCCTATTTTTTTATGTGCAATTCGTGGCATGTGGATTCGAGTAAAGGCTCTCAACCTCATTGGCTACTCAAGGAAAGGGAAATGACGAATATTGGTATATCAAGAGACCGGTGATGCTGCTTGAAGAGTCTTTGAGCAAGTCTGACCGGATCGGATTGAGAAGAACTGCTAACGATGACTCAAAATGAAAAAACCAAGGAAATCAATACTGTGCTATAATTGGCGCCGGGGCTGCTGGTCTGACCTCGCTATTTGAACTTCTCAATACTCGCAATGGCGGAACGACAAACTTGCGTTACAGCGTTGACGGGAAATTCGATTGTGCAAGACCGAGGAAAACTCCAATCCAGCGTTCCAAAAGATTGTTATTTTTGAATCAAAAGCTCGCTTGGCGGAATCTGGTCTCCTGGTTTCGAAAACCCTGATATTTTAGACAAGGAAGACTTGGCCTCTGAGCATTACGATGACCAACTCGTTCTGAAACCCCCAACAGAAATTTCATCAGAGCTTTCCCATGAAAAGTTTACGTTTACTAAACCCTTGATTGTGTTCCATACAAATGAGCCCAGCCCGAAAACCTGGGCTGCGAGTGGTATTTATCAACACCTTTATTCTAACGTCTCGCAGAGACACCTTCAAAATTCCTTCATTTCATACAGCGCAAATCAGAAAGAGCAGAATTCAAACATTGCTCCGTTAATGACCAACTTCTCTGTTACTGACAACCTTTTAGACTTTGCTAGTCGACATCAACTTTAGAACTATACGAGAACAAACACCGAAGTAGTCAAGATCCACAAGATCGCCAATGGATCGTGGAGATTGACGCTAAAGAAGAGTGCGGACAACAGCAGTTTCATTCATTGGTACGAGGAGTCATTTGATGCAGTTCTCGTCAGCAATGGTCACTATTCAGTTCCCTACATTCCAAGGGTCGAAGGCTTGTCAAATTGGGTGGCTCAGTATAAAGATTCGGTTCTGCATTCCAAAGCCTTTAGGGGAAATGATATCTTCAGAGACAAGAAGTGCGTATTTGTAGGAACAAATTTGAGCGGAATTGATATACCACAATATGTTTTTCCTGTCGCTAAAGAAGTGATAGTATCGAGAACTCCTGGCAAGAAGGAGATTTATCCCTGGTTAACTAAAGCTGCAACCTCAGAAGGACTTATTCAAAAGCCCAGAAAAAAGAGCTGAGGCCGTTAGAAAACCGCAAGGTGATATTTCAAGATGGTTCTTTTGTAGAACAAGTTGACCATATAATATTCTCGACTGGTTATCATTGGCATTATCCGTTTTTGTGTGAGGGAGAGTCGCACCTGAATATCATAAAGTTAGGTCAAAAATCTTTCAGAGACTCTACCTCTACGGTAGACGAGTTGTACTTGGATACATTTAGTATTGATGTTTCAAGTCTTGCATTCGTTGGTATTACAATAACACCTTTGAAATGGCCCAGCTTTGAACTTTGTGCTTCAGCTATTGCTGAGGTTTGGTTCAGGGCCTCTTCACTTCCCTACAGGGATGAGCAGCTCAGCGACATCAGTGAAAGGAAAAAAAAGACAGGAGAGAATCTGCTTTTCCATTACTTCCGTCCTGATCAAGTCGAAGAGCTCGTAACAAGACTTGGACCGCACATGCCTAAAGGCAGAAAAGCTGTAGACATAATAGATTTAGAGCATTTATCGGAATTCGATAGGGCAGCCGAAGTTGCGGAGTGACTAATTTATGAGCTAAAAGACGAGATAATTAAGCTGAGTGACACTTTGTAGGTATTTGAATCTCATGAATTGGAGGAATATCAGAAAGCTTCCCGAAGACAGAAAGCATAGGCCATTTGTTGTCTTCATGCTGAGCGATGTGTTGTGGTCTAGTTTTGAATTCTTAAATTGATGCTACTGTAGTCTCTGATTCTCAAGAATCTCCATGAAGATTTTACTGTGACGCTTCTTTAGTTCGAAATGTTACTTTGACTACAGAATAACCCCAATAGATGAGTTCTAAGAACACACGGAAAACGGGATCAGCAAACTTGGAGTTAACTGTTATTCTCACTCAGGGCTGAGTCTACACGAAGCAAGACTCAAACTCGCGACATAAACTTCACCTTGCTAAACTTCCAATCGCTGAAGAATGTGGTCATGTACCAAACCTAATCTCAGTGACAATCAAATGTAACATAAGCCTCCAACATGAGTACCAAAATCAAGAGCATGCAGAGACTGCAAAACGTATAAAGGATACTAAATCTAGCCATTGCAAGTGCGACGTCTTACTCAACAAAAAAATACGACGAGAGTAAGAAGAGACCATTTTAAGCGTGCCACGAAATAAAAATATAACGCGAAATTTAGCCAACTGAGCCCTGTGAGGCGCAATTCACATAACACGTTGCAACCTCACAGACTAAAAGATAAAAAATAGTAGTAGGCTGAGAACTGATAGTAGTAGGCTGAGAACTGAGAAGACCTAACAAATGCCAAGATCTTAGATCGAAAAAAATATGATTATTGTCAAACTCCGTGCCTGTGTGAAAAAAAAACGATTGCACCCACATAACATGATGAGATAGGAGAATGCAGCTCATCTCATTGCCGACTTTTATTTAAATGTTATGTTTCGTTCGCTGATGTAAAGTTCATCTAGACTTTCTTAGTGTTTAGCAGAACAATTGAAGTATGCATGCAAGGCGTCACGCATTTTTATTGGCAGGTGGGATACTTGTTGTGTTAATTTTCTCGCTGTCAAAGTTCTTACAGACCAATTTTAGTTTACCGAGTCTAACGTCTCGATCAAAACCTAGCAAACATATCTTTAATCCTGTGAGTTCTATAAGCTGGGATAATTATCTAAATTTCACAAGAGAGCTTGATTTTGGAAATAGCACCGCCCTATTTAACTCAATTCGCGCAGCCTTAAGGCAGTCTGCGTCAGACATTCATCCTCTTGGAGTTTCTTATTTTCCTGCAGTCATTCCACGAGGGACTTTGATGTATCATGCAGGATCTAAGATTCCCACGAGTTTCGAGTGGCTAGCAATGGACCATGAGTTTAGCTACAGTTTTGGCCTAAGGTTGCCATCTTACGGTAGAAAATCACTTCAGAAGCACCGAGATGATCCCGGACGTGGGCCTGGGAAGGGCAAAATTCCTGGCGGGAAAAACAGTACACATAAAAATCCAGATGGACCACCCAGGGGACCACCCAGGGGACCACCAGGTTTGGTGGGGTCGCAAAAAATGCTCACCTACCGGGCCACACGAGACTTGAACAAGTTTCTCTACTTAGATGGTGCGTCTGCTGCTAAGACAGAAACAGGTGAAATGGACACTCAGGAGTTGCTTTCTAATGTGATAGGCCAAAAACTCAATCTGTCAAGTGACGGCGAAGATGGGGGCATGCAAGAACGTACCTTTGCCGCTAGAATTTGCGAGTGGGGAAAGCCTTTTGGTCTCGATGGTATCATAAGAGTTGAAGTTGGATTCGAGGTAGTCCTATGCAACTTCTCCTCACCGGCAGTTGAGCTTGTTTCTGCCTTGGAGATGGTCAAACCTAACGAACATCTGGGGCTACCACCACCTACAAATATTTCAAAGGAGAACGGCTGGCCGTTGGACGACGACGGAAATCTGGTCGAAGATAAGTTAACTGATGATCAAATGACTCTTCTGGACCAGGAGGACCTGTGGCAGCAAGTGTTAGAGAATTTTTACAGCGTTAAAGGCTTCAACTGGTTGCGCGCAGGTGCCGTTCACGACAGTGGTGAACGTCGGATTCAATTGGACTACAGGCATATGGTGACTGGTATAAACAGAACGATTATCAATCCCGACCCAAATAATAGAAGGTTACTCAACGGTCAGATAACTTGGGATACTCAGTTGAAAATCGTGGAGGACCTGGAGCAAGCAGTAAGTTTAGGCTTTGACGCGTCCAAAAGCACTGACTGGCAGATTGCGTTTGATGAAATCGCCAGTAAATTTGCTCCAATGTTGAAGATGCTCAGTGTAACCTTGAACGGAACTGATACTTCCTCAGAAGACATTGCCATAAAAGCGACCGCGATAACGTTGAATTTCTGCTTAAGGTTTAAGCAAAAAGAAGGCATCGTGAACCGATATGGAAGTGACAAAGAATTTGCCGTTTACCAATACGTGAAGCCCTTGAAAGAACTAGTCACCAATTCAGACTATTTAATTTGGTCTGCCAGTGTGAATGTGGCTAGAAAGATTGTTGACACGATTTATAACGTGAATGAGCTTTTACTGCCGATTGTTCGTACTCACGTTGGAGAAAAAGGTGCAACTTCAGTTGAGGCCGCGGAAGCTATCTCAAAAGCTCAACGGGATATAGATGACCTGATAGAAAATTTAGGATGGATCGAATTGCATTATCGCTGCGAACAAGCCTGTGGATTGGATGAAATTTGCTATACGCCATCATGGGGCCCATCTCCCATGGGTATGACACAGCCCGGAACTACGAACGCGGGGGCTGGAACTCACTATGATGCTAATCGCCAAAGACTAGTTATCAATAGTGATTTGAAATGTCTAAGTTTGAATGACCTGATGGGAAATTCAAATCGTTTCTGAAGCTGAATGTTACCGATGCATAGAGGGGACTGCAGTAGAGGAAACTCAATAATAATTCCTGCTCGTCATACCAGTGTCATGACAGAATACTGGTTTTCGAGGCCATGTATAATAGTAATTTGCCTGGAAGAGGGAGACAATTTTATAAAAGTTAAACTGTCATAAAAATTCCAATTGCTTTCAACGTAAAATTGTTCTCACTTCCTAGATATCCTTCCGTAGGACGTCTCAAAAGACCCGTTCTAATTCTTGTGCACCTGTCGCTGACACCACTACTATAATCACATAACGAGAAACATATCCTCACACGTGACCCTAGGGAAAACTGGCAATTCTGTTAAACAGTGGATCGCCAATGACCTCCATTATAGAATACAGCCAGTCTTTGTTAAAGATCTGCGAGACATTACCACTATTAGAGGTGCTCCCTAAATAATTCACCAAAAATGCACTCCTCAGAGCTATTCCCAAAACTAATTTCTTATTCAAGTATTTGCACACAATTCAAGAGACTCTATTGTACTTTTTGGCCATTACATTTTTGTCATGGTCTGAGACTTACGACAATCATCTCTTGCTTCTTTTGCTGCTGTTCCGTCGTATAGTCGAAATTTTTCAATATTCTCGTCAGTTGTCCGCGCAATTTGTCCCAAGCAGCGGAAATTCTGCTATTGGATCCTTACAAACACGATAATCACAGAATCTACCCCAGTTTTAGGGTGTCACCCCACAGATCTAACTCTAACCTCTACCAGTACAAGTCTTCTGTCTGCAATTGTTGTAGTATCGCCTCTTACTGCTCGTCACGTTCTGTCATTACGAGACGCGGAAAAACTGATTAATTTTTCCCCTCATTTAATTTTCCGCGTCACTATGCAAGCGACCCCTTGTCTAAAAGTTGTGTTGCTCGAGGTTTTCTAGGAGACCCGGAACAACATGACGTGCTCTCGATATCTTCCCCGGATTATTTAATTTTCTGTCGACAATAGCGGGAACACCTGATGCGATCATATTCTCTGGAAAAGGTATAAATAGAGGCAGTTGTGGGTGCTAATATGGCTACCCAGCATCTTATTCAAATCTCAGCATTTGTATCATCAAGGCAATTGACTTTTGTATAATTTAAAATCACATTTCTCGAGTAAAATGATGGTTTCTGCGCCCAAACACCCAGAAACTGAACCCAAATGGTGGAAAGAAGCCACTGTTTACCAGATTTATCCAGCAAGTTTTAAGGATTCAAACAATGACGGCTGGGGTGACATGAAGGGGATTTACTCAAAGTTGGATTACATCAAGGACCTGGGGGTAGATGCGATCTGGATCTCTCCATTTTATGACTCGCCACAGGATGACATGGGTTATGATATCGCCAACTATGAAAAAGTGTGGCCCACGTATGGTACCAACGAGGACTGCTTTAAAGTGATCGAAAAGACACACAAGTTGGGAATGAAGTTCATCACCGATCTCGTGATCAACCATTGTTCTAGCGAGCACGAGTGGTTCAAGGAAAGCAGATCTTCCAAGACCAACCCCAAACGTGACTGGTTCTTCTGGAAACCTCCCAAGGGCTACGACAAAAATGGAGCTCCAATCCCACCCAACAATTGGAAATCTTACTTTGGCGGCTCGGCCTGGACTTTTGATGAAAAGACTCAAGAGTTTTACTTGCGTCTTTTTGCCTCAACACAGCCTGACTTGAACTGGGAAAGTGAGGCTTGTAGACAGGCAATTTACGAGAGCTCTGTCGGATTCTGGCTTGACCATGGTGTGGATGGGTTTCGGATCGACGTGGGGAGTCTATACTCGAAAGTACCAGGTCTACCAGACGCCCCTATCACTGACAAGGACTCGGCGTGGCAATCCAGTGACTCTTTGACTTTGAACGGTCCTAGAATCCACGAGTTCCACCAAGAAATGAACAAGTTCATCAGAGGTAGAGTGAAAGATGGCAGGGAAATAATGACAGTTGGTGAGATGCAGCACGCTCCCAACGAAGTCAAAAAAATGTACACTAGTGCATCGAGGCATGAAATGGGAGAACTGTTCAACTTTTCCCACACAGACGTTGGAACTTCTCCACTTTTTCGCTACAATTTAGTTCCAGCGGTCTTGAAGGACTTCAAAGTGGCGCTTGCGGAGCTCTTCCTCTATATTAACGGAACTGACTGCTGGTCCACCGTGTATCTGGAGAATCACGACCAGCCTCGTTCGATTACAAGATTTGGTGACGACTCTTCAAAATTCCGTGTTATTTCCGGTAAAATGCTTTCTGTTTTGTTGACTGCACTAACCGGTACTTTGTATATCTACCAAGGCCAAGAGCTAGGCCAAATCAATTTCAAAAACTGGCCAGTTGAGAAGTACGAGGATGTTGAAATCAGATCCAACTATAAGGCGATCAAAGAGGAGCACGGCGAAAACTCCGAGCAAATGAAGAAATTTATAGAGGCAATCGCTCTTATCTCTAGAGACCACGCAAGAACTCCAATGCAGTGGAGTGGTGAAGAGCCCAACGCTGGTTTTTCCGGCCCTGATGCCAAACCATGGTTCTTCCTTAATGAGTCTTTCAGGGAGGGTGTCAATGTTGAAACGGAGGAGAGAGACCCCGACTCTGTTCTAAACTTTTGGAAGAAAGCTTTGAAGTTCAGAAAAGAGTACAAGGACATTGCTGTCTACGGCTACGATTTTGAGTTTGTTGACGTGGATGACAGTAAGTTGTTTAACTTCACCAAGAAGTTTGGCACAAAAACAATGTTTGCAACTTTGAACTTTAGTTCGGACAATGTTGACTTTCGAATTCCAAACGGTGGCTCCTACCAGTTAGTTTTCGGAAATTACGACGATGGTCAGGCCGATGCATCTTCCAAAGCCCTAAAGCCATGGGAAGGAAGAATTTACATTACAGAATCTTCTTAAATGTCACTCAGATACTGTATAGAATAACGTTTGACGATACAATTTTATGACACGGCCCATTAAAAATGTGGAAGTAGCATGAAATGCAGCTTCCAAAATAACAGCGCGAAGGAATGCACAATCGAGAGGACATTTCTTAATCAACAGCTGGACTTGAAGAAGCCCAAACTATGTGGGTGGTGTATCTCTATCATTATCTAAGATTACGAATGATTTTTAGAGCTCGAAATATTACTGACCGCTGCCTTTGAACCATAGTGCCGCCGTATCTGATCTTTGAAAATACTGCACAGCTTAATTGGCTATTGTTTTGTCGTATGCCAGTTCCAAAATCTTAAGGCCTGCCATGAGTTCATCCGTGGTGTCCCAAAGCCAATTCTAAGAGTGCCTGGAATGCCGAAGCACTCGCCGGGCTTGCACAAGACTTTGTACTCAGTTGCCGGTTTCCTTGAAAAACTCTCTGTATCCTCAATGTCTGCCAGCCTCAATAAGCAAGCTGATCCCCCTTTGGGCGCGTAAACAAATGAGAATTTACCGTTTGACGCTTCGATGAAGTCCTTCATGAGAATCAAGTTTTGTTTGCATAAATCAAAGTTTCGCTTTAACACAACGTCACGGTGCTTCAAGATGTATCGAGATACATGATCATCACTTTGTTTCTCAAAAATATTTCCCATTAACACAATAGCAGCATTGATAGGTGGTTTTTCTCTTCAGGATAACTTTGAATTTGCAGCTTTGGGTTTCTTCCACTCCGAGTAATAGATTGGCTTTGTGGAGTAGACGGTTGCAAGTAGTTTGTGCTGTTACATAGTACAGAAGGCTTTTGATCTGGACTAATGAAACGATAATGCTATATTGCTTAATGGTTGTAAAATAAACACATTCTCTCACATACAACGCATCGCCAAGCGATTTGCTTGGTCGAACTCTGCCTCATGCGTCCTCCTGGTTGTATGTGTTGAAGTATGACATATACCGCACCGTTGTGTATCGTCCTCAGAACTGAAGAGTAATCGGGTTCCCATTAACCACTGTCCAATGTATATATATTAAAATTTTCTCGAGTATCAGAATTCTAATTGATTGCACATCTGGACCTTGTTGAAATAACCTCGTTCCATAGATTAGATTATCATTTTTTAATATTTCTGATAGTGAACTCGGACAGCTGATTTATCAAAAAAGCAGATCCGCTCTATTCCGCCGATGTACCCTGGACGTTTGACATTTCGAGAACGCAGAACCTCTTTCTTATCAGATAAGATAGACCGCTATCAATCCAACCCCAGTTCTCAATTCCGGAAACGCATAGCGATCAGCACTGAAAGACTGGAGAAAATATATTTAAGTGACTCTTGGATGTCATTATTCATTGCCGCGTAACCAACTAAATGTTTCGGAATTTTTCACTTGACATCACAGTCTTTCAAAATAAGCTCGTAACTTTTTCTGCTTCTTATCCGTCAACGTCGCCATGTGTGGCTCCCTTCATAAGTCTCCCGATGCCAACATAGGAGCTATCAAAAATGTTTTGAGTAGCACTGACGTTGAGATTTTGCAGAAAAACGAAGAAATGGGAGAGGAAAATGTGCCAAAAAATACTTGGCAAAAATTCTGGAAAGCGCTCGAAGTTCCTCATGAGGACAAACCTCTCTCTGTCCTCCGAAATCCTGACTTAGAGCCAATCCTGGCAACCCAACGCACCTGGGGATTCTGGTCATTTTTTGCATACTGGGGTCTTCCCAATTTTGCCGTAGCGACTTTTTCAACCGGTTCTGCGTTGTTAGCTCTGGATCTAAACATTCAGCAATCCATTGGTTCTTTGGTGATAGCGAATGTGCTCATCGCGGGTTTCACCATCCTGAATTCCAATCCTGGAATCAAATTTCACATCGGCTATACACTTAGTCAAAGAATGATTTTTGGAATATACGGCTCTTTTATTGGTATTATAATCCGCGTTGGTTTATCCGTGGTGCTTTACGCCTACCAAGCATGGCTAGGTGGTCTTTGCATGAACATGGTATTTGACTCATTTTCACAGAACTACTTGAACATGAAGAATACATTCCCGGACTCAGTACCAATGGCCAAAAAAGATCTCATAGGCTTTCTTTGCTTCCAACTGATCCAGATGCCCTTCTCGTTTGTAAGACCACGGCATGTTAACATTCCCTCTATAGTGACGTGCTTTATGACACTGTTTTCCGTCATCGGTATGATGGCGTATCTCATTCATAGCAATGGTGGTCCTGGCCCACTATATCACACCAAAGTGTTACTTTCTTCAAGTCAGAGGTCCTGGATGTGGCTTTACTCCATGACAATCTGGTACAGCGGCGTATCCCCGGCGGTCGCAAATCAATCTGATTATTCTCGTTTTAGCTCCGGATCTTTGTCGTGCTATTTGGGTCTTTTCATAGGCACCGTTTTGCCTGGAACCTTTGTGTCTCTGGCAGGGATGCTGTGTGCCTCGGCCTGTAAAGGCTTATATGGTTCAGCATATTGGACACCAAATGAAATTGTAGAAGAATGGCTCAATACAAACTATACCTCTAAAGCGCGGGCAGCATCATTCTTCATCGGCGTTAGTTTTACGGGTTCCCAACTTTTTCTAAATTTGACACAAAACGGGTACGCATGCGGAATGGATCTTGCGGGTATTTTCCCTCGTTACATTAACATTACCCGTGGTACGCTTTTTGTTCAATTGATCTCTTGGGTTGTTCAGCCATGGACCTTTTTCAACACATCGTCCTCTTTCCTAAATGTGATGAGTTCCTTTGGGGTCTTTGTCACACCTATAATGACTCTAAGCATCATCGACTTCTACTGGGTTCGCAAAGCAAAGATAACCTTGATTGACTTTTTTACTATATCAAAGAAGGGTGCTTACTGGTATGATTTTGGATTTAATTGGAGGTCGATTTCGTGCCTCCTCCTTGGGATAGTTTTGGGACTGCCTGGCCTCGCTTACGAATCACAAGCAGACCACAAGGCAAACACAGCAATGATGAATTATTATTATGGTTACATGTTCTTTATCCCACTGGTAACCGGTTCATTGTATTGCGGAATAACGTACATCTTTCCTGCTCACCATGAAAAAATGTGCCAAGTTGACCCTCTGGATTTCTTCCGTTGCTTCTCCGGCGCCGAACGGCAAAAATTAGGAATGCTACCATTTGGAGAAGCTTCTATCTGTGAATATATAGAGGCAGAGGATCCGCAAGAGGGCTGGCAAAAGACAACCGTTGAGCATGAAAAAGGAAAATGACAGTGTACTGCAACGCTGTGGGTCGATTAAGATTATAGAAAGGGCATTGGAAGAATGGCAACTTCCAGATATGTTCTGGTCTGTTCATTCTGACATTTAAAAGTGTATAATTAGAGATATGAAAGCGTCTTGATTGATGATTTCTTGCAAGTGGGAGAGCCTTTGAGCAGAAAAATATAGTACAAGCGCTAGTATTTGTGGGTTGAATATCACAAACCATCTGCTGTCGGACATTCTCCCATCGAATTCTTTTCGTAGTAAAGAAAGATCTGATTGTAAATTTCAACATTGGGCCATTTTTGATCGAAAATGACATCTTGGATGATTTGTAAGTTCTAAAGAAAGCAGGAAAATGCTTCTTGTATTCCGATCTCATATCCTACTCAATAATTCAAGCAGGCACACTGCGGAACATACACACTAAGTCTTGACGTTCTAAGGTGTTTGAGCGTATGTGCCGCATCTATTTTTACCGCAATCCATTATCTAAAAGTTTCTAGGGAGGCTTCTTTCCTGTGCTGATGTAGTAATCAAAAGTACAAGTAATCCTCATTTAACTATGTTCTGTGGTTCTTCGACAGGCCAAAGGCCATGACGGTCAACAAACGAGCCATGAAAAATCAAAATGTTTTGAGCACACGCTCTGACTTGGGGAACATGTGTGTAGCTCGGACTTTTCTGCTGGTGTTCAGAATTTCAAAGAAGCGCTCATTTTACTGCATGCGAAATCAGCAATCGATCGTGAAGGCCATCAATATGACGAGACATGGTTTGTCGCATTAAATGCACCTAGCTCACTATCACCCGAACAAATGACAGCTTGAATCTTCGTATTGTAAACGTTGGAGGCAGCTATATCCCCCTTTCAAGGTAACTTTAACCACTTCTTTTCATAAAACATAATCAAACAGAGCTTTCTAGTGGATGGGCGCCTGGGCTCTATCGAAACTATTAGGATGTCCTCTCATTTATATGGCAACTCATGAAGTGTAGTTCATCTATGACTTTTCAAGACCATAAAGTACCCGACTCCTAAGGGACTTACCTTCGACCCAATTCACATGCATAATAATTATCAGAGTGGATGATTTCCCATATCGAATGTGTCAAACGCGCTTGTCGAAGAATGACGAATTATTGCGTCATCACAAGTAATTCGCATTATATCATAACCACCACCAACGGAAAATAGAACTGAGTGAGGCTATAATTCACGGCCGAAAATGTTTCTGTTGGCTTGACCTTTCGGTACCTTGAACTAGCATGTGTATGGGTTCTTGAGAATTTTCAGCATACAGCTGAAACTTATCGTACCAGTAGAGCTTAAAAGTGGACTTAAGTAGCAACGTGAACATACCAAAGAACGGAGACCTGGTAGAAACAAGGTGACCGAAACTGATCCGTGCACTCCAAAATTCTCTTTTTAAATATAGTGTTATGGTCGTTCTTCCTCTAAAGAAAACCAACCTTCACCGATCTGTCGTGTTCTTGTGCGTTTAAGCTTCCAAATACGACTTTGAACTGAAGAGAGATGGTACGTTAAGTCAGGGAATTTCAATAGATATATTGCTTACATACTTTAAGACTTGTCTTAGATGTGTCGAATTCCATAGACTGTATGAAATGGTATCGGAATAATTTGCTGTTTACTTTTCTCACAAGAGCGCAATTGGCATCATTTAGAGAAGACCATCCTTCAGGTGGTTTGCATAATCTTCAAAAATGTAAAAAAGACTTGTGAACTTGTGCTGCTCGTGCTAAACTTTTGTCTTTTACCAGAGTAATGAACAGAATTGCCTGTTGTTGCGCCCGGCCGGTGATATATGCCGACGAAAGAGAGGCAGCGCCGGATCTAGAACTGGTGGTTACAACAGCGATAGAACCAGTTTGAGAGATGATCGCTTGACTTTGGATCGCAGAGCTAAAAGACGGTGCTCCACCATCTAGACTAATCTGTCCAAATGTACAAATTGCATTACTAGCTGTAGCACCAATGTCAGTGCTAGCAGCCAGCAATGATAGTGGTATTTCCGCTTCTGGTGGTGTCTTGACTTGAAAATTGCTCGGTAGGAAGTAGTGAGGCGGAATTAGACAATGTATGCGAAGTTGAACGCTCGTTTTTTTTGGTCGAAACTTTAGAGACATCAGCTAAGGAGACGGCATTCCCGGAACCTGGGTATGATGAGCTCGTTGTCAAAACCTTATTTGACTGGACGGTCGAAGAAGAGGTACCATTTATTCAAAACAAGCTAGCTTATACTGTTGACAGATGGGTTTGATGATTAAAGATTTTCAGGCAGAAGAATTGATGTCCGCAAATTCGAGGTTATCGAGCTCGCGGAAGATGTGGTCTCTAAGCTTGTTTTGGTTTCACTTAATGTCAAAGATTCGCTGAAATATTCAGACCCCGACGTAATAGCTAGAAATCGCCTTTAATTCTTGATTTGATCTTCGTTAAATGATTGCGGGCCTTCTTTGCTCCTCATTGGGATATTGCCGAAACTCAGTCGAGCTGTTAAGGTCCACTTTGAGAAACTTCTAACCTAAATTCGAACCACTATGGGGCCGCACATCTTTCTGAAAGTAATTTGATCTCCGGTGAAGACAAACTGCTCTTTCAGAAGCACTGTTTCCAGATGACTTGCAAAGGTTACAATATATCATAGAAGTCTTGGGCAGGAGCCATGAACTTTGTGAATTTCATCATCCAGACAAACAACAATAACGGATACCAGGTCTATTTTCGGTACAATTTCTCGACGCTATCTAGGTCCTAATAGGAAGTGGGATTACATGGGAAAGTTCCGAGTTTATATTACATAGAGAAAGGTTGATTTTCACATCAACACAAATTTTGTTCAAATCTGGTACCGAAATTGCAGAAGTTCAGATACTGCAACGGGTCATTTAATGGTCAAGATATCATTAATTAAAGCACTTCGCGTCGCAGGAAGAAAGAAAAACTGTTGATGATTTCCAACAGCTTAGTAGTAAGGAACACCCGACTTTTTCAGCAACTCCTCTGAGTTACGGATGTATTTCTCAACATACGATTCAGGAAATCCGTCGGAAAGAATAGGCTTGCCAAAGCTATCGAAAAAGGCAGCAGTATAATCGTCCAGCTCGGGAGCCACCATCATTGGAACGTTCTTCACGGCGTACTGCTTTGTGTTTTGAAACAGCAAGCCGATAGCGCTCTCAACGGAAAATGATTTCCAACTACGGGCTCCCAAGAAGTTATTACGGATGGCCGTTTTGATCAAACCAGGGTTTACACCATACACGGCGATGCTGGGGAAACGGCGGGCCGTGTCGTGCACAAGGGCTTCATTCCCAGCCACTGTGGCCATGTGTGTCTTCATTCCCTCGTAGTCAACATAAGAATTCAAATCATCGGGACTTCCTTTTTCCCCAGCGCACGGGAAACCATAAATGAAAACTCTTGGCTTTTTAACAAGATTGGTGTGCGACTTTTCAATGTGCGGTAGAAGATTGCGAACAATAACCAATCTGCTCAAGTAGCTTACCGCTATGTCCCGCTCTAGCCCTTCCGTAGTTTCCTCACGCTTGGGAGCCGCTAAGATACCTGTGGTAAATATCACCAAGTCCAATGGCTTTTGAGCGAGTACTTGAGCAACTCTCTTGGCCTCGGACATGAGTTCCAAGTCCGCTTTGATAAACGAAACATTTTTCGAATTTTGGTCTCTGAAAGTTCTACCGACCACAACCACTTCAGCACCTCTGCTGCCAAAAAGCTGGGCTAGACTTTGGCCAATACCTGCAGTACCTCCAACTATTGCCACTCTCAACGTTTTCAAGTCGAGCTTGTTCGCCGGAGCATTGGACCATTTCAAATCCTCGTTAGGTTTAGCGTTGTGAACTTTAGAACCGAAAGCCATTCTGTTTTGCTTGGTTGAGCTCTATGATGAGTATAGAAGGGTCTACATCTACTCAAATTTCCCGCGTTTAAGTACTTTTTAGGGTAGTAGCTTGCCATTGATCAGCAATGCTAGGAATTACTCATCACAGTCGAAGCTTACGCCACATCTTCACAATCTGGTGCAACGTTGGTTTTAGTAAGACATGAATGTCTGCACTCCTCGAAGACCGTGAGCCTAAGTTGTGTAGCCAGGCCCCTTCTTGATCATGTATAGCTCCTAACTCGCGATTAGCGTTCAACTCGCCCAACAGTGCCCTATTACTTATCGGATGTAAGTAATATTTATAATCATAAACCATGTTTACCAATGGCAGAACATGTCGACAACGCATTGAATTTCAACGTTTCTTGGCAAAAATCACGGTACAGCCCATCAAGAGTTTATTGCAGAGAATCTGCTTCACTTTAGCCACGTTGAAGTATGTCTTACTTTAAGTACAGAGGAACCGAAAGTGTTATTTCACGCAACGTAAATTGTTATTGTAGCATTCTACATGCTTGATTCCCAGCAAAGGAGGTCAAAAGACAAGAAGCACCATGAAGGTGAGATGGAGTGGAACGTGGAGTTGTTTCTAGCAATTCATTTCTCTATGCAATCAAAATCATATATCAATGTTGCTTAGCAGCTTTCACCAAACGTGGGACATCTCTCATCTCTTCGTCGTTCAATGTAGTTAACGACACACGCGTCACAGCAAACAAATTTGGTTCGATAAACTAGTACATACAAGTCTCTATGCATTTCTACCAGCAATTGTTTTTTTTCAATTTGACTGACCGTCGAGGGCCTCACTTATACATTTCACTCTGGATTAGCGACGATGGTTTTCTCCTTGAAGTTTGCGGGGTCTAGTCGGCCCTTGAGCGCCGGGTGTTCGATAACTTTGGGAAGCCACTGCTGCAGCTTGGTTAGACCGCCAAACTTGTCCTTTCCGAGAGCAAAACCGAATACCGTGCCACACATGGACGCAGCAAACAAATCGGCGATCGTAATTTGATCCTTCACCAAAAATTCATGCTGGGATAGATACTTTTCCAAAAGTCCGAAGGTCGCAAGGCACTGAGACAATTTTCCGTTGTAGGTCTCGGCGCTGGCATTAGTTCTAGCAGCCATCACAATCGCAGCGACGCTTGGGGCTAGCTCGCTGTTTGTAAATGACAAAAGTCTCAAAACCTGGGAGCGCTCCTCCAAAGTTTCTCCGTAAAGCGATCTTTCGAGCTCCGCGTCACCCTTCAAACTGACCAAATAGTACACAATCGCAATCACCTCGGTCAACTCGAAGCCATCCTTGCCTAGAAAAGCTGGGTTCTTCCCTAAGGGAAACAGCTTTTTGAACTCTTCAACGTTGTCGCTTGGGTTGGCGACATCCATGTCAATTTTGAGCCATTCAACTAGCCCACGAGGCAGCATCCCTCTAGCATTGGTCCAAGCGTATAATGTTCCGACTGTCATTGTGCGTGGTGTTTGAGATAAGAGAGGACCAACTGCCAACTGCTGAAGCGTTACATGTTAGCCATTTATACAGAGCATAATCACCTTGACGATGGTTTACTTCTCAAGGCGACAACAAGTGACATGATTAGTAAGGTCGATAGAGTATCAATAATGAAGTGAAAAGCCCTATGTTACTAACTTTCGAATTTATCTTCACTCGTGGTCTTACTAATTTAAAACTGCATTATCTACAGATACTTTACCCTGATATTTGCCTTGTATCATCAACACAGACTGTTGTAGAAATCTAACTAAAGTAAGGTTCGCGTATGCTACGTGATTGTCATGACATCGAGGTCAACGCGGTTCTTGCATTGCCAAGGTTTTTTGATATCACTACTTACATTACCTTCATCATCGAGACTAGGTCTTCACGTACGCCAAGACCATCTAGGTCCTGTGAGGTGCATGGTGTTTACCTGAGCGCCAAGACCTGTAGGAATTTAAACTTTTTTTAATATTATCTGTTCGATGATTAATACATTTTCCACAGCAGAGTGCTCTACAACATGAGAGAGACAAACCAAAACAACGCCGTCTTTCCTTAGGTACAATACTTGGCGCAGCCCAAGTGCACCAGACGTTGTGGAAAGTTGATGAAATCGTTTAGTTCGATTAATAATATAGGTAGCCGTGCAATTCGTAGTTCACCAATGGATGAGGCACATACAGCCCCTGAGCACCTTACTCTTGGTATTTGCCAAACTCATCACCGTCAGAGCTAGTGAAACGATGACAAATGTTTCAAACCTTGAGCTTAATGGCATCGACATCAGCGCCAGCAAAATGAGGCATATAAAAGGGGTGTCTTTGATGTTATCCAGTCTGTGTCTTGTTAATACTCTTTCCCAACACAAGCAAGTATTGAAGCTACCTTGTCTTTATAACTTTGCAAGCTTTAAAAAATCAACCCACTTTCCATTTTTCAATCTATCTCAAATGTCTTCCACATCGTATTTCGTCACTGGCGGTAACAGAGGCATTGGTCTCGCACTGGTCAAAGAGTTGAGCTCCGACGCGAAAAACACCGTTGTTGCTACTGCTAGAGAACCAAACTCTGCCAATGACCTAAAAGACTGGGCTGTAAAGCATCCTAATGTGAAAATCGTGCAGTTGGATGTCTCTTCGAGCAAGAGCGTCGAGGCCGCCGCTGAGGAAACTGCAGCACTCTTGCCTGACGGGCTAGACGTGCTGGTGTCAAACGCTGGGGTCCTTAAGGACATTGGCAAGTACTTGGACCACCCAGATGAACTTTACATCGAGCAGTTCAACGTTAACGCTGTGGGTCCAGTTAGATTAGTAAGAGCGTTCAAACCCTTGCTGGACAAGAAGGACACAAGAGAGGTCGCCGTGGTGTCTTCTCTAGTTGGATCTCTAAACGTCGAGCTACCAGTCGGGTTTTCGGGTTACGGAGTTTCCAAAGCTGCCGCCAACTATATTGTGAAAGGTTTGATTCAAGAACTTTCTCCCGAGGGCTACAGTCTTGTGGCGGTCCACCCTGGTCTTGTAGGGAGCGACATGGGAGACGACACGTTCGTGCAGCTGGGCAACGAGGTCTCGGGCCAATTGAAAAGCGCGCTGCCGCTGCTCACTCCTGGAGAGTCTGCCAAAGCCATTAAAGAGAACGTATTGACGGACTTGAAGGCCAAAAATGCAGGTAAGTTTTTGAGCTACGAAGGTTCTGAGCTTCCATGGTGAGCTCATATGCGGTGGCTACGGGCCCATTTTTTTAACGGTAGAAGCTGCCGAGTCAGATCGTCGTAAACGGTATTTTGTACATGTAGATTGTTAACGCATGTGTTTCCACTTATCACGTCGCTGAGGGGTACCAGTCCTCGAATCTCAAAACCTTTGGCCCAAGAATTTTGGATCTCACTGGAAGATTTTTCAGCGTCTGTAAACGCATTCCAGGCTAGGAAGTACGTGAATGAGGAATTCGTTGAGCAGTCGATAATGCCTTGTTCTTCTAAGGATTAGGTTCTTGAGACATTCTGTTGGAAAAGAGATATTTGTTAACTAGAATTTACTTGAGTATTGGCTCCGCAGACGATACAAGAGGTCTCAATGTGTTGTTTGCATTGGTCTCCAACGATTGTCTTTAGCTTCAAGACCGCAAAGATACAGGAAACATCAGCTAATCTCTGTTATAAAGCGATTACACATGCAGCGATTTCGCACTCGCAGGAATGGAGCCCAAAGAGGCGTCGGTCAAGCGCAACGCCATGTTTTTCCCACGTTTTGAAAATGTCAGGCAACGCTACTAGAGTGGCAAATCCAACATACTTCTGTCGGGACTGTGGTGATTTTGAATTCAATTAATGAATTGTTAGGGTTATTCATCCACAAGACACAGTATGCTTATTGCGAATGCGGTTGCTTATAAAACTTGCAACCAGTAATATGAGCCCCAAGGGCAGAGACTTGGCTTGAAAAGACATTTCTGCAGGTATTGTTTGTCAGAAGGGTACACCAATGGGCAATCGACCTCAACGGCGAACGTACATCCTCCTGATGGATTGATACAAAACTTCAAACATCGTCGAAGAATCAGATTCAATAAAGAGTGCTCAGGACGGAAAAAGCTTTTCCTTACATTCCCAGTGCTGCATTACTCGGCCGTAATCCTAGAGAACTAGACATGAGTTCATCGCTGCTGAGATCATCTTACAGTTTCAACAGATCATAAATGTCATCTGAGTTTGTTACAATGTCGTACTTTCGACAGTTCCTGGAATAGATTGTGCGTGTTGGGTTGAAAGATGTTGGCACAAGGTAGATGACCTATTTGCATATCCTCTTTCTACTTTCTTGCGCGTCTATTATTCTGAGCAAATCCTTGATTGCTTGTACGCCCTCTGCATTAGCTGACTCTTGGACAATCCTAATTTATTCTCTAGAAACGCCGATATAGAGGCCGTTGCCATTTTTTGCCTGTCTTTCCTGTGACCTCTCCTTCAAAAGAAAAATTGTCACTAGAGAAGTGGGTCGCTTAGCCTTCTGCTCTATATAACGTGTACAAGGCCGAGATGTTCGAACTGAAGTGCCAATTAGACGGCCATTATCCCGAGAACATGATGATCAACCACAAATAGGCGATTGGCGCATGGAAATTGCGGGGCCATTATCGAATTTGCGAACTTTAACAATTGAGGCTTATCGGACTGTTTCCGATGGAGCGCTAAGTTTTCTTGTTAAGGAATTGCAAACGGGACTCATCTATTATCTAAAAGTACAACTATGCAAGTTGTACGCACTTTCCTTTCATTTGAATGAGCGGAAAGTTCTTGGCTAATTTTCACGCAATGCGACCAATAATAGAGTTACTCATTAACACTTATGGGTATTACATACCTCTTTTTGGTAAATCAAAGAGCTCACCTTAGTTCAACGATGAAAGAAAGAAACTGTCCATGAAGACGGCTTTTGGAACCAGAGAAAATTTAAAATTTGCAGTGTGCACGACATGATAAACACACCAGTTTCTCGTTAGAGCCACATCATAGCTTCACTTCTCTTCTCTTTTGCCAAATCGAGGACATGCTGCACTCAGAATGGGCTTCTAAAATTCTGCAAGACGTACAATGAGTGTCACATTTTCCAGATATTTAATAAGTGAATGGCCTCTTGATCGGTTATTTAGGGTATATAGACTTAAGATCAGAAGCCTTCCCTGATTATATGGCGTCTGGTAAGATGTAGCATTGAGATATTTGAAATTAGAGAATTTACTGATTCGAATATCGAGCGTTTGAAGCTTTACATCAACCCAGAAGAATCTGTTTCACGTGGAACCTTCTGTGTCCACCTAAAGGTCCCTTATTTGTCTGCCATACATGTAAACAACTAGATTTTCGCATTCAATGGAGGGGGGCAGCGCAGGTTTTTTTGTGAACAACTCCTTTCCAAGCTTCCCTTGCTGTTGGAAGGTCTATACCTTTCGCACACTTGACCCCATCTTCTGACAGCTTCTTGGATTTCAGCTGCTGTCGCATAACTTATAGAAAGCCTCACGCTGCGCTCACCCCAATTTTTTTGTCACCAGTAACTTCAAAGTGCAAGCCGTCTGCTAGCAAAACACCCTTGAGTCTTAGTTCCTCAACGATCTTCGAGGAATCGTAACCAACAGGAAGCGTGCACCACGAAAAATACCCGCCCCTGCATTCCGAGTACTGCGTCCCCTCAGGAAGGTATGTTTTGATCGATTCAGCAAGAACTCTCGCTCTCTCTCTTAGCGCACTAACGAAATCGTTAATTATCCGCTCGACAGCTCCATTTTTTATCATAGTGGCGACAATCATCGAGTTCAGTTGACACGGAGTCCCCCCAGATCTATTTGCGCCGCCGGAAGCTAGTTGGGTAGCTAAATTAGCGTTTGCTGTCTCTTGATACCCTGTTCTCAGACCCGGGGCTATT